TTATTTTTTTTTACTTTCATTATTTCAGTAATTAAACTGCTGATGCTGTAATTAAACTGAATTTATTTCAAATCAAAATCATGAATAACGAACAAAATTTTGAGACATTTTTTATAATATAAATACAATTCTTCTGTTAGTGTATGTAGATTGCAAAGAATAAATGTATTTTTACAGGAGCAGTTCTGGAAGTGGCTAGTTGATTGGACGACTGTATACATGGACGAATTGACTCATGTATGTCAAATTTTATTACTACAATAACTGTATACTCCATTCACTATAACATTAGAAAAAAGAGGGTCATAGAAGCAGCAGTGCAGAACATTTTATTTTCAAGATAAATTTAAAAAATATATATTAGTTTTGTTGAAACTTTGAACGTTAGGTAGTCTGAAAAAGCTGGGCAATTTTCCATTTTTTATGATACCTCGGGGTTGAGATGAGGCCAGCATTTTATAAATTCATCTTTTAGTCCCAAGCCAACATGTAACTAAAACTATCTGTGTGTTTTGATTAATTCTAATCGTAAGTGTTATTAGTTAGGCTATTGATGAAGACATTGGAAAACTCCCTGAAATGTCAAAGTTTGAGGGTAGGTATGGGCTTAGAGTGTAATTTTTGTAGGCCACTCGGGCCTGCACCGGCATCGTCCATATTTACCAAAAATTAACAACAAAAATAAAACAATAACATCACGGAAAACAACAAGAAAGGCAATAAATAGCATTCACAATGGATGACAATCCCAGATTCCGATTTTAACAATTATGAATAAATAATAGTCTGACAAAATTAAAAAGCTGTACTACCAAAACGTTTGAAGGGGTTAGGCAACGTTTTAAATTTGGTAGAGTTATAGTGACATGAGAATTGTGCCAAAACTATCCAACCCTGCTTCTTTAGGTTAACTTCTGTCTAATGCTATAATTAATGGAGTATAGAGTATAGAAAATAGCTGAACCTGAATAGTATAGTAAAATCTGCTCCAGACATAAATTTTAACCTAATAATAATTATTTACTATATTTCGTTCATAAATAACACAAACATTGCTCTGATGATATTTGTCAACATAACTTGTATTATATTCAACAGAGGTACACAACTATCCTCAAGCAATTTAATTTCAATCTATATTTAGTTCTGTATATATCTACTTAAGTAAAATCAATACCCAATTATTATTGCAGCATATCAAACAACAAATCAGAGAAGAAGTAACGAAACAGGTAAGAAATATCGCAGAATCAATTAAGAAAGAACCCAACGCAAATAAAAGCGACTATGACAAAAAGGAAACAGAGGATGAAGACAATGAATCGGACGCAAAAAAGGACGGCATTAATCAAGAAAATTTTGATGAAACCAATGACTCTGATAAAGACACTTTAAAAGATTCGAAAACCGAAGACATTGCTGAAATAGAAAATTCTGAACCTGAAGTAAAGGATGTTAAACTTATAATAGACGGGAAAGAAATACCTATATACACTTCAGATCAAAATTCGGAAAACAGTGAAAACAAAGATAAACTGAGACACCGAAAAGATAAAGACAATAAAAAGAAACCATATCTAGAAAATAATGACAAAGAATCTATACCAGTTAATGTGAATGCTGAACATCTTTATGGTAATTCTATTGGTAACGAAAAAGTAACTAACATATTCATCTTTTATCCTAATAAAGAAAATAAAGATATTATATCAACAATAAAACCTACTACTGAAACTTCCGTCATGGAATCTCCAACCAATCCATCAGAAGAAAACCAAAAAGATATCGATTCGGAAACTACAACATCATCTTCAAATGACAACTTGTTATTAACTGAAACCTCAACACTTGGTATAATAGAAGATAAGAAAGAGGAAAAAGATTTAAGCAAAGAAAACGAATCTAATGATAACATTCTTAAACCAGAACAGACTATAGATAATTCAGAAAAAGAAAATGAAGAAGATAAGATTAACAATTCAAATGAAGACGCAAATGAACAAGGAGAACGCGAGGAATCAGTCAAAGAGGATATTACAAACACGGATGCGACTGAACAGATCTGAAAATTAAGAAAGTGACGCCTACTCTCAAATCAATGATATTATAGAGAGTTATTATACAACCTGTTTATTAAAACCACATAGTACATTAAAAACTCTGTAATTCTAAAAAAATTGTAATATATAGTTTTCAAAGTATAGTAAATAACTTATAGTTTTCAAAGTGGATTTTTTATTCTTCTCATTAGTTTTAATAGTCATAATTTACTTAAGTGTTTAATAGGGGGTGAAAATAAATCAAATCTATTACAATTAACACAATTTATTTCTATATATATCCACTAAATAACAAGTCCAAAATTATGGCACAATTTAAAAAGAACACATTAAATTTTTCCATTCAACCCAAATACATATATCATGATTTTTAAATATAATTTTAAAATAACCTTTTTAGGAATAACTAGTTAAAAAAGTAAGAAAATACATTTAATCTTATAACTTAATATACTGCAGTTTCTTTTTATAATGACAACAAACATAAATTGATCAATGTATAGAATTAATAATATTTAGAACCCGCCATGACGTCAAAACAGACGAAGTGAAATATTTGTTTTTATTATCAACCATAACCCATCAGAATAGAGCTGAAAATGGAAAATTTAAAAGATGAAAAATTACGACACACTTATTAGTTGACTTTTACTGTACATATACTTTTCAGTTTTATATATAGACATAAAATGACTGTGTGATATTGTCATAAGTCTATAAATACATATTTCAGTTAATCTTCAACATTTTTGTAAGTCCATTCTTTTCTAAGATGACATGCAAAATTACGACAGAAAAGTCAAACTTCTCGAATCGATTTTAAGCCTTAATATAACAACTCTTTAGTTTAGTCATTGATTGCACATTTTTCGCTATTTATAGTACTAAATATTGCGTTAACTAGGGCTTTTTAAATGCGTACGTTTTTATTCAATCAGTTACTCAATTGTGATTAAAGAAGACAGAAATATTCTGGACACTAATAAGGATATTAACTGCCTTACAGCCTTGCCTAGAGACGTTACTCAGTAAGAGAGAGAATATAGCGGTAAACATAAAGTGAAAGGCGGGCAATCCATATTGACCAAAAGCTTCATGGTTACCGCGATCTTCCCTCTCTTTTCAGGCCACGTTACATTCCCACTTACAGGCAGTCGTATGTGTTCCATACTCTAATACAATCAATAACTATGCTTCCATTTCGGTTTCCGTATGCTATGGGATTAAGGTTGATAATTACCAGATTTTTTTTTATGAATTAACAGCATAATTTTCCTAAAAATGGCAGTAAGTTGCTTATCTTTTCACTTATACGAACTATAAATATTTCTACTTTTCATATAAAACGTGTGATGTCACAAAATGCAGTTACAATATAAACAATTGGTGTTTTCTCTCAAGAAAACTAATATAAAAATACGGATTTAAGTTTAAGCCATAAACTGTAGTGATCGATTTTTCAATGGAAAACGATACAATAATAATAAATGTTAAATTATAAATTTAAAACTAAAAACATGCAACGTAATGTATAAAATAATTATACATACATATTATCTATGTATAAAAATAATTTAAAAAAATATTGTTTTAAACTTGTAGATATAAATATATGATTTCAAATGTTATAATTTTATTTTAATAATAAATTAATATTATACAATACCATATACATTGCTCAGATTCCAAATTCAATAGATAAAGCTTTTGCATTTTATTAGTCTGAAACAACGAGAAACAACAACACAGACTATATAACATATTATTATTTTTTTTTTCCAGTTTAACCACAGTTGTAACAGAATTTATATATAATAAATAAAGACGAAATAGGAAAAACATAACCATAATATTAAGGACAATAAAAGACGAATTATCGTGTCGAGTCTGTGCGGTCATTGGTACTTATATTCACGACAAGAAGGCTTTTAATACTTATCTTTATTTCGGGGCAGTGTGTATTATACTATTAATATTTACTTAAGTATTTAAGTTAATATAAAGTACCCTGCGATACACGTCGACCTTTAGAAAGAGAGACAATGAGAGAGAGACAATTATAGTATATAAGATCGTAATTATAATACATAAAAACGATTCCAGAACGGGTTGTCACTGGCGCATGCCCCTTCCCCTCCCCCCTCTTCTAAAGAGATGACGTCTCTTACCAAACGAAGATTTGAGATGCTTATCACAGGGTACTATAGAAAGGGAATAAAATAAATTCGTCGTTAAGGCCGATCTAACAATTTAATCTTACGTTTTTTAATCGCCTCAATGTGTAAAGACATTTTACAATGTTATTTTTTTCACTATTTATGACGATTTTCGCGATCCCTTTCTAACGACTATCGCTACGGTTCTATATCGTATGTCAATGTTTAAATTAGGATCTAGTATCAGTAAAAGTAGCTCTACACGGTACAATTTCCCGAGCAATCTCTGAATTCAATTTGTTGGCGTTGGTTATCGACCGTGATCCCCAAGTAAATAAATTCCACACAATTTCACTTTATTATTGTTAGCAGCAGCGTAAAAAGAAGAAGCTTTCAGTTGGTTAAAAAAACCAAAAACGTTGAAATGGACTTGATTTTGACGCTATGTCAACAATACAAAACAAAAAGAATGAAATCCATTTTCGACTAAATAATTAAAATTATTGTACGACGTATTTCACTTCAATTGCCGCCTCATCAAGAGATTGAATATAGAATTGTACCGTGTATAAAATGTCTATTCAACATTTCACAGATCACTAAAACTAGTAGAGACATCTGTTGGCGTTAAATTTAAAATTGCTGAAGCTAAATCTCGAAATTAATCGACAAAATCATTTCCATACGTATTTTCAACAATTTATCAATCCATCTTGTACAAATAGTCATTTTGTTTCGTAACACTGACATTTTTTAACCACTTAAAATGTATGATTTTTTTTTTATACTTAAGTCAAACTTTTTAAGAAAAAAGAAGGTTTGCGTCTAATTCACAGACTACAAAATAGTTTTGAAATGTACCTCACTTTATTTATAAGGTCTATTCTATTTACCTACTCATTTATACGTTTATTTGTCTGTGATCCTCAACTCAGCCAGTTCCTTCTCCTCATCAACTTCGTCTTCATCATCAGAGCCGTGGACGGAAGCCGCTGGTGTTATGGTCCCTTCAAAAAACAAAAATATCGTTAGTACTGTAGGTGGTTAATGAATAGACCCAGCTAGACTTTGTAACAACCTCTTAACCTCGTGAGGGAAACTATTTTATAGTTTATCACTAATATCGCATATTTAAAAGGTGAACATATTAAATGTATTATATTTGATCAATTTTTCAGTCACAATGCTATGCTGAAGAATATTCCCTGGCTACTTTGTCCCTGGCACTCTGATTCTGATCTGATGAAAATGGATTTTTAAGCTTTTTCATTAAGAATATATTAAAATATATTAAAATTAGTCTCTAAGTAATTAAAAAATAACCACATACAATATCAATCGACATTCCGTTCATTTATTAATATCCCCACTGTTGGGGCATAGACCTCGGACCACATTGGTGTGTGTAACGACAGCCGGGACTTAGGGCTCAACATCACGGCATGGGAGAGCCCGAGATAATATATAATTAGTCGCCTACATGTGACTACTCCTTGTGAAATTTACTTCTGTATAGCAGACTGAAAGCGCTAACTCCTGCACTATCAAACTCACCTCTTCACTATTAATTCAACAAAAACAGACTCAAATACCAAATATATTTTCAATAGAAGAATAATGAGTATCAAACGTTGAGCTGTCGCCTTAATTTTTGTGATCAATTAGTTAGAACTAACACGAATTAACTCTCTTTATTACAAAAACCAACAAAATTATACGTGAACCCAAAACGGCGTTTAAAGCAAAACTCAAAAAGATCCTTACACGAAAAAGTGATATATTCACCTATCATTTAGTGATCTTATCTAATTTTAAATTACTCTACGTCAGTGTTTTTCAATCTGTGAGTCGTGACCCCGAGGAGGGTCGTGGAGTCTTGGGGTCGCGGGCAATAAAAAGTCAAGGTCTATAAGGTTCAAAACATTTTTCTGTAAGGATTTATTTATTTGTCAATAAAATAGCAAGGCGTGTTGTCAATTCTAAAATTTTAATAAATGAATATAGGTAGTGTTGTGAATCAAACCTCATTTCACCAAATTAAAAATAAAATTCAAATTTTATTGACAATAAAAATATCTTCGTGGATAAACACCTAAAGTGTTTTACAGTAGAACTCCAATTATCCGAACTCCGACTATCCGAATTGCCGATTATCCGAATCACAAAAATTGTCCAAAAAAAGTCTAAGTGCGCTATTATTCTCCCCCCCGCGAAGCCAGTGTTTGCGCGTCAAGTCTTGACTTGACTTGTCTTAACTTGCCGTTGTGCCTACACTGACTTCCCCCCGCGTGTGTAGGCACAACGGCAAGTTAAGACAAGTTCCGGCGCATTGCAGTCACGGCGCACCTGTCATTGTTTGTTTTGATTAGCCAGTGTGCTATTGACCTTGCTCGAGGACGCTACTCTTTCGCTACGGCTTACTTTTGTTTGTGCGTGTACAATACTGTATTGTTTTTATACCATGGCTTCGAAAAGAAAACGTGTTGTGCTATCGTTAGCGGACAAACTGAAAATTATAGAGCAACTCGATAAAGGTGTAACGGGTAAGAAGTTATCTGAGATTTATGGTGTTGGACAAGCAACAATTTCTGACATTAAAAACAGTAAGTCAACACTTTTAAACTTTGTTTCGGTGCTTGAAAATGAAGATGGAAGTTCCTCCAGGAAAACAATGAAGACAGCAACCAACAAAAGTTTGGAAGATGCCGTGTTTAAATGGTTTTTGCAGCAACGTCCTATGGGAAATCCGATTTCAGGTCCAATCCTTTGTGAAAAAGCCAAAATCTTTGCAGAAAAGCTTGGTTATTCATCTTTTAAGGCTAGTAACGGCTGGCTAAGGAATTTTAAATTCAGGCATGGTGTACGCGAGTTAGATTTGGCTGGTGAGAAGCTTTCAGCAGACTCTGCAGCTGCTGAAAATTTTATTGAAAAATTTAAAACTGCATCAGAATCCTATGATCCGGAGTTTGTTTATAATGCCGATGAAACTGGCCTTGTTTGGAAAGCATTACCAAAAACCACTTTGGCTTCTAAAAGGGAATCTAGTGTCCCTGGACATAAGGTCAGTAAAGAACGTGTTACAGTGCTTAACTGTGCCAACTCCACTGGAAATCATAAACTGCCACTTCTTTTGAAAGGAAAATCAAGAAATCCAAGAGCATTTAAAAACGTAAAAAACCTTCCACTCTTCTACAAAAGTCAACCCAAGGCCTGGATGACTGCAGCTTTGTTTACCGAATGGTATGATGAAGTGTTTATTCCTGAAGTGAAAAAGCACCAAAAATCGGTGGGAAAAGAAGGCAGTAAGGTGCTTTTAATTGTTGATAACGCACCCACTCATCCTACAGCAGAACTGTTGGAAAGAGAGAATGGGCAGTTCAAAACGACGTTTTTGCCTCCCAATGTTACAAGTTTGCTGCAACCCATGGACCAGTCTGTTATTGAAACAATGAAGCGCCATTACAGAAGGCAACTGCTGAGAAAACTGCTGAACGAAGGTGCTGAAGATGAAGAATTGGTTTTGGCAAATCATAGCAAAATAAATTTAAAGGACTGCTGTTACATGGTAGCGGAAGCTTGGAGTTTGGTTACGGCAGTGACGCTAAGACGTGCGTGGAATAAACTGAAAGGCCTACCGTCTGAGAAGAACAAAAAAAAAGAATCTGAAGAAAATGAGAAACAAGAATATGGAGAGGATGATGATGATAAAGATGCGTTGTCACTAGAGGAAATAAGAAAAATGATTGTAAAAATTCCTGGTTGTACAGAAGTAAGTGCTAAAGATGTAGGAGAGTGGATGGCTTGTGACACGTCTGACCCTGGTTTTCAAATTCTCAATGACGATGAAATTGTTGTAAGTGTGAGAGAAGACGTTGAAGTGGAAGTGGAAGAAGAACTTTCTGCTGATGTTGAAGTAGACGCTGGACCATCAGCTAGTGAAGCATTTGCCGGCCGACTGCTTTGAAGTGGATGGAGCGTCAGCCCGAGTGTGACCACTTGCAACTGCTCACCGTCAAGCGAATGCGTGACCTGGCTGCCCGAAAACGGTTGAAGACCGCAAAACAGCTTACATTGACGGAGATGTTTAAAAAACAATGATTTTTATTTCTAAACTTGTACATAAGTACATTTTATTTATATTTAAAACATGTGAAAATTTCATGTTTCTTTCATTTAATTCAATAAAAAAATAGTGCAATATCAAAACGTAGCTTTTATTCTCACCAATGGCAATTTTTTTTTTTTAAATCCGATTATCCGAATATTTGATTATCCGAATGGGTCCCGGTCCCCATTAATTCGGATAATTGGAGTTCTACTGTATTTGGTTAAAACGAGGCATAGTTTCTGCAAGAAATAAATCGGAAGACCTGCAGGAACGTGAATTCACCACAGGTAGGTAAATAAAAAAGTTTTAAATATAGTAGTTATAAGGTTGATACCTGGGTAAAAAATAAGAGATTGTTTTAAGTCCGTCAGGTAGATAATAGACAAATATAAGAAAAGTTTTTTTTTCAGTTAAAATGTAATGGCTTAGCTAATAGGAATTAAAGTTGAGGAGTGGCGGCTCGCTTCGATACAACTATTTAGTAAATATACAAAGGTGTGACGTCATGCAACATTTCAACTCAATGTATCGCCGTAATTTATAAAATACAAAAAAAAAACGTGTTTAATATTCTTTAATAATCTACCGACAGACAGAAAACAAAAATTAGTTATTATCTCTATAATTTTTTTTATCTTTCTATTGCCCGAGGAGATCACCAGAATTTCTGAATTTCTCAGTCTGGAAAGTTTGAAAAACACTGTTCTACGTGAACCCACAATGCCGCACTAATGAACCCACAAAGACCACACGAAAACCTGTGAAGGCTACTCCGTTTTATCGGCACACTCGTTCAGTTTGCAGATCAGTTGATCGATTTGTTCGGTCACAGCCTCGTTCAGCGGCTCCAGAAAGTTCTCATTCGGCGTTCGATAGTTTTCGTGTTCGGACTCTGAAAATGGTTTCCCGAACGCGACTTCGATGCCGACGTCACCCTCGTCTTGTGTTATTTCCAAGATCTCTAATGATTTCTGAATGTTAATCAGGTTCTTTTTTTCTACTTCTATTGCATGTTCGCATGTTTGAACCTGTTCATCTTTTGTCTCTTTCTGGACCTCTTTTATTATGGACGCGCTGAGACGTGTTGATGAGTCGTAACGACGTACTATTAGATGCAAGTACATAAAATTTAATTTATGATTACTTTAGAACCACTGTTGATGTACTTGTCATAGCATCTTTTCTATTCTAAAATACATGCACTGGTTTACTCATTCATATTTACACTCAATTATTCGTTCGATTTTGAATTGTTCATTCGCTCACTAGTTATTAGATTCTAGAATCTTGATGAGTTTGGCTCAGAAAATATATCCGCATTTAAATTCAGCTGATTTCTCGTCTATATTACTCTTGAGTCTGTCCATTCATTCTATCAGACACTCGCACCATCATTCATTCACTCTAAACAATTATTTACTTATCAACGTTACTTACATTCACATCAATACAACTCACTCACTCATTCATTTAGATGTATACTCACTCGAATGCGTAGGGCTCGGTGGTTCTGATATCGGTCTTGGGTAGTTAAATCTCTTGCCGAGCTCTATATGCATGTGGTCCACGTAATCAGGATATACTATCTTCAAAGCCTGCGCGCGCGCCTGGCGGTAATACTGTAACAAACAAATATTCATATAATTAGGAATTTGTTAATACGTATTCTGTAAGGGATAACCCTGTATATTTTTGTGATGGTACCAGCATGAACTTTAACCGATAAAGTAACATCAAAACTTTACAATGAGACCATCTATAACGTTTTAAGACATTCTAGACGGAATTCACAGCTCTTTGAAAAATATAGACAACAAAAAAACTAAAAAATATTTATTTTCAAAGGATTCTAATAATACGATAATATGGATGACGTCAATTTTTGTTTGTCCGTCAGATAGATTGTTGAAAAATATTAAACACGTATTTTTTTTATTTTTTGCGTAATCATTATTATAACGACGATACCGTGAGTTAAAATGTCACATGACGTCACGCTTTGGTAAATAATCTACAAAACTGTGATGTAGCGAGGACCCACACCTCAACTTAAATGCTGTTAACTATTTCTTGTTAAATTTATGTAAAAGGAAAATGCGTATCTAATATTTTTCTATTATCTGACTGGCGGACTAAATAGGATTTCCCTTTTTTACCGAGTCTATCATCCCTATTCACATATATATATGACACGAGTGTCTCTTTTCCACTTACAATGCCTAGATTCCTCCAGTCCATAAGATCAGAGAGTCGCTCTGTTCTGTTTCTCTGAATGATGCGCTGTCGTCGTGTCATTCTGTGAATGAATTTTTTTTTTTATTTGACTATCATTGTTTATTATTTTATGGGAAAATCATATGCTGATTTAAACGTCATTTAGAGTAGGTCGAGACGAAACAGATCAAAATAAAAAATCTATTAATATTTTTTCAACGCTTTCAGAGTAAAACATATCTATTTCACTCTAATATATGAAACAACACGCGACAGCAACAGTGGCATAAAAATGTTTCCGTCTTCAATGATATATGCGACAGAGCAGCCAAAATACTTATAACACACGTGCAGTCAATAGCACGACTGCACGTGTGTTATAATACACACTGTGTGTTATAACACACGTGCAGTCTATATGTGTGTTATAATATATAAGTGACAATAGCAATAAGGTTATACAAACCTGTAAAAACTAACCGCTCGATTTTCAACTTTAAACCTTAACTTTTGAAGGTAAAGTTTAAAACCAACTGCGCAAATTTGACATATTGTACAGGCGTGTGTACAATAAGTACGTCAGTATACAAAAATATCGCAAACGCTGCCACTGGCAAATGTCATGCTATGTTATTTATGACAAAGACAATTTTTAATTTGTCGTATAATATTTCTCTTTATCTTATGAATACTTTTATTCTTTAGTTTATATACGTGAACTTTTACTGCACCTATTGCACTAGCTTGTCTCGTACTAGCATACAAGCTAGTCGAGTTCTTTTAAGAGCATTTTATACTCTAGTAACATTAAAATAAAGTATGAAGTGAAATGAATTTTACAGCAAGCAAAGAATATAGTGTTTTTTAAAAAGCCTTATTATTACAATGATCCAAGTTTATTTTTCATTTGTTATGATTGTTATGGGTACAGGTGACCATGATTTATTTGATTGTAATTAAATTTAGGAAAACATATCATTATATTATATTTTGCTGAAATCGAATCAGTATCTGATTTAAAACAATCTATTTTAAGGACGTGAATTAATTATGTTACAGGGTATATACATTTAATTACAAAAATATTTTATACATATAGAGACACTCACTTGGTGAAATCGAACATGTACTGAGCGAGTTGTTGGACGGATCCCTCGAGTGATATATATCTGCGATCCACAACATATATGCCATACGACATCGGATCCGCTATATGCTCCTGCATGAAGCATCCGAAACCTGGCCATATAAAATTAATTGAAGAACAAAATTATACAAAGCTCCATGATGTTATGTGCTCTGTTCTACATTTCATTTATTATTCATGTCATCATCTTAGCTTGACAATAATACTGAATATATATATCAACGGTTGAAAGTTAGACTAGTTTAATCTAAGTTGGCAGAAAATCGCTGCTTCATCTGCATAAGGTGATTTTAGTCAGACCCTGATCTACGTTTTTTTTAACCGGGGCAGAAACTTCCTTTGGTCTGCCCCCCTCCTAAGCTTTTCACCTCTTTTATAACTGTAACTATTTGTTGGCTAACTCGTTGGCGGTACCCTGGCACTGGCGCCAGGGGTAAGTTGTTTATTAGTTTGTTGTGCTGTCATAACATTTACAAGTCTATGTTCATAAACAAATGGACAACCGACGCTACGCTAATACAATGTATGCAAAAACTACTTTTCTCGGAACTCTTTACCCCGCACTACACCCCGCCAGTGCTGTGTTAATTCCTATCATGTTAATTCCTACCGGTAGTATATATTAGTTTCACTGAAAGTAATAGCATTCATTCACAAGACTCATAGAACGAGCGTTGTAGTTTTAATTACCCTGTATAAAAATTTCACTTCTACCATGTTATATTAAATAAACGACTTATTTTGATTCTAATTCTACAAATTACAAATTAATTAATCTTATTATATCTCCTCACCGGATAAATTGGTGGTGATACTCGGTATCCCCATGACTGTACACTCGGCGGGCGTGTAGCCCCACGGTTCATAGTACGAGGGGAAAACGCCTAAATGGCAACCACGGACGAACTCCTCGTAGTCCAAACCGAACAGTGGATTAGTGGAGGTGAGGAACTCGGGGTGGAATATCACTTTGACTTTATCGTGTACCGTGTTGAACATTTGACATCTCCTCACTCCATTCAGCACTGGGTCACTCCAATCGTCAACCTGTAAAATAATCACGTAAACAACCTTATTTTTATATCTAGATTTATTAAGCAACTTTTATCTAAAAGATTCAAACTGAAAATTGATTCAAGAGACCTTATTCTCTTCGACTTTAATAGAAGCTTCTTGAATTATTTTTCATTATTATAAAACCTTTTTCAATATGGTTAGTGATAATACTTTAAAAAAAAAAGGAGAATTTTAGTTTTTTTTTTTTTAATAATGTGAGTTTTCAGTAATCTCTTTCTGACTATGGTGCCAACCGTGAGCAATGCGGGTCACCGCCATCGTTCCGTATAGCGCTGTCCCACTCGCTGCACGGATTAAACATTGCTATAAAAGGTAATGGTAACACCCCATGTACGTTTGATTAGATGTTATGATACAGACACACGGTCGAATTATCAAAATAAACTTACGACATTGTGTGTAGTGACTGGGGGCAGTCCGTCCCTCTGTAGGGCGTATATACAACGCTTCAGTCGCACTGTGTCGTCTTTGTGCAACAGATCTGATGCTTCAGGCAAATGACCTCTGACAATCATAAAACGAAAACAAAACTTTTTTTTTATTCAGTCTAGGCTGTTACAAGCAAATTATAAGAAAGTGGAGAGCTACGCCATCAGTTCGTAAATCTACGGCGGGAGATTTTCAAACTAAAAAAAAAAGATACTTAAGGAATCCAACCATCTCAGCGTGTATATCGCGTGACTTTATGGCTTTAATTTGATTGGTATAAAATGTAATAAAAATACACTTTACTTTGACCCATATACATTATATTTAATACAGTATTGGACGTTAATTTTGATTGAATCCGATACCAACCAAATTGAAGTCAATATATTTACACTTTAGACCTGCAGTGACTGAGACGGGAACTATAAAAGAGTAAATAATCTAATGCATAAAAACCTGCCTAGATAAAGATAAAATATAAAAACAAGTTTTCCTGTAATCTCTTACTATTATCAGAACTTTGGAGCGAATAATAAATTTTCGCAAGATTTTTCTTTTTCTAAAATCATAAAAATAATATCTCATGTGTTCCTATTATTTTAGAACTTAATATACAGACTTAAAATATGTACAACTTCCGTTCTACATCGATAGGGCCGCGTACCCCGACATATAAATACCAATCTCGAATGGAAACATTATCCCTTTAGCCTCCGTTACCAGTTGCTACCACCAAGTAGGAACATGTACCTTCAATATAAAAATTCTAAATAAAAATTTTAAGTAGTATTTTATCACTCACCTAAGGCATATGTCATACATGCGTCTCCCAATTTTCTGTTGTATATCTTGTATCGTATCCCTCAAGGCTTTAGTTACGGCGTGACCTCTAAGACTCTCTACGTTAAAATTGTTGGTTTTCGCCGGGAATATCAGGAAAGCGACCACTGTCATTTCCGAACCTGCGGCCTGAAATGAAAATAATAATTTAATATTAAAAACTAGCTGTTTTCCCGTGACTTCGCCTGAGTAAATTATACCACCCGCATATGATGTATCTTCCCGTAGGTGATAGCATTTGCTACCTAACAGTTCTGGCAGTAATTAATGAAATATGTTGGGAATGGTAACTTATGTGTAAACGATAATATTATTTTATTTTATTTTAAAATAAATTATAATTTATAATCTGTGGATTACAAGAACCCGAACGCGGGCGGCTATGACGGAGTATCGTGTGACGTCACATTTCAATAGTCTAAACGTCAATATCAACGAATTTTGAATGGCATTAAAATATTTGCACATTGACAATAATTATAATTACTAAAAGACATAAATGCTACAGATTCTGTTATGTATTAAATATGTAAATTTAATAACTATAATTACAGCCATGTGTAAACCTCAGTCACAATCCAAGCAACCATCTCAAAAGTCTACCACCGGATGGATGACCAAAAACTAACCTTCAAATAATGATTAAGCCTGGCCAACGCTTCAATGAATATATCCGCCCCTTTGTTCCCGTATTCGTAACGGCCGGCAATGAAGAAGTACAAAGTCTTATCCAAATCGAAGTTGAAATGTCTGCAATAAAAAACAACCAAAAATCTATTTAAGATTTTCCCAAAATGAAAATGTAATAGTCTGCAAGTTCTTTAATTGACAGTTCAAAAATAATAATTAATACATGACCAATTGATCATTGACCTTGAATTAGATATGCAACTCCATTACTTCTATATTCTAAGATCAACCCAAAATATCATTGAATACTTTCAATTTTTATATATATCTTAAGTCCATTTTAGTAAGGTCGATTTTAGTTAAGCAGTTTTTTGTGGTTTGCAGAAATATGTTTAGCTATATTTCTAAATGCCAGTATAGACGGTTTTCGAGCACACATTTTATAGACGATACGAACGAACAGGTAGTCCTTGGAAGTACCACAAGTAGTCCATAGATGCTTATAAAATTATTAGTACATAAAAATAATGGTATATACCAATTTTAACAATACATAATCTATTTAAAGATACACAATTATAATTGGTAATCATAATTAAACATATAATAAAAATATTTCATTTATATAACGAGTCCAAGGTTTTTCATACCTGAGAAAAATCTTAAAAAGTTGGCCCTTGGGCTGCCATGGCAAACTAGAAAATAGTCCCTATGACTTATAGATTAAAAGCCACCACGAACCCGTAACAACTACTCACCCATAGAAATGTCCCCTGGTGAATTCATTAATCTTCTCCTTGGCTAGAGCGTGCAAGTTCTGGAATTCGTGGAGGGCAGAAAATTTCTTCACATTGAGCCCATTGGGTGTTATTATGTCTGGTTTACGCTTCAGAAGATGTTCTGCTTCATATCCTATAAAAAACATATCATACCAGTTCATAAATATCACTTTCTGATACTATATAAATGAATAACAACTCTTAAAAAGCTATTGTATTGAGCCTTTAACTTGCGTTTAGTTTGCAAATTCATTCAACTTGAACAGACAATCGACAAATCGAGTATAGGTAATTTTATCTTGTACATTTTGACTTGTACATACATACAATTTAATGCAATTATTATTTATATACATTTAATGCTCATACCATTAACGTTTAATGACGCCTTTAAGCTCTAATGAATGTCAATGTTGTATGGGTAATGTCGCTTTAAAGTAATGAACATTTTAATGGACGTTTGTGCAACTGGCTGATAGTATGTAAGGCAGCTTACCTCAATTTATCATTAAATAAGATAAAACTCATACAATATATAATACATTGCTACCGGTACCATAATTATAGCTTACCAGTAATATCAGACACTGTTGTAAATATATGAGTCATATGCGCGGCCGCACGCTCCATGCAATAGCGGTGATATATCTGTCTCTTTCCCGCCTCCTCGTCTACTGAGAACTGGAAAGAGACAGCTAGTAAAATACTGGGTACAAATTTTTATTAAGTTCATTCAAAAATCTTGGAATATATTTTTACATGTCACTTTACCTTATCTAAATTGTTATAGAAATCAGTGTTGCCAGCGCACAAATATCTTCCCAATAACGTTGCGTGAGTCGTGAATACGGTGGCAACATCAACATGGCGCACTCTGTCGACAGTAAATCATTATAAACATATGTATATAATAGTTATTATTATACATATAAAGACCAAATTTCTACAATTTATTTCAAACTTAACCGATTAAGGCCAATTATATACAGATTAAGGCTTTAAATCTAGAAAAAATAGTCTACGTTTGGTTGTATTAATCATTTTATTACACTAAAATGCTTTAGTTGAGGAGCTTTAGTCACTCACGGCTGCACGTCAGGTTAACACAATACATCAAATTTCTGCAATGGATTTTGACTTTTACTCTCAAAGCATTATGGATTAAAATCATATTATATCCTTACCTTAACATAATAAGACCGATACCGGCTTGCCACTCGTGGAAATGTGCAACCACTCGCGGCGGAGTGTCACTGAAATCTTCCGCCGCTTTACGGAACTAAAAGTAAATTATATCCTATAATATGTATAAGATACTATGTATAAGTAACTATTTTGTTTATTATTCGCGGTCTAAGCATTTATATTAAAAAGCGTATCTCCACCTACATAACTCGAATAGCAGTCGTTACATTGACTTTAATTTGTTACACACGTATTTTTAATCACGAAGGTCACAAGAATACATTTGCAGTTCCACAAGGATGTATACTTGGACCGCTGTATTTCACCACAAAAACGTACCTGTATTTCTAATTTTCACTGAATCACACAGATGTAACTGAACTGCCAATGCAATCCATAACGCTTTAAAGTTAACCTGAAGTTAGAAGATTTAATGGCATAGCATTGAGAGTCAGTTGAATCAATAATTTATTTTATTAATAATAATGGAATTATTTTTATGTGAATCAAGTTTTCTTTAAGGAGTAAGAGTGTGCTTTATCGTCTCTATTTATCTTAAGCGTTATATTATCCTCCACATGAAGGGAAGAGAAAAAAATGAAGGTTCATTACCTTTTCTCTTGTTGATATAAATAGACCCTATTTATACACCTTGACATTTTATTATCTGTATTATATTTGCACAATCATGTAATTTCTTTCCCAGTCTTTATATTTGTTTATATATTAATATTATTTCTGAGATACCCGCTGACTACCATAGTATATATTTTTCTATTGTGAGCGTGCTGGTAAAAAATTCAGCTTGAAATAAGCAGTGCCCTTATACTAATGCCTATTATAATAGAGATGAGGACTGGGTAAAAATAAATCTATTTAGTCCGTCAGTCAGATGATAGAAAATGATTAGATACGTATTTTTTATTTAAATTCAACAAGAAATAGCTTAGATCAGGCGTTAAAGTTAAAGTATCCCAGTAATTTAATGATTACAAAGTTTAATCTTTTTCAAAAATCTACCTAACAGACAAACAAAAACTAGTCGTCATCCCTATTGTAAATTGAGTTATTTCAAAGCCTTCAAAGGACTATTTCAACCAACACACAATCGACACATTTTTCTCATTGTTTCACTTGCAGATCGGCATTAACTAAATCTTACTCACCTCGGTAATAAACTGCGCCACCATGAAGCCCAGTATGACGGCATCGTTGGCTTCTACGTCCAGGTGTGGGATACCAACGGAGGTGGTGTCCCATAACTCCTGCTTGTATCCGTCCAGTTGCCAAGCGCCTGAGCCTATATCGAATAGGATCACTTGAGGATTACCGTCGACCAACCACGTGCCCGTGTGGAGCTGTAAACGAAAATAACACCTAACACTATTGACAGAAGAAATAAAATGGCATCGGGGTGTTGATTTATTTTTCAATTGCGCCAATAAACGCTATAAAGTTTGTCGAAACAAAATTAGTAAAAGCAAACGGTCTATTTCAAGAATTTATTGGGATATAAACATTTTTTATATATTAGCTTGTGACGTCACAACTTGGTTTACCAATATGCTTTTTATAAAGTTGAAATCGTGATGAGTGATTACGAAATTATTGAATTAGCTGCAGCTGCTTTTTTTTTGATAAAAAGTATTTCTAAGCATCATGTAAGATATTAGAACAGATTAATGAATTAAAATGTGTTTAATTAAAGGTTATAGATACAACATTTTGGCAGGCAAAAACAAACCATTATATTCTATTTTTTTAAATTTTTTTTTTTCGGAAATCCTGGCAGCTACATTTCATACTTAAAGAGAAGCTTAACATGTTTTTTCTATTGTTATTAATTCATTTTAAAGCCTTCAGATGCTGGCAGCTACATTTCATACTTAAAGAGAAGCTTATACATGTTTTTCGTTGAATAAAATTCAAAGAATTCGGGCATACTGATTATAAATCGTACGAATTAACATCACACTCGAGAGCCTACACTCTTTATCCTCAAATTATTAAAATCATCTCCGTGAAGATTATCTGTGCATCAGAGGCAGTGTCAGGTCCTACTACCGTGGCATCATAAATTATCGAAATATATTTTCTTTGTATTAGCATTTCGAGAATAGACGAAATTTCTTTTTCGGAGAAACAGAATAGGCTTTTAGGTCTCATGTTAATTGTAACAAGTAATAGTAATTTTAACACATAAAATTTATATACCTTGTAGCCTTGGCTCCTCATCGCGTTAACCGCAATAGCTAAGGGCGAATTCTGAGGAAACTCGGCCTCTTCCACTTCAGTTCTTGCACAGTGTTCCTTGTAAGGACCTAATGAGAATAAATGTATGATCATCAAAGCCATAAGTTATTAAACATATATACAGAACAATTATAGAATGTCCAACTTACCCAGCAAACAATAGTTGTCACCCATTTCTTCTGTAGACACGTAAGCTTTCGACCGTATCACTGTATAAATGCCTCCAACTGAAAACAAACCGTACATTTTAATCTGGGCGAAGTTTCATCAGCAAAGATCTTTTTCTTTGACTATTTGTTCCTTAAATCTACCTTATAAATCGATCCCGAGTTTATGTGTAAAATGTTTACCATTATTGTAATCACAAATACGTTTTCGGGGCACTTGTTTTCAGTCAATTCCTAAGTCAAAATTAGTAAATAGTAAAAACATTTGCAATAATAATTAATATGCTAAAGATAGAGTATCTCGGTGGCGTAGTGGATAAACGCCGCGGCTCGCGATCGTTGTCGCTAAGCAACTTCCGCAAGGGTCGGTCACGGGATGGGTGACCAAAAAATTATTATCTCGAGCTACTCCGTACTTCGGAAGGCACGTTAAGCCGTTGGTCCCGGCTGCATTTGCTGTCGTTAATACCTTCCAATCCGCATTGGGACAGCGTGGAGGATCATGGCCCATCCTCCTTAACCATCCATAAGGAAGGCCTGAGCCCCTGCAGTGGGGACGTAAAAGGGCTGATGATGACGCTAAAGATCCATTAAAGTTTATTAAGTTAATAGTAGAAAATTATTGTTAATCAATGAAATAAAATTTCGCGCCCGACGCAGATGCTAATTCTCATAGCTTTCATTGCTATTTACAATCATATGTAAACGAAATTTAGCAAATAAAATAGCAATAGTAAATAGCGTGCTAAAATACTAAAAATATTTCCATAACCAATCAAAACCACCCCGTGAGATATCGTATATATCGATATATATATATATACCATTCAGTACAATGCCTATGTAAGATTTATTATTATAATAAGAAACATTTTACCGCTTCTTTGTTTGCATCGATTAGACTACGAAACTACTGAACAGATTTTAAAAATTCTTTTACCAACAGGATGCTACATCATACTCGGGTAGAACGCGTTTTAATCTACACGGGCAAAGTCGTGGGAAAACAGCTAGTTAGAAACTAACTCATGCATATATATTTTAGTATGTAGTACCAACTAGGTGAACATGTATAAGGTTGTCGCATAACCAAGATGTAACAGTATCCAGAGATAAACTATTGTGTGTGCGTGCAAAGCGTGCACGTTTTGTCTCAGACTTGATGCACTGGTTTTAATTAAGTAGCTGTCGGATATTGTTGCACCAACTATTAGGTCATAAGGAACGACTTCACGGCGCCATCGTTGAGGTTCAATTACCAATCGGGGCAATGGGGAAAACATAAGACCCCTATATTAGTTTTTAGTTTGACAATATACATATGGTTTATGATCTTATCATCTCTGAGGTCTCCAGTTAGATTAGCTGTCAGATTGTAAATTGCACTTTTCTGTATTGTCTTGGTTCTGGGTACTGTGTTACAATCATTGTATCCAATGAAGGCAACACCAGTGCCGAGCTACCTGTTTAGCTTTTAAGATAGGAAGGCCTTCTCTGTTTCTCCAAAAAAGAAATTTTGTTTATTTTACGATAATTTATGATGCAACGTAGGTAGGAGCTGACACTGCCTCTGATGCACAGATAACCTTTACGGCAATGATTTTAACAAAGATTCGTTCGTGGAAAAACAAAGTACGCCTTCCGATTGAAGTCGCGCGCGTTACACATAAAATATAATGATGTATACAATAAAAAAACAAAAGAGAAAATAGCTGGAGAAAATAAATGGATTTTCAATCCGCACTTTTAACAACTTAGCTTTACCTTTGTTGGCGACTTCCCAAGCCGTCTCGAATGTCCACCGGTTCTCATCGCTCGCCGCTTGTCCTCTGTCCATGTACGAGAGGAGGTCATGAGTAGACTCCGCGCGGTAGAACCGCCGCGAGGATCTGTCACGCGACATCGTGCCCTGTTCAATAATAAGGATTAAATTTTAAAAGAAACAATTATTTTCGGTATATTTTTTAAAACAACTAGCTTCCCGCATTTAATCTGGATCTTATCCCTAGGAAACCGTTTAGGAGGATAAAACGCCAGGCTTACAATTATTCGTGCACCAGATTTTTTTCATACAGTAGTTTTTGTGTAAAAGATTAACAAACATACATACATATTAATAAGATTGTAATAACATATGAAATAGCCGGCCATTAAACGATCAATCCGAATCATTTATATTACACACACAAATTATAATATCTGTATAATATGTGATCCATGTCAATCTGATATCAATCAACATACTACACGACAATCTGACATCGATATGATCAAGATCGTGCATTGATTTTAATTCAGATTAATGATCATAATGGCCCTATTAGTGGCAGTAGATTTTCTTTCCCACCTTATACCTCAAATCGGGGTTCTCCAACCACTAGGATCTACCCGGAGGGGAAAGGTCATCATCATTCATATCAATGTGTTTCATTATGAATATAGAGCTAAGAATGTTTCATGATGAAACACATTCACAATATAGGCCTTTTTGTTATGTAGTAGTAGTAGTATAAGCGTAAAGTACAATTATTTTAATTAAGGGGTCTCTTGATAATCGTGGTTGATTTCCTAGTTCTAAATCCATGGATCAAAAAAGGTTAAGAAATGCTGAACTGAAACAACGTATAAGGTTTTATTTAACGTATTTACGTGCGTATATTACACGTTAACAGCATCAGTTAATTATTAACCTTAATACGCTAGAATTTAAGTTCAAAATCAATTACTGATTTTTATTGATTTGTGGTCAACTGCCAATGCTAGTTTGAGGTTTTATTTTACATATAACCCAAGATCCAATTTCACATCTGCTGAATTATAAAGACATCAGATACGGTGATATATCGTAGTAACAGTGTATTTTATTCGATACCGAAATTGGTAAAACATAATAAAATCGTTATTGACATCTAAATATATATAACTCAAAGGTGGCTGACTGACATAGTGATCTATCAACGCACAGCCCAAACCACTGGACGGATCGGGTTGAAATTTGGCATTCAGGTAGATTTTATTACGTAGGCATCCGCTAAGAAAGATTTTGATCAATTCTACCCCCAAGGGGTTAAAATAGAGGATGTAAGTTTGTATGAAACTTTATCAATTTTAAATTTTTAATGAGACTAAGCACAAAGCTACTATGACTTAGGCATCCCCTAAGAAAGAATTTTGATAAATTCCACCCCTAAGGCGATAAAATAGGGCATGAACCTTTATTTAAGGTATTTTACACGATATAATGAATAAATATTCGTTAGAAATGCTGCTGAAAGTAACTTTACCACTCGGACGAAGTCGCGGGCAAAAGCTAGTAAAGGTATATATTTAAAGGTAACAGATGCTCCTTTCAAGTTCATTACTTTAAACCTACGTCTTATTATAAAACGAGAACCGACTTCGGTACAAGGTTTCTTCTTTTTTTTAAATTAATGGCGTTGTCCTTGTGGATTTCGCAAGAATCCAGTGTTTCCCTTAATTTACTTCAAATTTTATAAACTCTGCTTTAAACAATTATCTGACCAAAATAAGATAACACGTCCCAATTTGCCGTTTTTTCTTCTGTCATTACCAGTTTGCTTTAGGCGGTCAATGTTTAAATTCTTTGTTGTACCTGGTAGTACCGTTAACAATGTAATTAGATAGACGTGCTTGGAGTCTAGTTTTTTTTTGTTGTTATACCTGTTATCTCATTAATATCATATTTTTGTTAGGGGGCGTCCATAAATTACGTGAGATGTTTAAGGGGGGGAGGGAGTCGAGTCAAATCTCATCTAATCTCACGTTGGAGAGAGGGGGGGTCTCGGCAAATATCACGCAATTTTTAAAATAAGGCTCGGTGCGGGGAATCCCTCATAGAGTGACAAGTCTAAGGTTAAGATCATTCACTAATTCGTTGGAAAGAAAATAATTTCATTCGTACTTTGACATTATACATCACTCCTGATTGTCAAACCACTTTACTCGTTTTATACCAAATAGCTCAATTTAATTTGAATTTACGGTACAATGTAGCCCGTCCTTTGTTTTCGCGCCACTGTCAGCTGAACGTGTGACTCGATGAATGAGAGCAATATGGATTACTAGTCTCTAACTAGTCGTAAATAAAAGTACGAAGCGAATTATTTTTTTTTTCTTTTTATTAAAAAATCCAACGTGTTTAAATAAGAAACCCACTTTTTGAAAAATCTCACGTGAGATTTGGGGATGGGGGAGGGGATTGAATAAAATCTCACGACATCTCACCAGGGGGGGAGGGAGGGTCAGAAAATTTGAAAAAACACCTCACGTAATTTTTGGACGCCCCCTTATGGTCTCTTTACCTGTAAAGGCCACTACCGTGACATTGGCGGAATTGTGTGTAAACGCAAATAAGCCATGAATTAAAAAAGAAAAATAAATTTAAACCAAGTATATTTCGTCCTTGTTTTATAATAAAGTGGACTGTCTGTTCCTAGGGGAAGCAAAAAGCAGACGATGACCCAAATGACGTGCATCGCTAGTGGCTAATGGTATCAAATTATTTATGGTAAGGGTGTCTGTTTACCTATTGAACATAAGAGTTACGCGACATTCTGATTTCTGGTAACCGACTAGGACCAATATTGAAATCGGGTAAAATTTATATACATACCATACCTACTTAACCCAATAATACCAATGCCATAATATCGAAGGTACATATCACGCGAAGTCACTTTGAACGAAACTTCGTCTACTTTCGAAACACTAATATGATGTAACTGAGGTAGGACCTAACACAGCCTCTGTTCTGTCTTACGTTTAACTTTAATAATTCAGTAAACAAAATCAAATAAAAGCTTTAATTAAATATGTAAATAATAAAAATATATTGATTTTAAAAGAATATAAACAAATTCATGAGAAATATCGATAAAGCGTAGATTATAGCTACGGCTACGACTACGTACATGAGTTAGGCTATCGCGCCCCAGAGGGCTCTACTACTCTACTCTCTTCACGAACGAAAATTCGGAAAACTTCGAATCCTACTTATAATTTTGATAAAAATCATCATATTCGTGAATATATCTGTGCATCAGAGGCTGTCTTAGGTCTTAGTTACATCATATAAGCGTTTCAACTATCACCTTACACGTGACCGTAAGACTCGAAAGCCGGCACTGTGTCCTATAGAAATTACGGGTCCGATCGGGTTAATGCAGAACTCTCACTTTTCTATAATGTCTTAAGTCTGGGTATTCTATATGCAACGTTGTCTTATATTTATTTATTTTCTGTAGAATTAACCCATTAATATGACAACTAGACATAATTATGTTCAAATGTATTCAGAGACTTCTTATGTCCCAAAATAAGCAATCATCAAATCGCGATTCATGAAACATAAAAAAACACGTGTAAAACAAACATCGTGTTACTACTACTCATCTTATCGCGGTTGCGCAAGAGTTCAAGATTAGTATGTTAATCGACGACCATAGGCATAACGTGCGTAGTTACTATTTCCTTGTAAACATTATCGTAAACCACAGATAAATAAAAAAAATAGATATTTTTAGATAAAGATAAAAATGTTAAAATATTTTAACTAGATACCTAATACTTCGGAGGGGCGTACTTGATTATAATGTTTTATTGTAGTAAAAAATTATAATTATGTTAATATATGTAAAAGATTATGTGCTTATGATAATTACCTATACACGCGATTGGTAAAATGACGAGCAAATAGATGACAAAAGTATCATTGAAGTTTTTATGCGAAAGTTTGTGAGAATAGATATTTGTTAGACTTTGCCTGAATTATTAGATGGCCTTTTTATTCCACTGAACAAGAGATAAACGTCATGTCCATTCATTGTGAAAGCCGCTGCAGGAAATCTAGTTTTGAATAAATGCAGGATTCAATCCCAGAAATTCAAAATAGAGAAAAAATAAATATAGATAGGTCAAATTTTTGTTTCAATTCGTACAACGTAAACAGTAGGGTAAAATACCCAGAAGTCGCGGTTTTAAAGTTATATAGTGTTGAACTTGGTTTATACCATTGAAATGACGTCTGATCGAATCTATGTTCGAATCAAATTTCGAATCAAAAGGATGACCGGTTGATTAGCTATATTCGTTCATTTTCACTTCCGCCAACGACATAACCAAAAGCGTCACAATTCTTTTTTTTCATACGGATACGTGTTCATGATTAAGCTAAGTTTCTTTTAGAGTTCGCTGTGAATCCTGGTGGATTTCTATGTTACCTACATTTTTATTAAATGATTGTGTTGTATTTTAATTAAGCGTTAGAGGCATTTTATTTGTTCATTACATTATTATTCAGTGGGCAGACTACTGGATTTTGTTTTTCAGGGTTGATCCAGTGCTCGGCTTGAAGCGGCGGACTAGTGATGTTTTTTATTTCGTTGAAATTTCATTCAGTAAATTGGTCTCATTTTTTGCTATTAGTTATAACTCTTAAATGAAAATAAGTTAATTTTACTAGTAGTCGGCCGTGTATAAAAGTGACTGTATGTTGATGGCAAACTAATGGACTTTTGACTCAAACATTCGGCCCTTAGTTTTGCTGCATAAAGTTAAATCATAAGATTACATCTAGCACATTCATTTTAGCATAAAAATCTTGAATTACCTATATAATCTAATAATGTTGTTTGAAAAAATAAAGATGTAAAGGAACAGAAAAAGACCAGAAAAAATTAGATATAAGAATTAGCAGAAATAAAGACTGTTGAAGTCTAAAAATAGTCGAGAATAATAATAGAGAATGTAAAGAATATTAATTGCGTTTATTTGAAATGTACCGAATTTGCTGGTTTATTTAATGTCTAAGAAAATGTATATATTAAAAAAATTGTATGTGTAATATGCATGACTACCTAAGTGGGTAAAAGGCTGACTACAGGATAAGAAATTGTCGACTTGTGGTGCACATGAGGCCGAGTACTAGTGAAAAGTACCATATTTCGTTTAGTGTTGACTTTTTATATAATTCCAATCTAATTAGGAGAAATTTGTTTCTCTAGAAAATATAATAAACAACCTTTCTGATAAAAACAGTTGTTTTTATTTAAAGCCCTTATTTTTTAAAATATAGTATCAAATTAAGATACTAATTAAAAGGCCTGCTACTGGATATTTTACCCTACTCATCTTTCAATATTGTGCAAAAGAGAACTTTATTCTCAAGTTCAGTCCTCTTTTATTAAACTGGTGATAATAGGAGATTACCAACGTGCTCACGGAATGTCAGTGATAATAAAATTGATAATAACTTAAATGATCATGAATTAAATATTCCCTCTCTTTTTACGCTGATAATGAACAGAAACGCAACTGTTTACAAATTTATCAAAAGAATAAAATGGAACTATAGAGTGTAATCCAGTCACGGAGGCAGAACACCTGTTCTGTTTCTCCATAAAAGAAATTTTGTTTAACTTCGAAAAGAAACAAATGCATTTTCCAATAATTTATGATGCAACAGAGATTGAACCTGACCTCTGATGCACAGATAATCTTCACGATATGATTTTAAGAAAATTTCGTTCGTGGACACAATAGGCCCTCAGCGTCGTAACGTGAACTATGCATGTGCGTAATGATCAGCGATCATGCGCTCGTCGCAATTAATTTATCATTTCATAGTTTATAGGTATAGGTTTAGAATGTCGATTTCTGTAAATAATTCTTGTACCATCAAAATAATATGTAACTTATGTTATAAAGAGGGAATAATTTATTGTTTTTTTTGCATTGAATAGACTCTGAAAATACTGGACCGAATACAAAAATTCTTTTACCTACGAGAAACAACATACATGGGTGACAAAGACTATATTTTATGCGCAGGAAAACAGCTGATGTAAAAAATAGATACACTCAAACCCTTTGTCCTAAAACCTCTTCCCTATAGATGGAATTGAATCAAATAGGGAGAATGGGCCATAACCACGTGGGCCAAGTATGGATTGGTGGATACTAACGATAGCAGATGCAACCAGGAACAATGGTTTAGTGTACCTTGTGAAGTAGGGAGGAGTTCTGGATAATATATGTTTGGTCAAACATACTATGACAGGCCATTGCGAAAGTAGCTGAATAACCGCAATCTCATGCTGGGCCTGCTAGCCACTGCGTCATTGGCATATTGTTAATGATTATATATGTATACCTTGTATAAACTCAATATTAGTGTGTTAGAAGGCATGAAGTTACTCAATGGGAGATCAAAGTAAATCACTGATACCAAAAATGGACATTACAATCCCCAGAGATTGAAGGCAAATGCAAAGGAACATGTAAGCAAAACAAATTTGTCCTGTCAGTCAGTTGTTCAGTCAGTCAACTCAACTATTAACAAAAAAACTTTTTAGTGAAAAAGAATTGATTTACATTTTTTTTGTTTTAATACAACTTGGTTTTCTTTACAGTTCATAGGTCTTGTCAACAGAAGACTCAACAAGAGTCAAAAGTTAATTGATTAGAATTTCTTTCACAAATTAGAATTTTTTCACTTTGATTGGATGAATCACAGTTAAGCAATAGTTAGTTTCTATAAGAGTTATGCTGTCACAGTCAGCTTAGGAGAACAGGCCTTCTCTAGAGATAGATTCAAATAGGGAGAATGGGTCATAATGCAGTAAACCCAGTGCAGAGGTACCATTCCAAAGCATGGAGCTTAAGATAATAAATTTATGTCTTTACATCCTATGACAGTAGATCAAACTTTGTATTCCACACCTAACACACTGCGCCATAGAGCCATAAGTGAAGTTGATGATACATATATTTTATAGAAAAAAAGTAACCATCAATATATTTATAATATAGATATTAACTTTATTTTAACTACATTTCTAAATTATAATTTGTTTAAGTTATAACTTTATTTTTTTAAATAAGTACATAGTTTAATTATCAAAAAATATAGTAGTAGGTATTTTATTGATATATTTAACGAGAATCTTGTTAAAAATACATTTATGTAGATATTTATTAAAAAGTATAAATTCATATTTGTTAACTTTATGAAATCAACAGCTTTAGATTAAATAATAACTCATATATGAGGGAAATGTAGGTATATATTTTTTGTGAAGCTGTTGATTGCATGCAATAATGAGTGTGTGCAGTCTCGCTCTGAATATTTTCTAGAATTTATCTATGGCAAAGTTGATCATTTTAATTACATTTCTAAATTATAATTTGTTTCAGTTATAACTTTGTAAAAAAATAAGTACGTATTTAATTATCAAAAAATATAGTAGCAGGTATATTATGGATATATATAATGAGAATCTTGTTAAAAATTCATTTATGAAGATATTTACAAAAAAAATATAAATTCATATATATTTGTTTTATATAGTTACGTAGTATTGAAAACTGTTACTTTCTACAGCTTTAATAAAGAATATAGCATACTTATTTGAAAAATTAATATTTTGTGAGTGATATTATAATAAATAAATAAAGAATTTGGACGAATCGACGCAAGCGTGTCACGTCAACAAAAGTTAGGTAATTCCAGCTAAATTTAGCTATAACGCCGCATGAATGAACAAACTGTGGAACACATTTTTAAAACGAGAAAGAAAATAAAGACTTACTGTTTAAAAATGAAAAGAAACACTGCAGTACAACTATACTTTATTCACTTAATTATCACTGAAAAGTTCACTGAACACGTGTTGGTGGACAGTTTTATTCACAACAACGTAGTTCTATAGTTATTTACAACTGTTTCAAAGCAAATACGCGTCTACGCGGGTAGAAATACCGATAGAAAATAGTTTTAGAGGTTAGAAGACGTCAAACAAGTTTTTTGAAGGTCACCTTGACTTGACAGATCACAGAACATACTGCCAAATGTATATATCTTCGTTTAGGAATAGGGTGTTTTATGCAAAGAAGCTAGGTCAGTTGGCAGCACTAGCACATACAGTAAATACTCGCGGTGTCCGTGACGAAATACGCTCAGTTAAAATGTATTTATGTATCAAATTGTAGTTGTTCTATTATGTATGTTACGCTCATAGATCGAAACCGCTCATTGGGCGAAAAAAGTTCACAACGGGTGGTAGTCACAGTAAAATATCCACATAGCGAAATCTGTGTCTCCCCCCCCTCCCTCGCGCACACGTTAACTTTATTTTAATATTATGATTTTGTTAAATTGCAACTTTATTCTATTATAATGAATTAGTTGCAGCCCATTTGGACCCATCCCTTTGCCCCCCTTAGTCCGCCACTGGGGAGTTGTTTTGAGTTATATTTTTTATTTTATTAATAGAGTGAATAATCACTAGATAGTATAAAATAAAGTCGTTTTCTCTGTCCCTATATCCCTATGTATGCTTAAATCTTTAAAACTATACAACGGATTTTGATGCGGTTTTTTTCATAGATAGGGTAATTGGAAAGGAAGGTTTTTATGTATAATACAAGACCACGCGGGCGAAGCCGCTGGCGGAAAGCTAGTGTTATTGTAATTGTAAATTCATATTTCTAAATTACCTTGGATAAAAGGAATAATGGTTAGAAAGCGGATGGAACGTGGAATTTTTAGAACATTTATTATTCTAGATAATCATCAAAGTCCTCCAAGTCTCACGTATGCGGACATAATCAGTACAAATAAAAACGTTATATATTATTACTTCCATGCGACTCTGTCTGCATCTGTGACTATTCCGCTGTTCCCAAAGTTTATCACGAAAACAGCGTGGTAAACTATTTACCAAGGAAACCACTTGATTATATTGTGAATTTTAAATAAAAAATATAATTCAATAAAAACTTAACTTTATTTTACACGACAACGATGCATTATATAAATGGTAACAAAATAAATTCACATTTTTAAAACGTTAAGATATTATTTACAGATATAAATAATTATCACATAAAATATAACACTTTTATCTGTTATTATTAAAGATACTATTCATATAAAATGTATAACGCTTGACATCATACATCAAATAGAACAGATATAAATATAGCAAACCGGTATAGGAACAACAATGGCACCATTTCTCTATTATTTTCGCCAATTTCTGTATTATTTTAAACCTTAATGAATCGTCCGTAAAGTAATAAATCAATCAAAGAAATCTGACATATTGTGGTACACATACATAACACACGACTGTCAGGCGACTTACAGTAAAAACATAATAATAATTTGTTTTAACTGTATTCACAGCCATGTGTAATCAAAGAAATAGAAATATACTAATATGATAAGTTTATTATCGACTTAGTTATCCATAGAAATAAAAAACAAAACAGTTTAACAGCAATAAAACTAAATTTGCTTAGGCTAGTTTGTGTAACGGGATTACTAGTTGCCACCAATGTGCTTATTTCTAATGTGATTTGATATTTGCCTTAAAATGATTAAATAAAAAACATTCAATAGGGGTCTTACCGAAAATTTGATAAAACGTAATTTCTATCATAAAAGTTTCTATCATAAAAGTTACTATCACTTTATGAACCATCGTTTATTGTACTTTAACAAAAAATCAATCCAAGCTCAATGGTGGACTTGCATCAAATTCTTCAGCGAAATGGTCAATTTCATCTTCAGTCTTATCTTGAACATGCGAAAAATTTAATTTGACAGGGTTGCCTTTCTTCACATAAGTGCGATTCATAACGAGAACAGGACTACTTTGTTAAGAAACATCTTTACTACAAGTTTCTGCACAATTTTTCACACTAGTAACATTGTGATTTGATGCAATAGGACTTCTATAAGAGTTGAATGCGGTAACAGACTTGTTAATTATATGTATGGTACTCAAAGGAGGTGGTTCCCCGTACATTTTTAATTTGGCAATTTTTTCATCGACTTTTTTCTTACGTAGCAACATTTGCGGCGATCGCTCTTGAGTGTTGTGTTTGAATGTCGATTCAAAGTCAAGACCGGTAAGGTTTAAATTGTCGTCGCTAGATTTGTGCGGTAACGGTGAATCAATAAATATTTTGTTTTTTGTTAAATTATGGTTGTTATTTATTCTATAAGGCGACTCGTTTTCATTATTAAAATACAGTTTTTTGCTAAAATTCTTTCTGAAATCGATACATTCTTCACAATACTTTCTCTTGTCCAGACCAGATAATTTCTTCGCTAAATCCTCAACCATATTTCTAGCTTCGTAGTGTTTCGGTGTTTTAGTGAAATAACTGAACTCTGTCACTCTGTACTGCGGTATACTTTTCTTGGTGTTGCCAGATCTTCTCTGCAAATTCACAAAAGCTACCACCTGGCCAGTATCTAAAACATTATGGTATCCGAACTTTTTCAATCCTCCCCAGAAATTTACGCAGATTATATTCTTGTCTGCATCTGCGACGTATAAGTTCTGAAAAAGTTGTTTACTCGATTCGAAATCGGGTGTCGACGGTTCGATTTCAAAAATAAAACCAACGGTATCGATCTCGTTGTAGTCTGTGGTCATTATTGGATTTTTAGCTAGTTCTTTTATATGGTAGCACTTTCTCTTGAGCGATTTTATGTAAGGTAACATTTTTTCAGTCTCTCTGTATTCACTGGCACGAAATATTGTTTGTCTACCGGCTGATATCTGTATTTCTGAGTATCTGAAAAAAAAAAACACATTTATGTTTTTTTTTACCTTGTATTAAACAGCCCACCAACTTTTGAGAAAGATAAAAATTGATATTAAATTAGTATAAAGGGTGATCATTCATCAATCTACTTTTTCAAAGTTCAATTATTAACTAATAATAATAACTTTATTTTATTTAAAATAACAGTACAATATTCCTTGCGCCGTCTCCCGTACTAGCTTGAACTGTAGTACGGGAGCCAGTAATTTACAAATCAATATTGAAAGTGATGTTCTAAAAAAGTAAATACACAAAGAAAGCGGTTCATAATCATAAGTTAGACAATTTTTTGTTTTTTTTCAATCTTAGATCTATTTGGAACAGGTGTACAAATACATGCCAAACTCTTAAAAATCTAAAATACACACATACTCTATTAGGGTAGAAAATCCAATTATTTCATTGTTAAAACCAATTTTATATACATAAGTAGTATTATTTCCTAGTATTCTAGGAAATAAGTTTTTCACACATATCATAATCAAACGCGTTGAACCACTATTTCAACATTGTTTTTATTTTATAGTTGGAAATAAAAACTGTTATAGTTTTTTACTGTTATAGTTTTACCCTCCAATCCGCATTGGGCCAGCGTGGAGGGTCATGGCCTATCCTCCTTAACCATCCATAAGGAAGGCCTGAGCCCCTGCAGTGGGGATGTAAAAGGGGTGGTGGTGGTGATAGTTTTTTTAGCATATGAACTTTTAACTATTGTTACAGGGATTTTGACCTTTCGTCTTTGACCTCTTGGTGCAAGTGACTTTTTTAAATATTTATCTAAAATAACACAACCTTTCATTCTATACAGTGTTATAGAACACATTAATAACTAAAACTTTCGCTGACTCTAGAATAAACAAAACAAGCCACTACCACCCATACCCGAAACAAAATAACGTTAATTCAACATTGATGAGCTGGGACTAGAAACCATAAGGTCATAAAAATTCTACCTAAATATTATTGCCGACACGAGAGGATTTAAAGCCATATGCAACACATTATATAGTCCAGTTATTGCAAAATTTACCTTACTGCAGTAGGAACAACGTTCAAAACTTCAATCCATACTCCCTCTTTAACTATATCCATAATAGCCTCATTCGGTTTCCATATTGTTAAGAGACCTATAAACAAACTAAAAGTAAAAAAACAGGCATACATAACAATTTAATAATTGAAAAACATTCTTAACAAATAATGCTTACAAACACAACATCCACTAACAAATAAAACATCCACTTTATACCTGCTACTCTGAGATGGATGAGTTTAACAATGTTAATTCGAAAATGATCAATTTTTATTTCAAAAATACTTTGAAGAAATGTTTTTTAAATATATATTTGATCAAATATTATTATTTCTTCAAACTACTTTTATTTAAGTTGAATAAGTAAAACCTGCTTATAAAATGAGCCTACAAAAGCTTTATTCTTTATTACACCCTAATAATATTATTACACATAAAAAACAGAATTAAAGAAAAGAATTACATAAGAAATTGTGTAAATAAAAGGCGGCCTTTATTCTAAGCGGCAATATCTGCCAGACAACTTAGTCTAATTACCTTTCGTAACTACAGTAGCGTCGTTACCAAACGCCGCCACCCTCACTTTTGATAAAGCTATAACGTTCCTGTTCACATTCAGACCACGCTCCGCCATTTTCTCGTTTAGTTTGGTTTGTATACGTTGTATAATCATATCTCTACGTTTATTGGCGCGCTCCTCTATTGATCTGATCTGAGACTGAAATGACACATTCCACGCAAATAAATGATTTATCTAAGAAAAAATATCTATAACAAGATGTTTTCTCGCGATTTTACCCGCGATTTATCTAAGTTATAATCAGTGGTCGGAATTAGGTAGAGTTATTCATATACTTACACTGATTTCATACAGCGAAAGAATAAAGTGGATATGCCTCATTCCCGAGATTAATTTTAAAGAGCAGAAAAAATCCCGTGATTTTTTAAATAAAAAGTTATTTACTTTTACACAATTTAAACTACTGCACGCACGACGTTGCCAAATTTACATCAATGAAAGAAAGAAATAAAGAAAGAAGAAATAAAGAAATCCCGGGAAGGTCCACATTTATATCAACATTTCGATGCAAGTACATAAATAACTCTACCTAATTCCGACCTCTGGTTATAACCTATGTCACCCACCCACGTGTGATGTAGCTTCCCGTAAATGAAAAAAAAATAGGTACTGTAATTTCGGAGTCTATTTAATGCAAACAATCGAAACTTTCCTCTTTATATTATTAATTATAATTGTAAATTGTATAATTTAAATAGAGAACATTTCAATCATTCATCACAAATCGAACAAGCAATTTTTATTTATTGTGTTTGTATGACAGTGATCCCTTTACCTATTATGCATAGGAATAAATGTTGAATAAAAGTGGACATTCGATTAAACTTATTGCCCTGTAAAGTTCCTACATCAAATTATTTCAAAAACTCCAAATGTATTGTGAGTATTAAAACGTTTATTAATAAACTAAATCGCGTTTTAGCTAAGACAGATGACTAGGCTGAATGGAACAAAATTCCTTTGTCATAAAAATTACTATTTTAACTTTTTACATTTAGGTACTTTACTATCATTGCTATTGAAATAATAGAGAAAATTTAAAGCCCTAGCAGAATTTTATCCCAATCACTACTTGCATTGGATTGATGCCGATTCACATTGAAGACTCAAAATAACTCTATATCTAACTTAGTATAAAACAAAGTTGCTTTCTCCATTCCTATATCCCTATGTATGCTTAAATCTTTAAAACTACACAACGGCTTTTGATGCGGTTTTTTTTTCATCGATAAGATGATTTCAAAAGGAAGGTTTTTATGCATAATACAAGACCACGCGGGCTAGTATATATACAATTATATATAACCTTATACTTACGTTAGTCATTAACTGAGAGTCACTATATAATTTTCTGTTATTGTTATAGCTGCATTCGGAATCTTGACTGTCCTGGAAAAAGTGAAATTGTTTTTTTAGCAAAAACATCATCATTCTTTTTTGTAAAGTAAAACATTCATAATTATTTAATAACTCAATTTGAGGTTAATCCGATATTAAGCGATTTTGCTATAATCCAAATGGCTACTCTAATAAGTATTTACAAATAATTATGACAATGCCTTCCATGCAACTCACTGTAATAAATAAATATTAGACAAGATCACATACATTGTCGTCGATTAAGGTTTAAATATGTACTAATGAATGACCAATTTTTAAAGGTGATGTCGCTTTAAACTAATGACCAGTGGTCGGAATTAGGTAGAGTTATTTATGTACTTACACTGATTTTATACAGCGAAAGAATAAAGTGGATATGCCTCAAATCCCGAGATTAATTTTAAAGAGCAGAAAAAATTCCGTGATTTTTTAAATAAAAAGTTATTTACTTTTACACAATTTAAACTACTGCACGCACGACGTTGCCAAACTTACATCAATGAAAGAAAGAAATAAAGAAATCCCGGGAAGGTCCACATTAATATCAACATTTCGATGCAAGTACATAAATAACTCTACCTAATTCCGACCTCTGCTAATTACTTTTTTATTTTAATGGACGTTTTTGCAACTGGCTGTAGGTCATATAAAATTAAGTTAACAATTTAGCTAACTAATTATCAACTGAATATGTGTAAACCAGCCATTAGGTAATAAAATAAGTTAACCTGATCAGACAGTTCTTTCTCCATTTCTTCATAGAGCTTCTCCATCATCGTCTGTCTTTCAGATTCATATTTCAATTGATGAATTGTCTCGAGCCGCTCCGAACGTGTGACTAAAATAATTATAATAATATACTTTATTGCACACTCAAGTAACAAATCACCTACCATGCGGAAAAAAACAGTATAAAAAAGGCGGCTTTATTACTACACAGCAATATCTTCCAGGCAACCTATAGAGGAAAATAAATAAATAATTAAAGTAATAAGGGGAATGGGTGCAACATGTAAAACGAAGAAATAAAGGATATAAAGGAAGGATATTTTAAATAAAAGTGTAAATTATGATAAATACTCAAGATCTGTAAAGGAAATGTTTTTTAACTTTATCGCAAAATGATTTTAGCGAGCGAGCATTCCTGATGGTTTCTGGCAGAGTTCCACAGTCAGACAGCGTGCACAGTGAAGGAAGAAGAGAAGAAATCAGTTGTGCGGTGAGGAAACTCCAGGGTTAGATTGGAAAAGGATCGCAATGAAAAATGGGATGGGGAGGGATGAAAAGAGAAGCATTGTTTGATATAAGGTGGGGTAAATGGCAGGCAAAGTATAAAATTATACAAAATACTCGAAAAGTGTCTAGTAGAAAGTCGCACTTATTACAAACACAATAAGGCACACGAGCTACACGCAAAAATCCAACGGCGTAATCCTATGCACATAAAAAATGAAAATTTTTAATTCTTCCATTTTCAGGAAGGTAAAGAAATGTCTACTCTTGCAGCCATTTAACATCGAAATAATAATGTTATGAATTTAAGAGTTTTGAAGACGAATGAAGAATTAAATAGTTATTTAAGAGTGTTTGGCACATTTTCTTGTTTCTTTCATATCATTAACACTAGTAATCGCACAATCATCGATTTCGACCAAAAAGTTAAAAACATTACCAAGGTATTATTATAAAAGACTGCTCCTTTACAATTTACATCGTTTGAAATTCAGTAAAAAAATATATCAAACATGAGGAACAAATGTAATGTGTGTAAATATTTTTACCAATTTATTTGGTAAAAAATGCTCCACAAAAAACCGTTAAAATATATACCACTCACCAGTGCTGCCATCTTCAAATTTCTCGACAAACAACGCGGGGTACACCCTAGTGACGTATAAACGTAATTTGGACACCTTCCCGCCTTCCACTTTGACATTTGATAACGAGGTTAAAATGGCGGCTTTTCTATGGTAACCGAGGCGAGCGTCCCACCGGGCTGGCCGTGTGGAGTTACCGAAGATCTTCAATCGAACATACGATGTGTCCTAACAATTTAAAATATAATCATAATCTCTATAGGAACTAAATGGCACAATGATTAACGTGTTCGTTCGGCAATATGAAGGTTGAGCAACTTTCGCAAAGGTCGGCCATAGGATGGGTGACCAACAATTTATCAAAAACCTAAACCTATTTTCGTGAAAATAGTCGTTCACTGTCTTTTATCATTTATATTAGAAGACGTAGAAATAAAACTAGTTTAAATTATGGATGCATGAAATTAGTCTATAATACAAATTCCCGACTTTGTTTAATAGTTTTCAATATATTTTTGAGCAGCAACTTTGAGTACGGTTATGAACAGAGATTCTTCATCTGAAAACCTTACCAGCAGTTGTAAGAGACGATAATCTAAATGTAACTTAAATTTATAATGTTCAATAATAGAACCTAAATTAAAAGAAGATATATAGGTACATTTTAGCCACGTTAAATAAAAAGAAAAGGCTCCCATATAGTTGGGAAAATTGAAAGTGAATAGCAGTGGCAATACTGACGACAAAATGTCAAAAGTTTATTTGTATTAATTTTTTTTTTTTATTTACGAAACTAGCTTTAATTTCCTTTTTATTGTCAAAAGTGTTTATGATTTAAGTGTAAAACTTAATATTCTTTCATATAATGTGTATTTTTGAAAGAAAATCGTATTTTATCCACTTTTTTTCGTTTTTGCTTAGCATTTTTTTGTACTTTCTCAGCGAGAGTTGAACTCGTTCAAGTACTCATACTGAAGTGAAAAACGAAAAAACTAAGACAATCATCTTAGTTTTAGTAGCTTCACATTTTTGGTATGTATATCTAGACATATTATAATATCATTGTTTGAAACTATATCCTTCTTACGAACCATTGTCAAAAATAAAATAAACAGACAGCCTGAAAGTTTCACATATTCGCATCAATAACAAGTCTGTCAAGTGCAAAAAAAATGCCGAGTGTGACGAAAATTGGCGACATCTATATTTGAAAGTTATAACAATAAATTAAATTATGAAATATGTAATGAAAACTTATAATCGATGCTGGAAAGCAAACATGTAGTACCTGAAAAACCTAAATGGATATTTAGAGTAGAAAATCTTGTCCCATAAAAATATCTTATTTCCGTATAAATTGAAGCAGGAACCTTATTTATTACTATTGACATTTATAATAACTATTATTCGAAAAAAAAGTTTTTCTGGACTTAAGAACAATTTTGGTTTTGCGGATTAATACGTGTTTGCTTTCCAGCGTCGAATTATGTAAACAATAAGTATGTAGTATTACTGTTTTAAAATAATTTCTTAGTACATTTTACTATTGTAAAATTAAGTTGCGATTTATAATTTGTGGATGACAAGAAACAAAAAGCGGGAGACTGTGACGAAGCATCGCGTGACGTCACATTTCTATAATACACACATACACACCTCCCATGGGGCAATTCCTTGGTCACAATTCAACAATTCAGCTCCATTTGTCACAATCTTTGAGCCGATTCTAATCTTCTCATCGTAGACCAGTTTTGTTAGCATTTTGTCTATGGTGCTTTTTACGCAGTACCAACCGTCTGTCAGTAGGAGTTCCACATTAGCTGTGAGATTGACAACACTGAAAAAAAATTTTTATTGTCTTTCAAATCTATCACTAAAGTCCAACAATTAAATAAGTATGGGGTATGATGACCCCTGATAAAAAATTAAATAACTTAATAAGATCAAATAACTTAAAAACATAAATGTATCTCAAATCCCTAACAGTACCTTATATTACCTAAATATTAGGGGTCAAAGTATGAAATTGCCGTTTTATTGTAATAGGTTCCTTGAATTTACATAGAATCTTCATATTTTGAGGTTTTCGAAAGAAACTTTTTTCATATGGTTTCTATGATGTTCTTCTTTTAAAAAATGTGAAACATTTGAATATCGACTTTCAATTGTTTTTGTTATTCAACTTAGACAAGAAAGGTGGATACTGCGAAAATTCGAGTGATTTTTGAATACGAGTTCCGATGCGGAAGAAATCGGCAGAAACAGCCCGCAATATCAATGTTACGCTTGGACCTCTCCAAGGTTTGCTAATGAACGCACCGTTCGATTTTGGTTTAAACGCTTTCGTGATGGAAACTTCGACTTGAAGAACGAGCCACGAGGAAGACTGCCCGATGAAAAACGATGAATTAAGAGAGATGGTGGAAGCCTATCCTAGTCAAACTACCCAGGAATTAGCGGCATGGTTTAACGATACTTACCCACAATATTTACTCATTTGCGTCAAATCAATAAAATAAAAAAATACGAAAAATGGGTGCCTCATGATTTTACTGATCTGCAGAAAGAAACGCGTGTTGAAACTAGTGTTGCCTTATTGAATCGGTACACAAATGAATATTTGATCGAATTGTGACATGTGATGAAAAGTGGATTCTTTTTGATAACCGTAAAAGAAAAATGCAATGGTTGACCCCAGGTCAAACGCCACAACAGTGTTATAAAGCAACACTTACCAATAAAAAGATAATGGTAACTGGTGGTCTCAGCGTGGTGTTATTCACTTTAATTTTCTCCGATCTGGTCAAGCAATAACGACAGATGTCTATTGTACCGAACTCCGAACAATGTTGGCAAAACTAGCAGTAAAATAACCCCGATTCATTAATCGATCTTCACCATTATTGCTCCATAACAACGCGAGACCTCATACAACACGAGAAACCGTTTTGACCCTTCAGGAACTGCAGTTAGGAACCATTCTGACAATCCTTCGTATTCGTCTGACCTTGCTCGAACGGACTACCATTTTTTTCGTGATTTAGACAATTATCTACGTAACAAGAAGTTTTCTTCCCAGGAGGCACTACAAAATGCTTTCATACAGTTTGTGCAGTCTATATCCTCAAAGTTCTATCGCAAAGGCATAAATGACTTTCCTATTAGATGGAAGCAATGATATTTCATTGCTGCTCTCATTGATCATAATGGTAACAATTTTGATTAAATTAATTTGTAAAAAAATAAACAATTTTCGGTATAAATCGGCAATTTCATACTTTAACCCCTATTATGAAATTGAAATCATACCTACTAACGCTCACTCCGTCCACATAAATGGCAGCTACACATAGAACTAATGTTTTCGAAGCCACATCATCTTTTTCTAAAATTTTCCTAAGAGCAGGTCTCTCAGTATTGTAAAGCTCTTTATCATATCTGTATTTTAACTGATCCAGCAAATTCCTCACAGTACAAACACCAGACAGTGTATTAGGGAATATCATTTCATAAGATAATAGTTTCCAAATCACTAGTTTGATGTGGTTGTCAAGCCATCCATCTGGTATTAATTTCGTATTGACTGCATTTTTAAATAATTTTGTAATATCTTCTACAGACATATCATAGTCTGTTACGTCATTTCTTTTCCTGGTAAACCGAAAATTAAGCAATGTTTCAAATTTTAGGTTATAAAAACACATTTTAGGTGTTTGGCTATTTTTCTCAACATTCGCTAGATCTTTAAGTGAATATCTTTTGGTTTTCTTATAATCATCATTGAATAACATAATGCTTTCATTTATTGGTTTACTTGTAGTTTTAATGTAAAGAGGAATCTTCTTATTAGAAATAAACCCTGTCTTGTATGGGGTCTGAAATATTTTCCGCTTTTTCGCTTTAGGACAAGACAATATAGGACTTCCAGATCGTTTAGCATTTTTAGGTGTAGTGTTTTTACAAAAATCTTCAGTATATAATGTTTCCTCTAAATTATTAATAACTTGAGTATCCATTAGTTCCTCTAAATTTTCAGGATTGTTAGTAGAAATTAACGAATTACTCTTATTTTTACAATTGTCTATAGAATCTGTAAACTGATTTCTAGATTCAGTTAAAACATTTATAGGCTTATCTATGCTTTTGTAACTAACTGACTCAGAATCAACTAAGGTTTCCTGAATTTTATGATCCCCAGTTTCATTACTGCTTTTCTTCTCTTTGTGCATTTGTTTATCAAAACCTTTTGAGAAATCAACATTGATGTCTTGAAACACTTGACAACCTCTTTGTAAAGCTTGTTCTGATATCAAAATCTTTTTATTGTTAGCAGTTTGAAAGCCACCAAATCTACTATTTGTTTCCATCGTTTTCAAAGTACTTGTTTCGATTTTATGCATATTGTTAAATAATTCCTTACTTTTGATAAGCGCTTCATTACTTATTGATACTTTATTTTTGTTGCCAGTTTGAAATCCTTGGAATCGAAACTTGGCTTGCTCTGGTTCATCAAGTTCATTCCTAAAATCTTCAAATAATAATTTGCTTTTAGCTAGTGCTTCAGCTGATATTTCTACTGGTTTGCCTCTTGATGTTTGAAATCCTCCAAGTACTAGTTCCTTACACTCAGCTGATTTGTTCATTTCTCCTTGCACCATATTATTATGTTCATCATTAAATTTTACGATATTGTTTTCATTGTCAATATCTTTAAACAATTTTATGTTTTTGGCTAAAGCATAATCTGACATTTTTATAGACTGTTGACTTGCTGTTTGGAAACCTTTACAGCTGGTTTGGGTTACATTGATATGAGGTTGAACAAGAATGGAACTGTATTTACTGTTTCCAATATCCTCCAGTAAAGCTTTACTTTCAGCTAAAGCTTTATCTGATATTGCTATAGGTTTCATGCTAGCTGTTTGAAATGGTTGAAACTTTGGTTTGTCTATATCGATTTTACGTATTTCCAGATTGACATCCTTCAAATCAAATTCTAATGTATCCTTTGTATTTTCATAACTAGTGATATCGTCAATTTTTTTGTCTCTGATCAGTTCATTTTGATTTAAATATTTTTTGTTAAAGTTATGTTTATTATTACTTGCAACTTTCAATTCAGAATTACTTTGAAATAAGTAGGGATCCATTATAACTTTATCACTCGAAATTTTACATCTATTAATATTTGCGACTCTTTCATAATTAACATTGGTTTCGGATTTTGAATTTTCAGAGAGATTCGTGATTTTATTTTTAATAATAAAATTAGAGCCATTGTCTAAATCTATATCAGCAAAAATCTTTTTGCTTTCGATGAAAGCTTTTTCTGACACATTTACTTTCTTATTACTTGCAGTTATAAAACCACAAAACTTTATTACATCAGTAGCTTTAGGAAAGACTGATACACTATCAAAATCTGTATTAAAATTATTGGCTATTTCAAGTTGTAATGGATTCAACTCCGGTAATTTAGGATCTTCGTGAATAACTTCCACAATATCATCTTTATGTTTTAATTCCTTTTCATTCTTATTTGCAAAGTCTTCGTCCTTTTTTACAACATCATTAAGCATATTTTGAATTTTAGTGTAAGCTTCTTCACTAATATTGTTTTCTTCATTATTGACTTTTCTAACGTAAGTATCTGAACAAGACTTATATTTAACCTTTTTGTTTAGATTCTCATCCGATCCAGTATCAATACCATGGTCGTTTTCTACAATATCTTTAAAAACTGAACTGCTTTTGGTTAAAGCAGCAAATGATATTTTGATTTCTTTATTACTGGCCGTCTTAAATCCGCAATCTTTAGACTTTTGGTTCAAATTTGAGCATTTGTCTTGTGGAATCTCTAGTCTATTCATATCTAGTGGACATTCATTACAATCTTCAATTATACATCTAGATTTCGCTAAAGATTGTTTTGTTTTTTCAATGCTTTTATTCAGGGTTTTCTTTTTACTAAGAAACATAAAATCATAGTCTAAACCTATATCAGCAAAAACATTTTTGCTTTCAATAATAGCTTTTTCTGAAATACTGACTGACTTATTACTTGCAGTTTTAAAACCACAAAACTTCGGTATGGTATCAGCTTTAGGAAAAACTGATAGACCGTCAAATTCTGTATTAAAATCATTGGCGATTTCGTTTTGTGATGTAATTAGATCGTGTAATTCAGGACGTTCCTGGATAGCTTCTAAGACATCACCTTTATATTTTATATTCTCTTCAAAATCTTTTGCAAATTCTTCATCATTCATTACAATATTTTCAAACATATTCTTAGTTTTATGATAAGCTTCTTCAGTAATTTTGATCTCTTTATTATCAGATTTTCTAAAGCCCATGTAAGTATTTGAGCGAGACTCATATTTAGTAATTTGGCTTTGGTATTTCTCAGGCTCCAGGTTAAAATTGTGATCATTTTCTATAATATCTTGGAAAACTGATCTGCTTTTAGTCAAAGCATTTACAGATATTTGGATGTCTTTGTTACTGGCCGTCTTAAATCCATAAACTTTTGACCTTTGGTCTAAATTTAATTCTTGTGAAATCTCTGGATTACTTATATCTAATGGAAGTTTATTAAAATCATCAAGTATGAGTCTGGATTTTGCTAAAGCTTGTTTTGTTATTTTAATATTTTTATTACTGGCTGTTTTAAAACCAACAATGTCAGGAATTGTTGAGCTATTATCATGATTAACTTTAAAATCTTTATATTTGACATTGAAAAGGTTATTATCTACAATCCCATTATTATTATTAAATTTTTCAATGATGTCAACACCATCTTTTTTCAAGCTAGCTGTTTTAACATTATGGTAATCTACACGTTTTTCGTTCTTGTTTTCAAGAAGTGGCACATCAAATTCATTAATTATATCCTCATCTATATGCTGAATATCATCTGAACTGTTTACTTTATTTTCTGTAACATTTGATGATTGCTTACTTTTTTCTACCACAAGTTTTTCTAAACTAATGTTATCTTCCAAGTTAATACCTAGGCATATCTGATTATAATTAATTAAAGCCATCTCTGACAGTTTTACTTTTTTGTTTCTGGCCATGATATCATCACCTTTTCTTTTCATTGATGTCAACATCATTTTTTTATTATCATCTTTTAAGCTTTCTTGTTTTAAATCAATATAATTACTTTTCAAGTTAATGTCAACATTATTGACATTTAATTTATCACTGTCAACATAAATTTCTTCATTATCCATACTGATTTCTTTTCTATCTAAATTTATATTGGTCTCTGTAGCTTTACAATTATATACATTTGTTGTGTCACTCTTTTTATGTAATTTATCACACATATTTACAAGTTCAGTTAGAGTAACTTTATTAATATCATCTCCAACATTATCTCCATCATCATCAAAACTATCAAGGAAGCTTTTAGCTTTCTTATATGAGTCTGCAGATATTTGAATCGACCTGTTGCTAGCTGTTTGGAACCCTACATAGATTGTTTTATCAAGAATTTCCGGTTGATTATAGAAAGAAGTTTTTAAGGCACATGTAAGAGGTAGATCATGAAATTCATTTTTGATATATTCACTTTCCTCATCACTACTAAATATAATCTCATCCTTTAAGAACACACTATCTTTCATAAATTCTTTTGCAGTAAACAGTTCTTGTTTTGTACTATTTACACCTTCATTTTTAGTAACTTTTAATTTATCAACACTTATTTTAAGAACAGGGCTCAATGATGTGTCATCTGCAAAATATAAAGATTGATCATCACATTGAATAAGTAACTCACGTCCTACGATTTGTGAATTTATCAACTGCTTTGCAGATTTTGTATCAGGATTGTGTTCTATAACTGGAACAGCAATTTTTTCAAAATCTTCAAATGTATTCAAATCAAACACCAATGGTGAGGGAGTTTTTGATTTTTTTTCTGGCAAAAATACATAGCTACTTGGTATATCTTCATCTTCTACTAAAATGTCTACTGGATCTATTTTGGCAACAACATTAGAATCTTTTATTTCTTTATTGTGGTTTTCATTTAATTGGCATTTGCCTTCAATATTATCAGATTTTCTACCAAAATTTTCTGTTGTTGGTGAATTAATGTTATGATTTTCATACAAAGATATGGTAGGAGTTGATTCTGGGTTTTTATTATCATTAATTTTACTTTTTCTCTCAATTTCATGTGTGATAACACTTTTTGGATGCACCAACTCTTCAGCATTATCAATAATATCCATTAACTGTGTATCTAATTCAAACTGAGTTTCAAATTTGGTTCCATTTGATGTTTGGGCGACCTGTTTGATAATTGATTATTTTACATTAATAAATGGGCATAAAAACTAAACATTATTAAGAAAACAGTCTTATTTATTATGTATGTGGTTATATTTTGAAAGAATAGTCACGTAAATGATTAATTGATTAATGTGTTTAAATAATTTCATTTGATTAATTGATGCATTTATGTGTGGAAATGACAATTTACAACTGGGTTGAGCAATAGTTAATAAAACTACAATTGATTATCAATTGACTTACCAAATTATCCTCTACAAATTCATTCACAGGCAATAAACACGATTTCTTGAATTTCTGTAAGTATTTTCTGGTATGTTTGCTATTAATGACAGTATCAGCCTTTTGTATAGCTTTTAATTGTAGAGATACATTAGAAATTACAGTTTGAGGATTATATGATTGATTTTCTAAATTTTGTTTATTTTTATTCTCACTATTCCTATACAAGAGTAATCTTTTCTTCCGGGCGTTTTTCATTAATACTTTTTCAAAATTATTGATCGCTTCTGAGGAGTCCTCCATTATTTTAATGAACTGGTATTATTCACAACAACAAAAAATATTCAAGGCACTTTATGGCTTAATTTTATCTATTTTCAGTTTTTATATCTATTTATTTACATCACGTCGACATCAGCGCGATTTTTTGACATTTTGTAACCAACAGTGACTAGCTAGGGATAGTAAAATAATAAATCGGGATACCTTGGGAAACCGATTAAAATCGATATCATAGAAACTAGTAGGAAGATTACAATATACACCTATATTGGTAGATTGTTTTATAATTAATGTTAATAGTTTAAATCTTAATTCATCATTTCTCCAGTCTCTTTGTGGATCTAAAATGAGAGAGTAAATTTCTCATTATTAGTTAAATTGGCGGGATTGTGTAAAAAAAATTATACTATAAATTAAAAAGAAGAAAAATAAGCTTATTTTTTTATTACGACTAAATGGTCTGTGACAAATATTGCTTACTAATGATTAAAGAGATTTGTTAGGAAATAATGCTATTATGTAGTACATCTCATATTTCTATTTCATAGGGAGCTTGAGTTGTAAAATATATATAGACAAAAAAGAACACCATCTACAGAACATTTGCATTTTTACAAGAAGCTGCGCAACAATTGAATGTATAGGGATCCTAAGCGCAAGTATATTCACGACCAAATTGAAAAGTTAGACCAGAAGCATTTGCGGGCGTTTTTAAGATCGCTAGGCGTTGGTAATATCGCGTATGTGAGCCAGAGTAGCGTTGACCTTAATGCACTCAATAAGCACTTCACTTCACTTCCCTTTACTCTAGACATGGCCATGAAGTCTGGCACACTCTCCATATTGTTCAGCATTGATAACACCCATAAATTTCCCTCCTTTTCTTTCAGTATAGTCTGTGAGGAAGATGTCACAAAGAGTATCAAATCCATCTCCACTAAGGCAATTGGGAGTGATGGCCTTAGTCTTGACATGATACTTCCTGTTCTGGAAGACACTGCTCCAATTATAACACACATTGTAAATTTCTCTTTGGAAATCAATGTCTTTCCAGAAGCATGGAAAAAAGCCCATGTCATACCCCTTCCCAAAGCTCCTAATCCATCCTCGCTTACACCATAGCGTCCTATTTCTATTCTTCCAATACTGTCTAAAGTCCTTGAATCCATTGCTCACCATCAACTTTCGTTGTATAGTATATTTCGTTGTATCTAATACCTTATTATGTCCTTACCAATCTGGTTTCCGCCCTGCACACAGCACAGTTGGTGCCCTACTGAACATCACGGAAGATATTCGTTGTGCTATGAATAATAGCAAACTTACTGCCATGGTTCTAATGGATTTCAGCAGTGCATTTAGCTGTGTTGACTTTGATATTTTCCTTGGCGTTCTCTGATCGCTTAACATTTCCACACCTATGATTGATTGGTTTAGATCATATCTCTTCGATCCCTTTCAGTGCGTTATTTTCAATGATGCTTCCTCTGAGTGGATGAACTTGTCGGCTTGTGTACCGCGAGGAGGAATTCTCTCACCTTTATTCTTCTCTATATTTATCAACAAAATCTCTTCCGCTATTTCTTCTCCTTTCCATCTCTATGCAGATGACCTCCACATTTATAAACATTTTTCCAACCCCGATTCTCTGGACACCATCGCTTCCATAAATAGGATCTTGTTTCTATTCAAGAATGGGCTACTTCGTATGGTCTCTTAGTCAATCCAACAAAATGCCTGGCCAAGATTGTTGGAAATAGACTTAAGAGTAAACTTGAGTGGGATTGTACACCTCGAATTTTATACAATGGAATACCAATTCCATTCGTTGATAAGACAAAAAATTTGGGTTTGACTATGGATAGCACTTTATCATGGTCTCCGCAATTTTCTGAGGTAAGTAAACGAATACACTACTCTTGCCACTCTCTCAAGCGGCTCCAATCTTTTCTTCCCTTTAAAACCAAAATTATGCTGGCGCAATCTCTTCTGCTTCCCATTCTCGACTATGCTGACATTTGCTATCTAGATGTGAACGATGATCAATTGAATAAGCTTGAGCGTCTTCAGAATCTCGCAATCCGGTATATTTTTAGACTACGTAAATATGACCATGTCTCTGCTTTTCCTGCTCAACTAAAGTGGCTTCCTATCCTCGCCGTGATATGCACATCCTTTAATTCCTATTTAAAATCCTTAAAGATCCTAATTCACCCCAATACCTTAGTTCCCGTTTCCAAAAGCTTCCTCCTCCTTACCATTCGAGGCGTCCCTGCGTCACCAAATCTCTTGAACTACCTAAATGTAACACCAATTTCCTCTTCAAATCCTTTTCTGTTGTTGGTGTTCAACTATGGAACAGACTTCCCTTGAATATTCAGGATTGCCCTTCCATCGAGTCTTTCAAAATTCAAACTTAAAGAATACTTTCTAGAACAATGTTTGTGTTCATAACACTACTTTCATCGTATCTTATATATGTAGTGCATATTTTATGTATTGTATATATCTATTTTTCTTTTGTTTGTTATTCATTTTTTATTTATTTTTTTCCAACCGTAATATCATTTAACTGCACTTCTATCACCCGCCTACATCTTACTCTCCCACGACTGCTAGGTTGGCTGGAAGAGAACTCTTCTAGAATTAAATCCACCTTTAAAATAAATTTATAAACTTATTTTATGTAAAATTTTGAGTGCAATAAAGAGATGATATATATAATAATAAATAACTAAAGGAACGGTTCTTAAATTATATTTTTTTCATAGCTTATTAACATTGGTCCATTTGAAGCCCAAATAGCACTTACTAAGATTAGACCGCGGTCCACACCAACAGTGTTTGCAGCCGTCCCAATCAACTAACATCCAGCTCATAGGGAGATAATTTCGCTTTAGTCTCCCTTGCCAGCTGCTACCTCCAAGTTTAACCATAACCACTTTCTTGGGCCCACAAGTTCTACATTTTTCTATTTTAACTTGGAAAATAAACAGGATTCTTTCTATACTTCCAATCAAACCAGACATCATCAGAACATGCTATAAACATTTATGCAACGACACTTTAAAGATTATCATTCTTTCCATGTCTTAACTTAATATTAGGAATCTTTTCCACTTAGTACATAATAAATATTATGTATTGATAATATTTATAAATTCTATCCACTGATAAAAAAATTAAAAAAAAGTATTAATGTAGTAAATGTAATACAGTTACCTCATTTATGTAACTACACAATGTAATAAGATCAACAATTCATATGCTTTTGAAACTATCAAAATCTAATATAATTTCAGGAAAACTTGTTTAACAACTGAGGGATATTTGGGAAGATATTTCTGGCAAGCATGTATGGGGCTTCATTAGCGATGCGACTCGAGTAGGATTTTATGACTCGCGTCACTAGAGATAATTCCTTCCTCACTCGAGTCATACTCGAGATTTCGAGACACTCGTGTAAATAAATTGCAAACGTGCTACTTAAGTGAGAGTCCTTAAAAATGTTAAACAAATACCTATAGGTATAATATAAATAAAATACACATTCAAGAATTTTCACATATTATTTATTTATTTAATCAAGAAAGTAAAAAAAATAAGCAGCGTAGATAAATAAAGTAAGAGTAGGGAAGTGACAGTCAAGTGATACTATAATAACTCGACTACATAGAACTCGAGTGATTTTTTTTCAAGAGTTACTCGAGTAAAAACAAGTCGCGTCACTAGGCTTCATCCACTTCATCAATCAACTAAAGTTGTCGCTGTCGGTTGGTTAGCGCATCGCGTGAAGATAGTTCTCGAAAAACAAACTATCGGTAAAGTTTACTTTAGTTAAAACTTCGCCTTCGTCTATAATAAAATTTATTCACAAAATGGTATGTACTGTTATATTTATCCCACTCATAAGTTAACCTTGAAAGAAGGCGGCAAGTAAACTAACCTCGTATACTGTTTCAGTCTCACACTATTTTGTTAGTTCAGCCTGGTCCAAGGCCTGAAACGCGGACATACTCTGATTATGAAAGCGTCAACGATTGCATGGAAGGCGTCTGCAAGATATACGAGGAACATCTCAAAAGACGAAATCCTAACACACCAACAATAACATATGATATTTCACAATTGTTTGACTTCGTTGATCAGGTAATTGTCTATTGTTTCATTAGAAATAGTGTTAATTTCTTGATGAAAATCCGTATTTATTTTCTTGAGAGCGGCCAGTTTCGAGGAATTCTTGTGATATTCTATTAATACATTTTGAATCTCACATACTTTGTTAACTGTAAAATTGCATGTTAATTTTTGGTATATAAAAGACATTCCTTAATTTTCCTATTGATGGGACATTGTTCAACTATTTTTATTTGGCCTATATATGTGAATTCTCAATATCCATTCTATTATTTATTATGTTTAATTCTTCTATATGAATTCAAAAGATATAATAAAGCTTGTGTTAGTTTTCTTAGCACAAGGCTTCATATAGTTGTGTAGTTTATACTTGATCATAAACATCAATTACCATCCTATAGAAAATTTATTTCAAAATAGGAAGCCAAAATCTGATATTTTATTTATGTCTTAAAAGCCAATGTGATTGATATCTAGATCAAAATTCCCTAAAATTATGGGTTATAACACTCTGGAGGGCTGCAAACAAGTGTGTGAGTGGATCCTAAAATGTTGATTTATATTTCAGTGATGAGGATTATAGATATCAATGCCCTCTTTTTTTCTAAAACAGCTCCAAGTGAATCCCAATATTGGAAAGTTTGTCCGACCCACAGAGTCCAATCAACTTTGGGAACCACAGCTAGATGTTATATATAATATCTCTATTCATTACTTTTGCTATCATATATGTAATTGAATGAATATTGAGTTAAAAAACAAAATAATAACTATCTGATGAGTTTGTCTTAAATATAACATTTTGTCACTGCAACATATCTTGTACAAAAAAATTGAAATGAAAAGAAAAAATAAGCAAGCACTTTTAAGAATTGAAACTAAAGTAATAGTTGATTAGAAGTCTTCTATATATGTATGTTTATTTCTAGCTGGCTGATCTTAGCTGTCTAGTATACCAAAAATCAACAAACACATATGCGCCATACAATAAGGACTGGATAAAAGAGAAAATATATGTGTTACTACGTCAAGCGGCCGGCCAGAGTGATTAGAATTAAGTAAGCTTGTGTTTTAAGACTACCACAACTGTTTTTTTTAGGGGAAATTATTTTCATTGCACCTTCAAATCGGTTGAGACATTATGACTTTTGTGATTTGTTTTGACTAATGTGACTGATGTGTTCAAATCCATTGTAAAGATACTTGTTTTGTCTCTATACAAAATGCAGATAAGATAGAGCTTTTCTTTAAGCTAAATATTCTATATTTTTACATAAAATTCTTACTACTAAAGTATAATAACTATTAATGTCCGGTTTAGTTCAGTGTGAATATATTAAATATTCAGCAATAATGTTAATGTCAATGATTATATTTGAACGCTAGTGCAAAATTTCAATTATCATACTTAAGTTCTTTACACTATTGATGGACGTCTTGACATTTTTTCTAAAGCATATTAACTAAATAAATCTCAGTCACACAATATGACACTGAAAGGATAATTTTGAGTCAAAACATGTTTGCATGACCTAAAGGCAAACAGCAGCAAAGCCAAATATAGTTTAAGCCAAACTATAGTTGGTTTGGCTGTCTGTTGTTGAGTATAGTTTTTTATGTTAAGAAAAAAAGAATTCAAATGTTCATCTAATAAATATAGTGTATTCCATGTCTTTACAATGTATTATATTTTATTACTTTGGGTGTTTTTTTTATCTTGACAAAATATTGAGGCACTAAAGTTTAAAGTCTAAGATACAGATGACATTTAAAAGCCAACTTTAAGGGTTGGACTATATCTGGCGCTCGGAACCAGCATCTGCTAGAGCGAGACAGGCAACGCGCTTTTCGTTCTCCCTCTAGTAAACAGCGGTTCTGAGTGATAAAAAAACTATATGTATCACAGACCTCTGTATCGTTTAGGCATAGCATGGCATCGTGTACAAAATACAATAGACACAAAGGTATATGGAGAGCGATACCCATAGTTTTCTTTTAACGTTCATTGTAGAATTTTTTGCCTACGCTAGCGACAGATTATAATATAAATTTCACCGCCGTAAATCTATGTTACCCTGAAACTGATTAGCCAGTTTAGGATGCCTCTTTATCAGCGGCTCTTATTGTAAAATTATGCTACCGATATATAGCCATAATGTAAAATTTAATTAATTTCAGTGCCTCTGCTCCATAATTAGCACTTTTTTCTATCAGAAACATATATATGTATTGAAGATTGTCTATTGTTTTGTTTGTGAATTACTGACGTCATGCACTCTGAAATTTCGTTGTCACGCCACATATGAGGAATTTAATGTAGCTTAACTTTAACACAATAATATTTAAGATGAGGAAAAAATATCGTGATTTTGAGTTAATTTAAAATTGTTTTTCTTTTTATTATTTTACTACATTAACCATCTCTGTTTGACCATCAGGTAGTGAGATCTAATAAGTTAATTTTTGTACACACAGCTGCAAGTCTCGTTAGGTACCACAATATGTCAAATATGTCCAGTTTATTTTCTTCTTTTTAATGACTGGCATTGCCGTTGTGGATTTGTTGCCAGAATCCAGTTTCGCTCAGTATTTAAAGCTCTATATTCAAAATATGGTTTGAAATCAAAATCGAAAAACTTGACAGATTTGTATAGATACATTTGCTGTTGACTGTACTACGATTGATTAATTAGGTACTTATTTAATGCTGCTGTAAAAACGCACTCATATAAGTATGTATCATATATAAATAAAGAAAAATATTATTTTTCATTTTCTTATCAAAAGAAGTTACTATGTTGTAACTTTGTACTTTGCTAAATTAAAAGTATATTTCTAAACTCAAAACAAATTTTGTTGTTGATTTCAAAATAATTTGTGAGTTCAAAACATTTTTATTTTAGTTTTGTTGTAATTATAAGATACTCTAAGCATTAGGAATAAAATTTTTGATTCAAAAATTCTTTTATTTTTTAATAATGTTTTTGTGTCTTATTTTAACGTGTGCACAATTAATAACAGATTCGAGAGATCGATAAATCTCTCTTAATCTGAAATACGCACATCTTTAATCGCTCTTCATTTCAGTGGCGGACAAAGGGGGGCGGAGAAGACCTCTTGTTATAGGATGCCTCCAAATGGCTGCAAGTTCCCTTGATCGTATCATAAATTGGGGTTGTACTGCCTTATCTTTCTATTGGTCAGTTGCACAAACGTCCATTAAGGTTTAATGACGTCTTTAAGCTGTAATGAATGTCAAATTTGTATGGGTAATGTCGCTTTAAACTAATGACCATTTAATAAACGTACGTGCAACTAGCTGTAAGTCCAGTATCAGCAGGAATCTTAAAAGAGGGGTATAAAGGTAATTTCAAGTTTCTGCCCTGGTTGGAAAAAGTTGTATGTCCGGGGCTGATGCTATCCCGTTCCCCTGAAGGGGATCTTCTTTTTAATTAATGGCGTTGCCCTTGTGGATTTCGAGTCCGCCACTGCTCTATTTTCAACACTAACAACAATATTTTATACTTAAAATCAAATAGAATTTGACAATTATGAATAGCCTAGCGCACTCTTAATGAAATATAAAAATCAATACTCAATTGTTTTATTAACTTTAATAATTACATAATTATTCTTCTATTGAGATAGATCTACAAAGTAATAATAAAATAAAACAATTAACAAAAAACAGTGAACAATATCTTACACCAAATATAAAGATTTCCATTGATTATACACCTAATTTAAGTAATACGCTATGTCCACATACATAGAAATGTTATTTTAATGATATATTTTTACATAATAGATACTTATTTAAAAATACAGTAATAAATTCCTTTTTAAAAACCACCACCTGGACCAAACTGGAGCTATTTCAAATGACTAAGTTTGAAAACTGTAAGGTCAACGTACACTTGCACAGGATCGAAAAAAGAAATTCCAGAAATGTACAAACAATAAATTTTTCCCTATGCCGATTTAACATCAGGGAGTCGATAGTTGACTGTGAGTATATTGCGTGCGGTCGTAGAAATGCTTTGAGCCAAAAGATCTTTTTAATAAGTAAAGTGAAACAGATAAGGAATTAACAGGATATTTACATTATTCCTATCTATACTGATATTATAAATAGGAAAGATTTGATTGTTTGTTTGTTTGTCACGAATAGACTCCGAAGCTACTAAGTATGCTGTAGACATAGGCTGTATTTTATACCGAAAAACGGCAAATAAAGGGATGAAAATGGGAGTAGAAGTTTGTTTAGGGAATTATAATGTTACCACAGTAAAAATCGATATCCAAGTAAACAGTTTCCTAGAGACCACGTTGGCGAATCCACTGGCAGAAAGCTTGTTAAGATATATTATTGGCAACATAAAAAAAGTGTCTCAGTTCATAGCGTAAGTATTGTTAGAAATATGTATATTAATCCCGTCGCGATAAGGATCAATATCCAGTGCATATATTAAAGTTTAGATTTGATGCGCTTCGAATCTCTGAACAGCCCTTCTATCACTAGTCACAAATATAATAAATAACATTTGAGTCTGTAGAATGTATTGGACGCCGGCCATTACAGTTAAAATTTACACTGTTAGTTTGCGGCAGACTATTTTGTTATAGTTTCTCTTCTACATTTAACTTACTTAGTGAGGAATCTTTACATTTATTTATATAAAATAATAGTTTAAATACTTATATACATATAACGACGCTGTCACTAAAGGCTTAGGTACTAGAAGGTACATACTTAAGTCCCATATAATATACCGTCCAAAATAACAGTAAAGTTGTTATGGTTTTATATTTTTAAATCAAGCTATGAGGACTTATTCAACAAATCCATAATGATAGTATTGGACATTTCAGTATATTGATCGTTAGACATTCTGAACATTATTTAATTTCATCCGGATACTGTATTGTACCTAATAGTAATAATTCTTTATTTAAAACGCCAGTATGTCAAAACGGAAAATTAAAAAGAAATAGAAAAATTTCCTTGCAGCCATATTAAAGTCAAAAATACTACTCGACTAAATATTTACAAACTAATTACAGAAATAGTATGTCATTTAAAAATCTCATAGTTAACGTCGGAAAATAAAAATCAATTCGAGTATTCTAAACAATTGTGTATCAGAATTTGTATGTACCTTTTATTGTAAGATATAAAATTCATTTTGAATATACGATATATTCATTTTGGATAAAATTCAGGCCGCGAACCAAAAGGCGGCACATGAGGTCTGTCTTTATAATATGATCATACAGATTAAATTTATGAAATTAAAGTAAGGTGGAGCATCATGAATTCATTAAAAACTAAGGATTGGTACACGTCCGACGGAAAATCCGTAGCGTACCATTGATTGGGGAACGTCAGATCTATGATATGACATTCAACCGTACACTCGACGTATGATCCGTTTTCAAGCGTACACTTACGTTGATATGTTCTACGATCCTTTCGTGAGATTTGCACCGACCCTAAATAGAATAATAACTAAAAATCAGGGCATCTAAAACAGACAAGAAAAAATTATAAATAAAACAATCTCTAATGTATTTCAACTTTAAAGTTCATTTTTGACTTGCATAGAGGACAACTGGAAAATGTTCTTTATAATTCGATAAGAAAATAAAAAAAAAAATGAAAATCAATTCAAAGGCGGACAAGATAAGATTCAATTTTATATGTGCTATAAAAAAATAATTCTGGAAGCTCTTAACAAATCTATATTTACAATAGAAGGAAGTAATTAAAATTTTCTACAACAACACTTAATTACAAGTAAGTGTAATGAAATAATCACATTTTTTTTTGTCTGATTACTATTCGACACATTAAGAATAACAATTAATTCAATTTTAATTGAGATTTTTCTTGCATATCTTTTTATATCTAGATGGAACGACGGTTCAATTATTTTTGTTTGTCAAGAGATAGCGGCCAAATTTGATGCACTCCGTCATTAAAAATGTCCAAATCCTTTTATGTTTTGCGTTTATAAAGCAACTGTCTTTTCTCCAGCGGGTTCGCCCGCGGGGCTTTCCCGTTTTTTGCAACATTTTTCATTGCTGCACTAAATGGACTCCTAATAAATGGACTAGCCTTCTTCAATAAATGGACTATTCAACACAAAATATTTTTTTAATTTGATCCAATAGTTCCTGCGATTAGCACGCTCAACCACACAAAAAGACTTAAGCTTTATAATATTAAGTACAGACAGAGCACTAAAATGGCGAGTTGGAAAAAAGCTTGTAATAACAAAATTTGCTCTTCAGTACATCAATATTAATTTAATAATAAAAAAATTTCATGTAACAAAAAAATCAATCATAAATCACTAACGCCATCTCTTGTCACCCAAAACATACTAAATCGCGATATTACACCTTTAGATAAAATAGAGCTGTCTTTTAAAACAATTACAACAAAAACATAAAAAAATACGAATATAGTTTAGATTTCTATTTAGTTTAACATAAATTTACAATGTGTTACACTACAGTGTTTGTCGAAACACTCAAAACTGTATCTTACTTCATGGCAATAGAGTTCACTCGCTCTCGCTGTCTTTTCTCCTTTTCTTACCTTTCGGGTGTATTCTGTACATGTGCCTTTGTAAATCCTTGTGACGCATATACCTGTACGAATAGAACATAACAGATGTATTACTGAAACTTTCAGTCGTCAGATTGCAGCACATATAGTTAAAAGTTTTTTTAAACGTCAAACATCATTCACAGAGTAGTGAGCAAAGAGTAAAGTAATAGTGAGCATAATAGAAATTACATATTTTTTGAATTTACCATTATAAATATAATTTAATACAATATATCTATCATTGCTGCATATTTAGATGTAAGAATAAAGGGAATCATTATTTTTCAAAATATAAATATTTGATTAATTTCTGTTCTTTTGTAGGTACACGTACTAGTGCTGCCATTTACGTCGAGCTTTATGTGATTCATTAGTAACTAAAAACTAAAACTAATATGTTTAGGTAATCTACGAAAAGAACTAAAACTAAAATGTTAGTAACTAAAACTAAAATGTAAAAAATAATATTTTACGAATATTTCGAATATACAAGTGAGATTAAAACTCTTTTATATTTAATATCAGTAGAGATAGCATAACAAGCACGTGTCTTAGCGCCTTTTAAATTTAGGGTTATTCCGTGCTAGTTGTTATTGTTAAATGATTTATTTTATAGCGCTACTTAAAAAAAAGTACTGCTATTTTTCGGCGACCCAGTCCCACCTCCACGTCCAAATCCAAAATTTACGTATATTGTAAGTATTACAGGAAAAACTCTTTCTGAAAAGAATGTAAGTAGCACATATTATGTACATAGTAATCAAACTCTGTAATGTGAAACGCCTGGCGCGAATATTAGAGTAATTACTAATTTCAGTAAACCTTAATGAGTCGAGGGTGGAGTTGAAAATCAATTGCAAAACAAAATCAATGACTATTCCGAAAAAAATTTATGTCTTAAGATTCTTTTTATTAATACAAAAAATTAGTATATACAAAAAAAACTCAATAGAGAAATCAAAGAAGAAACCATAATAATTTCTCTAATATTCGTGCCAGGCGTTCCTCATCACAGAGTTAGATTATTAAATAATTCGAGTTACTTACATTCTTACAAATAGTATTTCGTGTATGCAGTATTCGATAGGTATGATATACCTATACTTAAATAATCTAGTAAAGCTATCAAAATAATCTAGATTTACATCCGCTTATGAGGGGCCGGGTCGGATGGTACAGGAGGAAGCCTAACTATAAAAATCCGCTTCTAAACACAACAACGCATATAAATCCGTTTCACTTAGCATGGGAACGGCGTCACTGTTAAAATAACCATTGCACGCAATTTGTATTTTCAAATAATTAAAAAGTATCGTTACAAGAATTGTTTGACTGTGTACACATTAGATATTTATATAAATTTGCATTGAAAACCTTTAAAAGTTTAAAATTTAAAACACCAATACTTTTAACGAAAATCGGAATGATTATATCGGAACTAGATTAAAAAAAAAGCATTTTAATCGAAATATGTATGCGGTAATCAATTAACATTTATTTAAATCATCGACAATCAGTAACAATTGAAGTTAACTATAATAAAATGTTATATTTTATACATCGACTATCTCTATTAGAAATGAACTCGATAATATGAAATCCAGTGGTACCTGCTAGTGCACTCGGTGCAGGCGTACTGCAGCTGGCCGGGCGTGCCGTGCGCGCGCGCCGCGTGCCGGTCGCGGATCAGCGCCGTGCTGAAGCAGCGCCGGCACGTGGCGCACGGGAACGGCTTGGCGTCGCTGTGCGACTGCGGGCGGCCGATTTTGTATTAGTGCGTTATGATGGTTATAACATGCGAGGCGGAATTTCAGCCCGAGCCGAGCATGTTATAACCAACACGCACGTACATCGTACGACGCTTTTTAACACATTTGCGAGGAAACAGAAAAAAAAACATTAAATAAACTCAATCTGTGAATGTACACTGTTGCTTTCCCGCCATTTCAACAGCGCGCTAGCGCCGCCTACTGACTGGCGCCGCGCGGCGATTAGTTCGAAAGGGTTTAGCCGGATACGTATGACGAGTCGGCCCCCAAATGGGAATCGATATTGAAACTTATGTTTTAATATCGACTTGATGTTCAAACACGATTTATGTACTTTTCGCGACCGACTTCCGCTTTGACCTTGAGATAGAGAGCAAAATATCCGTATGCTTGACTATTACTGAATGTGATATATCTCTAAAGCTAATTAAGATAAAGAAGTGAAACTAACGCGAGGTGTTAGGTTACATTACAGAGTATATCACATATATTTTTTTATAATTTTTAGAATAAAAAATTACATTAAAAAAATAAAAAATAAAAAAAATCATGTCTTTTTTTCTGAGTTCTCTGTGACTTACAATCACGAAATTAATATATGTTATGCTCCTTTGTGTGCTCTATTACCCATAAAAATTGCGTGAAAAAAAAGTTGGTGCAACACAACGAAAAAAAATTATATGTGATTTCTGTCTTATGGTATACCCCTGTATTATAAGGTTTTCACATTACATCATTGTTTTTTTTTCGAAATTTCACATCAGCTTGTTTTAAAACATAAGTAACTAGTCTTAAGAGATGGGATAATAGTTAAAAAACAAATGAAAAAAAAAACAGCCAGTGTTCAATACTTATTATTATTACTTTTTCGTGTCTATCAAAATACAAGAAACAAAATATTAATCATCGTCACTGTTGTAATTAATTACAATCGGAACACTTTGAGTCGCAAATAACTTAGTTAGGACCTCAGCAGGACGTACGATTTTGGACAAATATCATCCATATGATAGATAATAAATAATAGCTGCTACATGAGAACAGCATCCCACTGTACGTTTGCCATTGGGGCAATCACAGCAATAACGAAGAATACTATTGTAGTCATTACCTTCGGAAATATAGTGAATGTAAATTCGATAGACTTTTCTATTTATATGTCTTGATTTTACTTCTGCTTTGATAATATCAGGTGCTGATTTCACATATTGTACTGAGAGATTATTTTGATCGTCCATTATTTCGGCCAAGTTAAATGCTGCACATTTAGAAGTAGAAGCTTTTTTGTTAATATATGGGATAAGTCGACACTTCTTACAAAAAATATCATTAACTATTACGATTTTATTCAAACAGTCACTAAACACTTTAGCTTCTTCTTCATTCTTTATAATTTTTTTATAACCAGGAATCTTACACAGGTACTTGTTACAATTTTTACACTTTCTCGACATTATTACTTAATAATGATTTGGTTCGATAGTTAATAATTTCAAAATGCTGATACAAAATACCTATGACAGAATTTGAGTCCCAAACTGCCTTCTTGTGTAATACAAATGACTGCTACTTTAGCTAAACAAACGATGCAGTAAACAGCTCGATAACAAGTTCGAACTTGTTTGTTTATACACTCACACTACAAGGCGCGAATCACATATAATTTTTTTTCGTTGTGTTGCACCAACTTTTTTTTCACGCAATTTTTATGGGTGATAGAGCACACAAAGGAGCATAACATATATTAATTTCGTGATTGTAAGTCACAGAGAACTCAGAAAAAAAAACAAGTTTTTTTTTTTTATTTTTTTAATGTAATTTTTTATTCTAAAAATTATAAAAAAATATATGTGATATACTCTCTAATGTAACCTAACACCTCGCGTTAGTTTCACTTCTTTATCTTAATTAGCTTCAGAGATATATCACATTCAGTAATAGTCAAGCATACGGATATTTTGCTCTCTATCTCAAGGTCAAAGCGGAAGTCGGTCGCGAAAAGTACATAAATCGTGTTTGAACATCAAGTCGATATTAAAACATAAGTTTCAATATCGATTCCCATTTGGGGGCCGACTCGTCATACGTATCCGGCTAAACCCTTTGAATAGCAACAGCGCGCGAAATGGCAAATAATACTGTTATGGAATTTGTATGGATTATAACTTAATTATTGGCTTTGGTAACACACGCGTTTTTTATGACCTGCTTTACATATTTAAAACCGGTGGAATTACATCGGCTTTACGAGCAAAGGTGTTAAAAACACTTTTATGTGTAATAAGTGTGTTTTATTTTAGGGCTTTTCGTTATTTCAGATTATTTTTTGTATGATCACGGAACGCAGGGCATTGATCCTTTGTCAAGGTTTAGCGTCAGAGTAAAATTGCGCTAAAATTACAATTTTAGTATTAGTCCAAATTCATATTATATAAAGAATAAGCAAACCTACTGCCCTGTAGGAGTAAATATTACTCCCGTAGGACTTCATACTTGGTTGACCTTTGCTAAGTCTTCGTTTAATATTATGATTTATAACTAATACTAAGTGAAGTGTCAGCGTAAATTTACTACAACGCTAAACCTTGTTTATTAATAAGCTTAATTATATTAATGTAACTATAAATAAAATAAAATAAGTGGATTATTTTTATACAGTTATTATTTTAAGAGGACTCCGCAAACCAGTTGGGCTGCTTCCAGGGGCCAGTTTAAATCCACTGATCTCTAGACTCTAGTTCACTATAACTAGACTGAAAAGGTACATCCGAATTTCAATTAAACTCATCGGAAACTGAAAGATATGTCTAACTTGCAATATATGAGTGAAACCAATATAGTTATAAGTACAAAAGCCTGTAATACGTAAAGCTACTTACCACTTTCAAGTGTCTCTTGAGGCTCGAGTTGGTACCGTAACTTGTTTCACATATTTCACATTTGAACGGACGCTCGTTCCTGTGCGTGCGCTCGTGGTACTGTTCGAACAACAATATAATCAGATTTATACCCAAAAAAAAGACAAATAGTGAAACTTGACTTGTTGAAATTACACAAACTAAAATCTACATTGAAAACAAACATACATATTATTATTTTCACCTATGAAATCGCATGACTATCTTATTATCTCAAAATATAATTTTTTTATTTGTATATAACATTAACTTGAAACATGTGTGACGTTACTTCAGCGACATCTGTCAGATTAATCGGAAACTGATGTCTATTTATTATAAACCAAATTCCCGGATGGCGCTGTTCTTTATTTATATATTTTTATTTTGTAACCAGATAGTTAGATGGCACTGTTTTTGTCTGAATGACATCTTTCAATCCATTAAACGTATCTTAATTACGTCATAAATATGACAGAAAGTGTTTTTGTGGTTTTAAAAAAGTTTAGATTTAATTTTAAGGCAAGAAAAAGCGTTAGTTTTCTGAAAATTTTTTGCTATTGCTTACTCAAATAAAAATAAACAATTACTTACTTGGAATACCCTATTGACTTCAATAGAGATTCGGCAACAGGCACAAATATGTAAAATTGACTCTTGAAAATTGATGACAGTTGAGAAGGGAATAGAGAGAGCGATTGGAGGGTCAGGGAGTTGGTATGGGGTATGTATTGGTATGTCGACTGATGAAAACGAGCAATTACCTGTAACGTGTAAGCCTCGTAGAATCCTTTCCCGCAGTAAGTACATCTGAAGGTCCGTCCTCTGAGCGCCCTCTCGTGGCTCCTCATGTGTATCTTCAGTAGAGTCTGTGAACCGAACTTCTTAGGACATTCCGCGCATGCGTGCGTTTTCTCCTACATCAAAACAAAAAAGCACAATAAAGACTTAATATATGTAATTATTTGTTATTTTTGTGATATACAGGGTTATCCGTAAAAACCAACAACCTCGCAGGACTAAGACAACATCACAAACAACAAGGTTTAATCAGCGAGTTTTAACAAAACTAAATACTTTGAACATTATTATGTTAGTTAGTAAAATAATTAACAGTTGTCAAAAAATCAATACCAGACAGTGTCTGTGAATTGGAAGCCTGTGTGTGGAATATATATATCTAACATTTGTGTGTTAGTGTGTTACAAATAACCCTGTATATTCGATTATTTTGTATGCTATAAAACTAACTATTTAGTTTTGAAAAGTCTATATCCACTTCAAGTTCCGTAGTAGACATGTTAACTCAATAGAATAAATTTTGATTCATCTCCTTTATATATGTGAACTTAACAACATTGAAGCTAAAAAAAACCGGTTAACATTATTACGTACCAAATGTGTGTCCCTGTGTTTTGAGAGTGAGTGTGCATGTTTGAATCTTTTGGGACATAGGTCGCACTGGTGACAATCCTTGTTATGTATGGCCATGTGTTTCTGTAGACCGAACCAACCCATCACTTTCTTTTGACAAACCTTACATTCATGTTCCCGATTCGGATGGTACCTGAAACAATAATCATCGTCATAATCAGCCGTAAGATGCCCACTGCTGAGCATAGGCCCCCATTGATCTCCGCGACGATCGGTCCTACGCAGCCCGCATCCAGAAGCTTCCCGTAACCTTTGTAAGATCGTCGGTCCACCTGGTGGGAGAGTAGGAGAGTCGCCATTCGAGAACTCTTCCGCCCCAACGGCCATCAGTTCTTCTCGCTATGTGTCCCACCCACTATCACTTTAGCTAAGCAGTTCTTTGAGCAATGTCAGTAATGTTTGTTCTGCTATGAATCTCCTCATTCCTAATACGATGAAGTAGAGAAATACCAAGCATTTCATTACCAAGACTTCAGAAAACCAGAGGGTCATTTCTGGGTAAATGCATTGCTATGTTCAATAAAGTTCCACAAAATGTAATTGACCTACCCATAAATAAGTTTCAAATTCATGTAAAGAATATACTTATGAGTAAAGGCTATTATAAAGTTGATGATTATTTTAAGGACTGCAATGCATGGAATTAATAGCCTTCGCTTTGTTCTATAACAACTAATTATATGTACAAACTATGACCTACAGACTTTGAAAGTTGTGTTTATTATTGTGATAATACATATTATTTTGGTAATGACATGATTTATGTAAATGTCATTACTTATGATAAAAAGCTGATAAGTTTCTTTCGCTTGTTCTTCTTGTCAGCTAAAAGACGTCCTGAACAAGTGGTAGGGGAAAAAATTTTTTTTGGATGATTCAAAAGTGCTTGTAACCAGCTTACTTAAATAAGGATTTTTTTCATTTCATTGCCCTCTCTCCACTGGCCATTGGGTGATCTTGAGCCTTCTTATGAGACCCATAATAAACAAAACGATACAAAGAATTAATTCAAGCATTTACAGCCAGTTGCACAAACATCCATTAAATTTGTTATTAGTTTATAACAACATTATGCATTCAACTTTGACATTATAGAGCATTCATTAGATGAATTGTGCAACTGACCATGAGTGACTAATAAAGGGCATTACTTAGAGTTTTCTTTTTAGGATACCATACCCAAAAGGTAAGACTTAGCTGAAACCTATTACTAAGACTTAGCTGACTGTCTGTCTGTCATGAGGCTGTATCTCATGAATTTACTTCTATTGCCGTTTCAACCGCTCGCACTTAGCCAGGTTTTTTACAATAATTCAAAAAGTATATCATTCAGCACCAATTTACATTTCAATTTAAAAAATACTAACTTGTGCCTATGGTTCCTCAGTTTGCTAAGAGTGTTGAATGTCTTCTCACAATCTTTACAATTAAACACTCCTATTTCCGTTTTCCTCAGCACAGCTGCTTCCTTCTTTATCAAAATTTGCATCTCTTTCTTTTGTTGACGACTACAACAAACACATAAGGAAGGAGTTTAAAGCACAGCTATTATAACAAACTTTGGTCCAATGCTTTGTGAATGTTGCTTAACTGCATTAATGTCATCTGCAATCAGCCATCAAGCCAAGGGAAACTATTTTTTTATTTATAAGTTGAAAAAAAAACTTAATCTCACCAGGCCATTTTCTCTTTGGCATCTTCCATCCTTTTCTCATTGATGAGTCCAAACGAATGCCACTTTGTGTGTATAAGAAACCTTTTAGGATGAGTGAATAGCAAACAGCAATTAGGACATTCGAATCCCAGATCTGTTTTTAAGTCTGAAAAAACTTATGTTCATTAGTAAACATAATTTTAATTACTTACAGATAAATGAAGCCCAGAAGTATTTTATTCTGAATTTTTAAATTTTAAAATGGTGTTTGTTACACCATTTTAGTAGACAGTTATTCCAGCAGGTCAAGTCTATATACAAGAAAGTTTTTAATAGAAATCTGCCAAATATTATTTTGATATTCGGTATTCAGTGTATTTGGCATGTTTTTCAGAATTTTTTATTCGGCTGAATATTTGTTGTTGGTGCCGAATATATTCAGTTCAAGTACTTATGTACGTTTATTTGGCTACACAACACTGTATAGTACTAAAATACAAAACTTCTTCTTCTTCTATTAAAATATGAGATTATGATATTTACAAACTATGTGCACATTTTAAATTTCAAATTGAGATTTTAATTTGTTAATGATTGTATAAAAGGGGCATAATGACAAAATAGACACTATAACAGAGATATAGACACTATAAAAATATAAACAAAAATAGACATGCACATTCTAATAATTTTATAATTAATTAATGGTAAATTATGGTGCAGAAACACCAAGCTCTTTGCCTTTGTCAGCTAGAGTCTGTTGCATATTTCTTTATATAGTATGAAGATGAAGAGAAATAATTGTTCACTATTCACATGCTATACAAGCAAGAGCTTTGAAAAATGTAGAAATATTTTTCATGTAATATATTTTTCAGTATTTGATGAAATCACTGTTTGGCGCATCTCTAGTTTTTTAATATTAAAAGAATCAAATACAGTTTTATACCATTAGCAATAATTTCCATAGCTTTATTGACACTGTTCACAGAATCAACAACATTATCCAGACTAGAATCCTCTCTTGAAACACCATTCATGTCTTTAAGAAACGGTTGCATATGTTCTGTATCTGTCCAGCTTGATATAGTTTCTATTTTAACAACAACACTAGTATCAACATAGTCCACTGGTTCTTCTTTGATGTAATAAACAAGATTTAATGGTTTTGTATCATTTGAATCGGAATCATTATCAACCTGAGGTTTAACATTATCACTGTCATTTAATTTTGTGTCTTTGGAAGTTTCTTTGATGCCTGTTATATTTGAATTATCACTGTGATTATCTTCTGGAAGTTGTTGTTTGCTTTCCTTGTCTTTAGTGTTGTTTGAGTATGTTGTTTTATTTATATTATCTTGTTGGTCACTCATACTAGAATCATCAGATCTATCATAATGTTCTCTTTCCAATGATTTTTCTCGATTATTGGTATCCAGATGATTATTGTCTTTGGAATTAAGTTCATTTGGATCTTTTCCATCATGATTTTTCCAAGGTGAAACCAAGCTTTCATTTCTTTTTGATTCACTATCATGGTTTGAGTCTGAGGACTGCTGATTGAAGTCCTCCTTATGTGTTATTTGAGGTACGTTAAAAGGGGGCCGCTGCGCCTTGAGACCGTCACTGGAGACCTCGAAATGATTCAGTTTGTTTGCGTAATTTGAAAAATCAGTAATACCTTGATTCGTTTCGTTGTTAAAACAGTAGTTTTCTGGTAGATTACCGTTGTGTCGAATCGGGTTAGCGAAGTAATTTGTATTTGATATGGCAGAACCAGATTGAAAAGGATTATTTGGATACATGTTTACTGGAGGATTACCACTGAGGGATGTGCCGGAAAATCCTGGATAATTTTGGAAATTGAAGTGCCCTGAAGTCGGATGGTTAGTTTGTTGCGACATTTTCATAAAATTACTGAAATTCTGGGCAATATTCATTGGTGTAGCCAACTCAGAGAGATCGGCCGCTCCCACATTTACAGGAGTCTCGTTTGACCCGTAAGGACCTGTGTTGTGCAACATATTTGAGTTCTTCATTCGTCACACACTGTTTTTGCTTTGAAAAACATTTATTTTATGGAAAACAATTCATAAACAAGTGTCGACAAAAAGCCATTTTGACACTACATTCACTCAAACACAGATAATTTATTGAAAACACAATTAAACACTACTTGCTATAAATTCTCTTCGTACTTGGTCTGTGGCATTAGAGAGTGCAAAACCCATACAAAACCGGTTAGTTAGTTACGTTCAACATTCTATAAAATAGCCCAGCATCAAATACAGCGCTGTATATTTTATTTTATTAAACTTCGAACGTTCAATAAAATAAAATCTCTTCTAGATATGGAAGTAAATTTTACCTCATTAAACCTCTGTAAGGTAAATAAATTAATTTATGCTTTATTTGTAAGAGTATTCTCACTCACTCGAAAACTCGAGTATGACTCAATTGAGATGGTTAATAGGCTCGACGGACTCGAGTCACAAAATCCTACTCGAGTCACATTACACTCGAAAAGCCGATATATTGAAATAGATATATCGACGCCCAAAACGTTTTGAATCGTAAAAATATTTGAATATTGCTATTTCAATAAATAACGAAACTAGAAAAAGAACAATGGCCATCTGCCTAACATGCTTGGACTAGTAAAATCGAATAAAACGTAACTTGATGAAACATATGTTATTTTGTTAGTCTATGCAACTAGAACAAAGAATGAAATTAAATATATTTTTAAAAGCTGGGAGTATCGAGTAATTGTGTAATATGTTTTTGAGGTTATGTCGTATTATTTAAACTGTAGCATTTTGAGTTAGAGGTATTACAGTTGAAATATGTAAAGCACACGTCAGATAATGCCTAATCGTAGTCCTAGAAGTGCATACTTTATATTATTTTTATATGATATATTATATTTATAGACTGTAAGAAAAAAAAAATCATTTTTTATGAACCAATGAACATCAAAAAAAAAATAATATAATTTTTAAGATTGCTCTCAATATCTCTACTTTTTTATCTTACACTATAACTTATATAAAGTAATGGTGAAAATAATAATTTCAAAAGGATATAGCAAAACAACATGTTGATTTTTCTTTTCTTTATTACAACTCTAATGAATACCTCATCACGGAATGCTGCAGGAGCAACTACATTCTGTTCGTGTCTGGCCCATCCAAGATACCAAACTATGGTCATTATATGAGCACAGCATCCCAGTATACATCGACCAATAAGACAATTACAGCAGTGTTCTCTTATGCCGTCTAACCCGGATGTGTCATTATTTTTTAAAATGTACACTTAATATTGTTTTCTCCCAATGTCTCGACTTAATTCTACCCTTTATAATTAGGACTTTATTTATATTTAAGTGTAATTCTAATAAATCCAGAGAATCCGGTATTTTTCTCCAGACCTCAATTCTATACTGCCCATGGAACCTAGTATACTCCCCATAATACAGAAGATAATACAAAATCACCGCCAAAGTTACTAAACGGTCTGCGTAGAAATACGTATACACATACTTGTCTAAAAAAGGGAGGTCGCAATCGATTGAATACTGTAATATCGATTCTTATGAATAATCATTTGTTTTTAATTTCATTATAAATAAACTATTTTCCTCTTAATATAATATAATTTTCACGGATTTATATGTTTAGTAAATAATATAAGATTTGTATCAAATTCGATTAGTCAGAAATAAAATCGATCTTGTTCTTTGAAAAGAGAAGGACTTCTCTAGGAATGACAATATTAATAAGATGCGTTCAAAAATAACATAATTTAAACTGCGTTCTAAAAAAATAAAGACATATTTTAGAGAGGATTATCTTTCTTTTCCCAGCTTTTAAAAATAAATTGTTGGTATATAATAATTACATTCAACTTATAGTACATTTTGGTTATAGTTCCATTTTGGTACAAGAACTTTTTTTTTCGTAGTCCATTTTGACCATTGTTCTTTATGTCACTAAATGGCAGCACAAAATGTTGGATCTAAACGTCAATGAGGAAATATTAAAAAAAAATAAAGGAACTACAACAAATTATGTCACTAGATGGCAGCACAAATTGTTGGATCTAAACGTCATTTCATGTCGTTAAAGCAAAGAAGGTAGAATTTTCAGTGTTGTTATGGATCTGATAAATCGGATTAATATCGAGTTGAAATTTAACTAGTTCGAGTTACGCAAACGCAATTCGATTAATACAAAGTAATCTTTGAATAAATTTCTTTTTTATTTGTATAGAGGAAAATGGAAACTAACATAATGCCACTTCCATTGCCGAGCACAGAGGCTTTTTTCAATTTATGGAAATCAATTGAATTAATGCTGTGATATAATTAAAAGTGGCATTTAGCTACATTATACAATAATAATACCGCCAAATAGTTTTTATAAATAAAATACTTATGCCATAGTAGGTCTAGAAATTTTTCATTATAATATTTAACAAAAGTTTTGAAAACAATAACAACTAGGTAAGTTAGTTTTATTGCTATCAGTTGTTTGTTGAACCTACAACACAAAACTACAACAAGTCTCAATAATATTTTTATATTATGTATGGTGAATGGATGAATAGGGTTTATTAATCAGCAACAAAAGTCATAAAAACGTTAATTTTAATAAAAATCCGTTTATTATCTATAATCTTAACAGATATGTATCAAATATATTATGTATTCGTACAAAATAACATGACTTCTGGCTAAAATGACGTTTGTGCAAAGTGTAGAACGTGCTAATAACTTGTGCTTTAGAAATTAAGTCTTTAAAAAACTATGATCAGTTATTAAATCTCTCTTAATAAACATTCAGCAATCAACAAGAAACGCTGTTCTTACAATAATATTGTTAATAATACATAGATTGACTTCCTACACAACCTACTCTAGAAATCAGTTTTATTGAAATATATTATTTACTAAGTACCAAGAGTAGTCATGCTCTCTTAAAATCTCAGCGATGGTGTCGTGTGCGTTAGGTCGTTACGTTCCCTCAAATATAGCATAGTTGAGTTATATAGTTGAAATTAAAAAATCAGCCTTTGCTGAGTTTCTTGCCGATTCTTATTACTACGAAATCTCCCGCCTTGGTTTTGCGAACCTTTGGCACAGTTTTCGACTTTCACAAGTAATATGTAACAGCCTAGACTGAATTGATTTTGATATTTTTATCATTCGTTTTGTGGATGCATAATGACACATACAAATACAAGCTCAATTCTGCGCTCCGCTTTTTGTTCTTAATTCCAAACCTGATTTCGGATGAAAGTTACGAGCAACCAATAAGTTGGCTCATCAGTCTCATCACTAATGTTGACGTATAAAACCAAACATCGTTCCTTTACACGTAAAATAATAAATAACTTAAACCTACGATTCAAATAAATTAAAATTAATTTGAAAGTTAGATGTCATATACATTAGTTTTTGATACTCAATTTACACGAACATGAAAAGATGTCTCAAAACTTCCTCATTCCATTACGATGTGATACGGCTTGATATCCCATTTATAATTCACGCAATCGGAATAAACTAACCATATCAACCTCTCGCTTAAAATTATACTCTTCTTGTCTACTAGCAATGTCGATAAAAATATGCAATAATTTGCCAAACTCAATAAAAAACTAAAATAAAGAAAAATATTACACAAATCAAATAAATAATTTATTAACTAAAAAGTATTATTATATCATATAAAAATACCTAAATGAAACTTCAACTCTTATTGAAATGTAATATTTTAGTTTTGTATCCTCATTTTAATAAAATAAATAAATATCTATAATAAATATCGGACAACATCACACACATTGATCCGATTCCGAGGAAACAACGGGGGGAATACTAATATTTACATAATATAAATAGGAAACACCCAGACACAGAACAGACATAATTTTTAATCACAAAAATGTTTGTCCTGGGTGGGGATCGAAGCCATGACTCTCGTCGTAATAAAAGGAACGCTACCACCGCGCCATTGAGCCCGTCAAACCCGTAATATCTATTTAATTTAAATATCTATTAAATAAGTAATTTTACAAAGCCTAAATTATTTAGTTTATAAAAGAAATGAAATACTTATTACCTACATTTTAAAGCACAGTGCCCTCCCGTCTCACCAAGTTTGCTGTGCCCGACGTGGTCCATAATAATACTTTTGTTTTTATGATCATCTTAATACTACATTGTGAAATACAATAAAAATAAATAAAATAATATCCCATATCTATAAATATCGGACATCGAGCGAGATCCTGAATCCGCATTGATGCAGCAATAGTGTTTCAAAAAATATATAGTTTCTGTGATATCAGATATTACGATATTGATTCAATATACGTTTCAATGTTTATAATACTATTTGTATCGTGTGGTGTAGTGGTGGTGGTACTCCCAGTGTAACATATTCAGTGATCTGTGATGTGGTGGGGTGACTGACATTACGAGTATTATTGTTCTGTGGACATGACAGATGTCATTCGCAAGCTATTATTAATCTGTGGTCATTCATTTTAAGTGTAAAAAAATACATTTTATTTATTAATTTCCGTGTGTAGGAAGACGACGCGTATTGAATATGTGTAAATTAATTAGATTTTTGCGTGTAAAACTCTAATTTAATAAAGGATCTGTTTAAATCTTGTTGTTATACAAATAAATTACCTATAATGGCGTTGAGCGCTGTAGCGGAAGAATATTTTCGTTCAATGAACCCTTTGGCTGCAAAAATACATGAAGATGTAATTGAAGCTAAAAATGCATACGAAAATATTTGGGAAACACTCACCGAAAAAGAAAAGGTTTTTATATCTACTATAATTTTTTATACATTTTATAGATGTACTGATATGTGAATTTATTCTTCTCTCAGTATGACTATTACTAATATGAAAGAATTACAAGTTCCATTCTATTTAGAACAGTTTAAGTATTATCGGGATTTCCTTATTTGTTATTTTGCAGTATGTAGTTTGTAGTGTAGTTTGTAAATTTTTATATAAAAAAATGTTAGTATGTTGACGCTGGAAAGCAAACACATAGTAACCTGCAAAACCAAAATGGCCAGTTCTTCAAAATCTTTATATGTTTCCAAAAAAAAATTTTATTTTCTTATAAATTGACTAAGGAACACCTTATTTGTTACTATGGACGTTCATAGGAATTATTTATTGAAAAAAAAAAAAAGATTTTGTGTTCTGAAGAACACTTTTGGTTTTGTGGGTTGCTAGGTGTTTGCTTTCCAGCATCGATTTTATTTATATAATTTACTCATTTATTTCCAAATACTTGGGAAGAATTATATTAAAATTTTAACGCATAAAAAGAGTAAGAAATAGACAGCAAATTAAAAAAATTACAATATTTAAAAGAGAGTTAACAAATCTGAGAAGTACAAAGTATTAATAACTTTTATAATGAAAACAGTCTAACTATGATCCAAAGTTCTGTCAGTCAAGATGGTTTTCAATGCAATTTCATTCAAAATGTCAAATAATATTTCAGACTGAAATTATAAATGAATCGATAATAAAGCCAGAGATAGCTCTGAAATATGCACTTCTAGACACCCTGGAGTTTGACTTTAACGACCCACCAGTGTGGAAAGATGATCTCATGTCGTTCTTCGGGAGGGAGCATGGACAGAGGGTCATTCAAGATGAACATACATCATTCAAGTTAGTATAGCTTCTACTTTTCGGTTTTATTTAATCTCTCCCACTATCAATAGCAAAAAATTACATCCTGCTTGGCATGTTTGATGTGACTTGTGAATGTGCAAATTGTGACATTTATCGTCAAATATTTCAAAATAAAGGAAGATTCTTAAATTCAAAAACTATCAATGGATAGATATATAGATTAACTTCATGTTTACAGAGATGAACACTCTGCTCCTTTCCTCTATCAAACAAAAAGCCAATTGAACCTGTGTGTACTCAGTGAACACCGAACGCCCAAAGATGTAAAACCAACATCACCTCTTCCAGTCATGTCTGAACTTGCCATATCTCATTCCAAAGTTGTATCTGAACTTAAAAATGCTTTAAAATCACATGAAGCTATGAAAACTTACAAGGAAGACCAAGAAGTCACTTCACCAGGGTTCATTAGTAAGTTTATGAGCAACTTTAAGAGCAAAGATGAGGAGCGGGAGTGTCTTGTTGGTGGTGTTCAGGCTCATATTGTTGCTTCATCAGATAACTTCTTCAAGACTAATTTCAAGAGCCCTCAGAACGAGAGATATGACAGAGAATACAGGAACAGCATTGTGAAATCTAGTAGTGGTGAGTTGTATTAGTATTATTTATATATTTACAAAAATTAATATAATATCTAATGTCCCACAATGAAAAGCTTAGGGGTTGTTTTAGTAGTCACAATATTGTCTGTTTTCTTCCCAAGAGCTGATCCAGGGGAGAGGTACTAAAGATCAAAGAAGACTGTTCATTTTAACAGGACTTGGGCAGAAGTATTTTTATAGTACTCATTTAGTTTCATCCATTTTAGGGTTAGGGTTGGTGCATATCTGATGACGATCCATTTGTATTATGGAACGTCAGAATAGACCCAATATAATTGCAACTTTGCACACTTGTTTGATGATCCAGTAGTCCGTCAAGTGTACTAATGCATATTTACAAATACTAAAAACCAGAATAAAATAAATATTTAATGGGGCTCTCATACCATAAAGTAATTTTTTCCGTTTTTCATAGATTCGTGCGTGATTCTGACTCTCAGTTGGTCAGTGTTTATTTTTGTTTGTTATATGCAGCAGTGCTTGAAGTTGCCAAAAAGTTCTACGTTTCTGGGCGGAATATGATTTGCTGGAGTAATACATGAAACTTTTCACGTACAAAGGACTAATAGACCGTCTATACCAAGAGCTGTGATTCCAAAAGTTGATTGGGCTAAGACCCATCTAACAAAACTTTCCAAACTTAGGACCCATCAATTATATATGCCATTAGAGCCCACTCCATAAGCGTTCGCGATCCATACTTTGTGAAATACAGCTATAGAGTAGTATTGAATAAGATATTCTCAGTTTGTTTTTAATATTCTCAACTGGCAGCCCTAGAAACCGCACGCGTGCTGAAATAGTCAGTTAGTCGTATCAACAAACAACGTGCCCTATCATTGTTTAATTGAATCTATTGTTTTAATTAGGCAAATCGTGTTATTTAAATATGCATTGTGCTTCACGCATCTGTGAGTCAGTTTTAGCTATTATAATGCTATGAGACATTTTAGACATATAACAGTATTCAAGAAAAATACAGTTTCTGCAAAATATCAGACCATAAATATATCCCAACAAATTATACTAATAATATAAAGAGGAAAGAGTTAATTTTTTGCATTGAATATGCTCTGAAACTACTGGAATGTTCACATAGGGGTATCTTTTCAATTCAATTGACATTTTTCATGTCGTAATACAGATATTCTACTCGTACACGAGTGACAGTAGGCTATAATTTCCACGAATGAAGTCGCGGGATATTGAATTTACATGCAATCTGTAGCGTAAGCTAAGCTAGTTTTGGCTAGTTTGTACTTAGAAGCTCCACGAACCAACGAGCGTTCATCCTAGTGCAGAACAGTATATTTTCGAGCAAACTACTCATTACAAAAGAACAGATTTTTTTTTATAAGTATGTCAAAGTATACGCCACATACATACATGCTACTTACATGTTACTGACAAATTATTGGAAAAAACACCTGTCATAGCGTGTTGCCTTAATGCATAATGAAAATACTTCCTAGGAAACATACTTAGGGTTGCCACAACATCTCGATACAGAAATTCGAAATAATGACTAAAGCTGTGAATAGGTGATCTGTATGATTCAGGTATTTTATACATTTATATTCCATGTGTAAACTTTAATATTCCTTGTCATTTGCCGAGATTTGGCAGTACCAATCTTTTCCATCCACCAAAGAGTCGTACAAATCTAAAGATGCACTATCCTATATCACGAGCAACTGCATTTTATAAGAAACCATATGCCTGCCGTGCCTGCTATAAAGAAACTGTTCATATACTAGAATTGTAACATGTACTTTATATTTTTTCATTATTTTTAAGTTAAAACTGTAGCCAGTATAAACGCGTTCTTACATATAGACGTTTTGGTCCCTCGGCTGTGACGCGCGTGCTTGTCTCTCATAGCAATATATCAGGGATACTTTGCTGTAAGCGTACTAGTATGGCTCGCCTGGCGCGCCTATGTGTGGGAGGAGTGTGTACTGATCTATCAATGCAAGCGGTGCCCTCCTATAAGTAATGGGACACTTGTCGTGATGTAATTTTAAGTGTAGTTTACTCATTGTTGTGAGAGCCTGATAAGTAAATAAATAAACAATGCCTAAGGAATGTAAAGAATACCTGGGGCGCCCAGGCAATGTATGAAATACTATGAATGTTATTGGTATTATTTACTTTATCTAGTTAATTAAGGCAATAGGCTTGTGTCCTACAAGTGAAAATACAGGTTTTTGTTATATCTTCGAAAAATATGAACCATTTTAACTTATAATTGTTTAACAAAACAAATTTTAAGTCAATGATTTGGAAAATTTTACGCTTTGAAAACTTGAAAAAAGTAGAAAAAATCTACTACAAAAATTTGCTAAAATACATTAGGCATTAAATTAGATATAAAAAATGTAACATTATAACAACTATAAACATAAACGCACAAATAATAAAGATATTACAAAAAATGTCCAGACGCCCATACATTTTTCGCTACAGTACCACCATGTGACGTCACTTAGTGACAGGAATTTGTAGGGAGCGTTTTCGGCCAACTAGCAGCAGTTCTACAAACACAGCACCGTATCTCCGAAACTATTAATCGCAGACATGCTGTTACTTCGGCATTATTTCTCAGATGTTAATGGACTATTTATTTATGAAATAAAAAAAAAGTTGGCAACTAGCCTATTCTTAGGGATTGTATAGTTTCCGTGGCACTACTTTATCGGAGGGCATGCCCATAGTTTTTAGTGAGAGGGGGCCTTCAGCGGAGGAGAGTCCAACAGACCTGTCGTCCCGTCAGGTGGTAGGGACAAAGCGAAACGCATTTTCCCTGGGTCAAAAAAAGAGGATTTTATAGAGTACCTGCTTTCACAACGGCAATATGTAAAATACATATATAGATCCTGGTCTATATTTATCAATGTTAACCGGCCTATCTACAAAATGACTTTTTTATAGCTTGGTTTTTAGGTTTGTCCGTCTTTTTCGTTTGACCAATAAATGATCTAAGACCTATAATGGACCAACTGAAATCGTAACTATGGATAGTGTTTTTTAATAAAACCTTTTTTTAATTTGATAAAGCAAGAGGAAGAATCATATATCACTCCGGTTATAAAATGATCTCTGTAGTTTATAGAATAGATATTTTTATGACTAAGATCATTATGAGCAAACGGAACTGATAAGGCGGTCCAGTAACTCATAAACATATTTCGGTTATGAGATCATTTATATTTTAAATGGAGGGGGTTAATTTAAAAAAAATTTTAAAGACATAATTAGATATATCGATAAATCGTTTCATTTCACATATCAAGGTAAAAAATATACTAGGCCTGTGATAGACCTACAAGTAAAGAGTTTATATTTTTCCAAGATTTTAGGTCATAAGTTGCATTAGGATGTTAATTATCAGCCTATTTGCCTCAATGACCTCAAAACGGTATATTAAATATTTGAGACTCTTACAATATTTTTACATTTAACAAGTTACACGACATTCCGCCGCAGGGGCTGCACATTTGTGTTTAACCGGCTAGTAAAAATTAGTATAAAAAAAAGCTAGTGATTTAATGATCCATAGTCTAACTAATGTTTTCATCTTTCATTCGGTCTTATCTCTGTGATAAAACAGTGAGAAAAAAGTAGCCCTTGCTGAGTTTCTTACTGGTTCTTCTCGATGCAAGGTCTCTCACCGTAAATTTGCAAACTGATGGCATAGTATTTTTGCATTCACCAATGTTATAAATAAATAAATTATATTGAATTTGAATCTCTAGTTTAAAATGGAATTTTGCATTTTACGATTGTTAGATTCTTAAATACCCGTGTCCGTTAGTAAGTGTCGATTCTGCTGATTTTTAAATGTACGCTGATTGCACTTTCGCGCTTAAATATTTAGGGTTGCAACAGACAACTCTCTACCCTCTGTCTACCCTCGATTTTTGTTTTTTTATAAAATACAAGTAAAGATAATCACTTTTCAACTAGAAAACTTTTTCTTGCAGATCTCTCTGAAGAGAACCGTGGTTTGTTGTCGTCGAGTCACGCGTCATCAGGCACTGACTTCCAATCCACAGAGACTCTCACCGAGTCGACATTGCCAAAGACTGGTTTCGATTTCTTAGATAACTGGTAATTATTAGGTTAGCTAGAGGAATTATAGTGCAGGTCATAATAAGTTTAATAGATGACATCATAAACAACAATTCATTCTACAAATTTGGATAATTCGTGACATTTTACTTTTAAAATTAATCATCCTACCTGCAACACCAATATGTAGGTTTACTTCATACAAGCAAATGTAGCGTTTTTCTTTCGTTTATGAATAAAAAATATCATTTTCTCGTTCTTAGGAATGTAGTAATAAATAAAGTATAAGTTTATTCATATAAGAAAAAATAAATAAAATTTATTCGAAATAGGTAATTGGGTTAGCTAGTCTATTGAATGCGCTATTTGTAAAGGATCCAAGACGTCTGAAAAAAATAATAATTATTGAAAAACACACTCAATAAAAACCCTTTCAAATTGGTTTTACTTGAGTTATGTTAAGATTGTTAGATTAAATATTGTTTTTTATGATGTTAAGCTATTTATTCCTGCGAGTTTACTGGTATTGATCAAATAACCCTGTATAAAACGAACCAGTTCATTTTCTATACTTGTGATATATTTTATGTTTAATCTAAGTGATCGGGAGTTTGTTTCTGTGGCTTTCACTTAAAATGTTAACACCCATCGTACCTGCGATGTAGGATTATTTATCATCTATTTTGTACAATTAAGCTAACCAATCGACATACAGCGAGATACAAATAATTTACTAGCACGGAAGGTTTATTTGGAAGCACATCAAATGTCGGCCAATCAGAATAATTCAAGTATCGCGCCATCGAGCGATCCACCAATATCCAAGCGCCCGACTCCCGTTGAGTGAGGACACGTTATGCGTTGTATTTTAAACCTTATGGTTATTGAAACAGCACATATGTAGTTATTGTGTATTTCTCTGCATCAATCCTGCAGCGTTTTATGTTCTTTTTTTATAACAGCATGTCAGATTATAGAAAACTGTCCATTTTCTCCAGCAGATTTTGAATCTAATTTCGTTGACTGTTAAATTTAAAATCAATTACGGACATTCAACATTCTAACATTTAGTTAGTGTCGATTGTTCTAATCTAATATATATATATATTTATAAGTAGGGATCTAATTACATATAGGTATTTAGAATCTGTGATCTCAATCGAATTTTTATATTTTACATCTACCCACCACCTTCAGCAATTAGCAAAACCTTTGTACTCATCACTGTGACTTTGGCATCGTTGTATTTAAACAATACCCGAGCTTATTTAGGTCACACATTATTAGGTCAACATGGACCTATCTCGGCAATAGCTCCCCGAGACATTTCTGGATGGGCAGGCTCTTGTTCCAATTATTTCATTCAGTGTAGACACAATATGCATTCTTTTTCTATTCTACACGTTCAGCCATTGTTCTGTTACTCGACATTGTCTTTTCTTACACATATTTTCACACATCTATGGGCGAATATCTCAAAGAAGCGGAAAGATCAGATGTAGAGTAATCTACTTTTAGTTTGTCAATTTCATCACCTGTCCTTCTCTACGGCATTAAAATACGTAAGTTAAAGCAGAATAGATAATCAAATATTCCAGACATATCGAATGTCAATTTTAAAAGTCCAATGCGTCTAGTATCTATATGTCTGTTATTCCTAGTGTATGTAATAAAATCGCTATAGAAAATTGTTTATAGGCATGTGCCTATGCTCATTATTCTATAGAAATATTATGACGCAGAGTATGTACAAGTTAATATCCGACGTCATCACCGTTTACAAGCATGTATAACCAGTTTTGATTATAGTCTCATTATCTGTCGTCGTAAGGTATTATATATTAACGTAATACATGCCCGTTTTCACTAAACTTAGGAGTCGCTCAAATCTGACACCTAAATAAATATAATAAATATTTATATGTCTCAGGTGTAAACGTACATATGTCATACATAAAAAAAAAACTTTCCCTTAAAATTTTAATTTTTAAAATTCGCAAACCCGTATTAGGACCGAATTTTTTGCAGACAACACATTGATTGTTCGTAATGAAACAGCGCTTATGTTGATATAATATTTTTTTTTATTATCAAATCAAGTGAAATTAACTGGCATCGATATACCTGTTTATATCTGACAACCCAGTAGTTCGTCCAGGTAAATAATAGACAACCCAACGTCTGCACATTCTATATGTTTTATACTTTAAGTCACAATTAAATTTTTCTTATTATCTTGATGTTGCAACATTTCATAAAAAAACATTTTTTTTTTAAATAATTAAAAATATTCTGTCCAGGATTTTTTTAGCGAACCCATTTTTAATATATTTTCTAATGTACTAAATTAATTATACAATAAGTTTTATTCCATTATCAACCCGGTGAAGGTCGATTTAGGTTCGGATCTTCTACTATTAGTGAAAACGGGCAATATACTCTGGTCATGTATTCGCTGGGTGCACGTTGACAGCGCCACCTAGTGGTTATACATGACGTCGGTCTTTGAAATGTCAAATGGCCCGCTGTCAGTACGAAGATTATGTAAAAAAAAACAATATTTCAATGAAACATCGTTATTTATCCAGATTCAATTCGATCCAGTCCAAATCTAGGGTGTCAATACTTTTCGATTATTGCAAACCGGCAAGTCATTGCCGTTGTAAAATGGCAGGCGTTATTATCTGGCGGTGGCAAAATAAAAATATTATCGGTGTTAACACACACTCAATCTCTTCTATAATAATTTGTAATCGTATGTACATAATAGGGTATTCCACTATGTTTGAAATAATACTTTTAATTGTTTATTTTAATTTAATACAGCCACAAAACAAATATTTCGGAAAAATAAACACGTTTTATTACTTTAAAATTAAATAAGAAATTCAACTTTTTATACCCGCGAAAACTTTTTATAAAAATTATTTAATATTTGATAAGGCTTTGTATGTTTATTTTTACATAAAATGCACGTATACGATAATTTCTTAAGTAAAAAGTAACAGTTCGTCCGACCGCAGTTCCTTTTTCCGTCACGGCGCGCTGCGATCGTTTCGTAGTTCCCCCCACCTCCTACTTCGCACCCAGCGGAATAGGTACACGAATCTCAAGTTTTCTTGTATCTTGTTATATATATTGTGTGATAAATGATTTAATTTTTATTTACATATCTCATGTATGGCTGTTAAGTTTAATTCGTGGTTACTATTTTTGTGCAATGTAATTTCTCATAATAATAATAATGTAAATTTTGCTACGAAACTTTGACGTCAGTTTAAGAGGATTAGGAAATAAAAATTTGATTATTAATTCCTAAGACTATGTGAGTTTATGATGATTGTAATTGTTTCATTTGCTTCTAATAAATGTTTTTCATAAAATAGGCATTTAACATTAAAATGGACTGTAATCCCTTAAAATTAAATGTTATTTTTGAGTGTCACATAAATATTTATTTTTATGTTTGTCTTTCAAAGAATGTTCGAATCAAAGATTTTTTTAATAATCTTAAATACTAATATGATTATGAAATAAGTGGCACATTAAGAAACGAGAATCTATATTTTCTTTTTGCACACTAACATTCTAATTAGGTTAAGCGCCATCTATTATCTATATTTAGTATTTAATACTCGCAATATGTAGCGTGTTAATCCCATGCAATCTCAGAATGAAGACTGTTTTTTTTTGTATTTTATAGATAAATCATAAATTATACCGCCTACAAAGTTAGGATACTTTCACACTTGTGATTCATATCGGTAAATAGGCGCTATGACACTCACAGTAGAAGAGATGTACCGATTAATCAAGAACTCGGCCGGTTTACGTAGACTAGTTTAGGAGAGAATATCTGTTTAAATAGTTGCATGAAAGTGTATGTGAACCTACTATTAATACTTTTGCGCTGACGGCCATGTGTTGTTATTATTAAATTTTTTCTTTTTCTTTACATTCAAAACTCTTTTCATATAAATTTCCTTCGTTTTCATATCACTATAAACATGCGATTAATTTGGAAAGGTCCTTTTTACATAATCCCATTGTCTTTTACTCGAGTACTTTAATCGAATACTCGACATTTGAACCTAATTCGTTGTATATCTGACGGTAACGCGTCGCGTCTGAGCTGACAAATTATATACGACATTCCACCTTACACACCCGACGGTAATTCCGTACGCGTTCATACAGATCTTACGTCAGATTTACACTAATTATTTATTGTGTCATGTCTATCGCGAGTTGTATTGTGAACCTTAACGTAACGTATTAAAGTCTATTTATTTAAGGGTTTTGGTAATCGTGTTGCGATTGCTTTAACCTACCTGCTCTCTTCTGTGTAGATGATATATGGTCACAATGGTCACCAACTAATCTCGACAGCTTAAGATATTGAAATTGGACGTTATAAAAGGTCTGATATTCTCATTCATTGGTGTCAGCTATTAATTCAATTTTGTATTCTGGCTGGCCATAATTTTAAGAAAAATACCATGTAGTTGCCAATAAATTAAACTGAATTACTGGTAATCATGAGGTTAACTGAATGAATCACCAAAGAAGTAAATTACGCGATTTGTGAACAGTTTTTTTTATTCAAAACTTTTTTTATTGATGATCTGTATCTTTTATTGATGTTCAGTGTTGTACCATGAAAAATCAACGTTGTATAAAAAACATGAATCACAAATTTTGTATTGGAATCAAATAATTGTCGAATCGAGCACAAATGTTTAATTTTATGATTTGCAGATAATGATTTCCTTTCCCGCGTATAGATGTCGTTGTTCAAATGTAACTATTAGAGTTGTGACATTTCTGCTCGCTATGGATTCTTTACCGATTCCCAGGAGGTTATATGTTCGATTGCATGTATTTTTCGTATTAATGGTACAGTTAAGTGTAATGAATGGTTAATTTAAGAGCCATAGCTAAGCACTGTACAGACTGCATTTAACATTTTGTAACTAATTTATGTACTATTTTATACTTTTAAAATTAAGTTTATGTAAACTTATGAATATACTCTTTTGAATATTTTACTTGTTTAATTTACATTATACTTATACAGTGAACTGCACGTCAGAATATACGAATTGTCCAATCTTTGATTATGAAGAAAAAATCCACATTAATTTTGTATGATTTTTTACTTAAAACTTAATACATATGCAATATACATAACACCAGCTAATAACTATTTGTTTATTATAAGAAACCTTTTTTTTTTTAAATTTTATTTAACATCAATTAACAATTACATTTTATGGGAAACTAGAAATTTGCACTTTACATAGTAGGCGATATTGATCATTATACTTTTGGAGATTGTGGTCAATATATTTTTGTATTTCAGATATTCTTACTTATAATTACAGCGTCATCGAAATGAACAATATACGACAAAAAAAATACTTTAATTGCACACTGGGTACGACATTCGAAAAAGTTAAATTTTAAATTAAAAAAATTTAATAATGTACCCTTTCAGACAGTAACACATCCTGCTTACACAATATGAAACTTCAGTAATCAATTATGAACTCTAGTTATAACGCATTTTTTTTAAATAATTTATAAATAAAAAAATACAGTTTTTATAACAAGAAATTTACAAATTCTATATCATTTATTCAGTCTAGGCTGTATCAATAACTTGTGAATATCGAAATACTGTGTCATCGGTTCGTAAATCCACGGCAACAGACCTCGTACTGAGGAGAACCGATAAATATCAAGTACTCATTATCCAAAGTTAGTTTTCTTATTAATATTTAACAAAACATTTATAGTGTTGATTGAGAAACGTTTAAGGTTTAATGACGCCTTTAAGCTCTAATGAATGTCAATTTTGTATAGGTAATGTCGCTTTAAACTAATGCAATTTTTAATGGACGTTTGTGCAACTTGCTGAAAGTTCTATATAGTTAATATCACTATTTATGTTTTACAATCCTCATTCAGGCCTTTTAATTTGTTGAATATTAGATAGTGTGCAACTAAGAGATATTATAAATATTATAACTTATATATTAGACTGACAAACCTGTAACCCAATATTAGACTTTAGTAGCCGGTGATAAGCATTCCTTTCTCAACTTTGGCAGCCTCCTCTTTGCCTGTCAGAAGTTCGATTAGTGTGAGACCGAACCAGTAAGCGGTCCCTGGTCCCTATAAAATAAAAATTTTAAGTTGTTTAAATCGTTATATAAGATTAAGCATCTATGGCAAGGGCCAAAAATAGGATGGGTGGCCGTTAGTTCCAGCTGCATCTACGTTAACATCCACCAATCCGCACTGGGCCGCGTCAGGCTTGTTCTTCATATTTGATTCTCTAAATAAAAAAGGTATAAATCCTACTGATATAACAAATGCTCAAGATTTTATGTTCCTCTTTCACGCACAAACTACTGAACGGGTTTTGATGAAATTTGTTATACAGATAACTCAAAACCAGCGGAATAATTGTCTAATTTCAAAATCTATCGTAATCCCTTTTAAAGACAACGTTTATGGAATTATGTAATGTTTAAAGTCGCAATCACATCGGAAAAAATTATGACTTTACAACTAAACTTTATCAATTGTAATTTTCTATAATTATGGTGTACAATAAAGAATTTATTCATTCATTCATGATTTGAACGATAAAACATCATTAAAACTTAGTAACTTAAAGGAAAATTGCTGTTAATTTATGTTTATATGTCTTAATTATGGTGTATAGTAAAAAAATTATTCATTAATAATTACCAGTGGTCGGAATTAGGTAGAGTTATTCATGTACTTACACTGATTTCATACAGCGAAAGAATAAAGTGGATATGCCTCAAATCCCGAGATTAATTTTAAAAGCAGAAAAGTTCCGTGATATTTTAAATAAAAAGTTATTTACTTTTACACAATTTAAACTACTGCACGCACGACGTTGCCAAACTTACATCAATGAAAGAAAGAAATAAAGAAAGAAGAAATAAAGAAATCCCGGGAAGGTCCACATTAATACGTATAAACGTTTGCTTTATATCAATCCAATTAACATCAAATTAAGGATACCGTTCATTCAATAACACATGTCAAATAGTTGTAACCTGAAGTCCATGAATACCTTTAAAAATGTCAAATTGAAAGCGGCTGCGATAGAATTTAAAATTGGACAATTATACTCCCAAATCGACATATAGTACTCTTTATTCCACTAAACAGTTCCTCAGGGATAAATGTACTGTAAAGTAATCGTGTACACCACGCAGGCGAAACCGTCGGAGAGCACTAGAATAAATAAATAAAAAAATCACACATTCCGAGGTATTTAGCTTAGGCACTTTTGTTACGGATATCAGTAAAAACAGGGAGAATACAAATATATACATAACATAAATATAAAACGCCCAGACACAGAACAGACATAATTGTTAATCACAAAAATGTATGTCCTGGGTGGGGATCGAACCCACGACGCTCGGCGTAATAGTAGGAGCGCTACCACCGCGCCATTGAGCGCGTCAAATAATAAATAATACACTCACCCTGCTGGTGACTATGTTCCCGTCTACCACGACCCGCTCGCCCTCCACGTAGCGATAGTCGCCGGTGATCTTGTCCTTGGTACTGGGGTATGACGTCACGCGCTTGCCGCGCGCCACGCCGTGAGACACGAACGCGGTCGGCGCTGACACGGAATGTGTTTTTACGTTATTTCACAACATTAAATAACACACTGCAGAAATATAAAGATGTGGGTTAATTGTGTAATTTAAACATCAATGGTATTCCATTTTAAAGGTTTGGCGATTGTGGTAACGATTTATGATTTGAATAATCGAGAAACATAATAAAAATTTCCTTAAACCCATCGCAAGATTGCAGTTAGAATTCAACTTTTTCGTTACGTTTGACATTTCTCAATAGCTTTCAAGTACTTTTTCCTTTATTTATACAATTCCAATGAAGTATTAAAAAAAAGAAAGCACTAAAAAAGCACCTCCACTAGATGGTGACTCCAGCAAAAGTTGATTTGTGCAGGAAACTAATGAACTAAAGATAGTCATTTGCGTTCTTTTTAACTAACAGATTAAAAAAAATCTATAATTTGCAAAGATCTAAACTTGGATATCAATACAAATCCGAAACGTATAAATAGAATATGAGTTGTTTATTGAGTTTTGAAAACTAATTTACTATTATGCATGAAAGAAAACCGGAAGGGTTGTCATTGTACCGACATCTATTTTGATTTAATTAATGAAGCGAAATCTGCAGGGGCACCAGTTACTAAGGGCGTACCTCAGGGATCGGTATTAAGACCATTGCTTTTTCTAATTTATATTAATGATCTTCCTCACTTTACGAAGAATTTATGCGAGACAGTATTATTTGCAGATGACACCTCTTTACTGTTTAAAGTTGAGAGGGGTAATGATTGTTTTGACGATGTAAATAATGCTCTCGACAATGTTCTACAGTGGTTTGATAATAATAATTTAAAGCTCAATTCAAATAAACGAAATGCATAAAGTTTGCATTACCTAATGTGAGGCATGTCAGTACACTTATAAATGTAAATAGTGAAAACGTTGAGTTAGTAGAATCGACAAAGTTCCTTGGTATTACACTAGATTCCCGACTGCAATGGGATCCTCATATTGATAGCTTGTCAAGTAGACTGAGTTCTGCAGCTTTTGCTGTTAAGAAAATTAGACTCTTGACAAATGTTGAAACGGCAAGATTGGTATATTTTAGTTATTTTCATAGTGTAATGACGTATGGTATATTGTTGTGGGGTTCTGCGGCTAGCATTCAGGATGTTTTTATTCTACAAAAGAGAGCTGTCTGTGCTATATATAGCTTACGGTTATAGAGAATCTCTCAGAGAAATATTTAAAGAAATAAATATTCTGACTATTGCCTCTCAATACATCTATGAGAATATTATGTACACAAGAAAACATTACGATTCCTTCACAAAAAAAAGTAGTGTTCATAATCTTAACACAAGAAATAAAAATAAACTTGCCGTTCCAAGCTTCAGACTTCAAAAAACCAGAGGATCATTGTTGGGTAAATGTATTGCTATGTTCAATAAAGTACCACAAAATGTAATTGACCTACCCATAAATAAATTTCAAATTCATGTAAAGAATATACTTATGAGTAAAAGCTATTATAATGTTGATGATTATTTTAAGGATCGCAATGCATGGAATTGATAGCCTTCGCTTTGTTCTATAAAGACTAATTATATGTTCAACCGCCGCGGCCCGCGATCGTAGTCGTTAAGCAACTTTCGCAAGGGTCGGTCACGGGATGGGTGACCAAAAAATTATTATCTCGAGCTACTCCGTGCTTCCGAAAGCACGTTAAGCCGTTGGTCCCGGCTGCATTTGCAGTCGTTAATACCCTCCAATCCGCATTGGGCCAGCGTGGAGGGTCATGGCCCATCCTCCTTAACCATCCATAAGGAAGGCCTGAGCCCCTGCAGTGGGGACGAAAAGGGCTGGTGGTGGTGGTGGTGATATGTTCAACTTATGTCCTACAGACTTTGAAAGTTGTATTTATTATTGTGATAATACATATTATTTTGGTAATGACATGATTTATGTAAATGTCATTACTTATGATAAAGAGCTGGTAAGTTTCTTTCGCTTGTTCTTTTTGTCAGCTAAAAGACGTCCTGAACAAGTGGTAGGGGAAAAAAAAATATTTGGGCGATTCAAAAGTGCTTGTAATAGCCTACTTGAATAAAGATATTTTCATTTCATTTCGGAAACTGATGATATTTTTTAAATACTTCCTCATTAACAGCAAGTTGACAATATCGTTCATTCATTCATTATCTTTCAATAAAACTTTACGATCACAATTGGCTGTGACGTGAAGTTAAATTTTTAATTCAGACAATTAGGCCCATTATAATGTAAGTATATACAGTTAAGTAGCCAATATATAATATGGCCATTACCGGCGCAAATGGCAGCGACGATCTTGCCGGCCTTCTCGTGCTCCTTTAGAACCGTTCCCACAACACTAGACTTCGACAGACGGTCCGATCCCTCCAGACCACCGGGCAGTATCACCTGTTATGCAGTTGAAAATCAAATAATAAAAATTACCCAAAACAGGATCAGGAAATAAACTAAATAGTTAATTATTAATTACATCGGAAAACTCAATTAATGTTTATGTACATTGGGGTCCACTTTTTAGTGTCTCGTAGCCAAAGGGTAACCCTATTACTAAATGTTGAGAAAATGGCATAACATAAGCAGATATTTTAAACCAATACATAAGAATTTGAATGAAATAAGAACTGTTAATAGCTAATAATAATAATTCAAATTCTTCATTATTTGCTAACAATATTTTTCTAAGTTAATTACTTTTACTCGAGTAATGTTTTACTCAAGACAGTAAATGAAAAAATTTTTTTTCTGGCAGTTTTTAATATACTATTATCGATAATCACACTTTTATGTTTATTATATATATAAAATCGCATAAATTAATTATGATAAGGATAACAAATATTTTATACTCGCCACGTGACCGCTCTTACTTATATTAGCACTGCCATTTTGTAAAAAACCAAACCCGAATTCGAATTCACTCAGGTGGCCGAATTCACTTCAAAAAGCGGCATCCGCCTAACTTTAAATTAGTAGTAACGTTTCATGTCATAAGTAAAGTGAGTTTGGAGTTTGTATATTCAAACAGTTTTGTTTTGTTTTTTTTTTATACAAAAAATAGAATCAATAGAATTTCTACACTCAACGATGTGAATTCGAAATCGGGTCTGGATTTTTACAGAATCGCAGGGCAGAACTTAGAGAAGTCAACCTTATGTATACATAGAACGATATAAATTTCGTTAGAAGTATAAGGGCCGTGACATCATAGCAACGACATGACAGAAGTGGCGTTTACGCGAGAAATTTTGTTTTTTTTTTTTGTCAAAGTTGATACTTTTTTAATACATACTTTTTAGATATATTTAGTTGTCTATAAAATAAAAATAAACCTATACACCTATAGTAATTACCACAGATGATGTATTTCTGTTTTCGCTATAACAAAAAATACTAAAAACAAAATAAAGTAAATAAAAGCTTGGGTTAATCCAAATTCTACCACAAGTATTATACCACGGTCGCCAAACGGGAATTTCGTACGTTTAACTTTGTACCTACCTAGATATCGTAAACAATTTAGATTCACTTTACAGTGAATGATACTGTTTCCGGGCACAGTACTTATAGTAGTAGTTACTGGAATATTTTGTATTACATTGTCCGGAACTTACAGCATCATACTGCGGGTTCTCAGCCAGCGCGTCCGCCAGTGACTTGTTCGGGACCAGAGTTATTTGTCTTGAGCATAGCACCGGCCCATCACCATCCAAACCGGCTAATGTGACAGACACCTACAAATAGAATTGAACACTATACCTACTACTCTTACGAATTTACATAGCACCTGAAAGGTGTATTCTATTTCGCCGAAAACAAAATTCTAATAAGACTCCAAAGAAACGCAATTTTCATGATGCAACATGACGTTTGAAGCAAAGATAATCTTCACGGATGAAGCACAATTGATACGCCGAGTAAAAGATTCAGAGAGAGCTAGAATGGCAGTTACAAAAAAATAAAAATAAATCAGATTTTTTTTTTGTTTTGTGAACTTTTTAGTATAATAAATAAGTTTTACTTATACATGACTATGTATTATATATATTATTTATTCTTTATACTACGTAAGTGGTTATAATCTTGTAATTTATCTAAATATTAGGTGTTTACTTGTTCTGCTTAGATGGACCTTCTCCACAGTAGGAAAAGGAGAGGGATCCCATATAAGCACATCCCTCTCATCTACTGGAGCCAGCCAGAGGAAAATAATGAATCTTGGCTGATATTTTTTAATTTTAAAATCTAAAGGTATATAATCTGATATCATAGTAGACTCTGATGTCACAGATTTAAAAAATCAATCAAATAAAATTATTTTTGAAAAACAATAATGAGTTCAGTTCAATTTCTGTAGAATCATCCTCCCTGAGCCTTTCCCACTCACTAGGTGGGGACTAGGGAGATCATCCCTCACCAGGACGCCAGCGGATACGCTCGGGTTCCCAGGTACCACCCCGAGGGTATGGGTAGGCATTTTAGCGGGTAGGCCGTGCCCTCAGTAGGGAGGACCCACACACCTGCCGTCCAATCATGTGGCGAGGATAGTATGTAGCACAATTAAGAGGCCTGCACCAACTGATCTATATGTACAGAAGAATTTGATTGAAATCTATTTCAGTTGAGTTTTTAGCACAACAGTGGGCCTTATTATGTGATAGTACCTTTTTGTTTGACAATTTAAATATACTCACACCACCCCTTCTTAACATATCCACTGTAATAACAGTCTCCATCTCCTCCGCGCCTTGAGCTAAAATGACTAGTGCGGTCTTCGACATAGTGAGTGAAGTTGAGAACAAACTGAAAATAGTTAATTTTTCTTATACATGGTCAATCCGTTCCACCATTTACCAGAGGTTTACATTAATAAATTAATTGATGTCAATTTTAATATTTATATTTTATTAATAATATAGTTAAATGAACCCACTAAAGATACACAACTGCTATATGCTGTACGAGTAGCTCGGTGGCGTAGTGGATAAGCGCCGCGGCCCGCGATCGTACTCGTTAAGCAACTTTCGCAAGGGTCGGTCACAGGATGGGTGACCAAAAAATTATTATCAAGAGCTACTCCGTGCTTCGGAAGGCACTTTAAGCCAGTGGTCCCGGCTGCATTTGCAGTCGTTAATACCCTCCAATCCGCATTGGGCCAGTGTGGAGGGTCATGGCCCTCCTTAACCATCCACAAGGAAGGCCTGAGCGCCTGCAGTGGGGACGTAAAAGGGCTGGTGATGATGATGATATGCTGTATTCCTTACAAGGCAGACAGAGAGAATAAATAAATAAGCAGGTAATTGCAACACTATATTCAAATAATTATCTTAATGAAAAATGCTTAAAAATTCCACATTGTCCCTGACACTCTGAGATGGGACTCGAACCCATGACTTTTCTCAATCTGGGCAACTGCTATAACCACTGAGCTACCCAAGACCTAACAGGACTGACAAATTTTTCAAGCATTTGTTACTTTTTCACTAATATAGAGTATATTTTCATCAATGTTCAGGCAATCCATCCAAACAGATATAAAGACGAAAATTTGTTCTAATTATTATATTTGATCAATTTAATCTAATGGTTGGACAACACAGCAGATCATCAATACCCATTCAGAATAGCTTGGTGTTTTTATTGAAATAAATAAAGAGTGAAAAATTAATAAACCATTATTGTTATAAAGGTAAGTTTGACAATTTTTAATACATTTTTTTTATGTCAACTTCGTTAAGATGATCATTGCTTTTACGATACCACTGGAGGTAGAGCTAGCAACTTTATGAATTTCATCATAGTGGCCAGGTTTGGGCAGTGCATATTCAGGATCTGGGTTAAGAATTCTGATCAGATTGAACTTGAGTAATACTAGTCTTTTCAAAATTAAATCTGATGATGTGGTAACCAACTCTAGAGTTGGTGTATCATCTAGCCTATAATATATACCGGCAGGTGATTTATCTAAGCAAAGGCATAATATTAAAACTCACTTTTTCTGTGTAAAGAAATCTGTGGGCGACAAAAGTTTCTCAAATTTAAACGTTGCTGTTATTAATTTATCGCTAATGAATTTTCTTACAAACATTTATGCTTGTTGACAAATTTGAACTTTGAAGGTCATCGTTCGTTCATTAACTTCGAGAAATTTCGGATTCGATTATATAATAATAATAATTTGGATTTTTATTAAACCTGTTACACTTATACCCATTAATTATATTTTAGGTTGTAGGTTTATTAAATGAGCTCCGACAAAATAACTTAATCTTCAATGCTTCAATGTGTGCTATAATTTTTTAGTTAAAAGTTTAGACGATTTCTGAACGAATGGGACACAGTGTTACAGTACTAAATAAATAATTACTTCTAAAAAAAATGAGCCCAGCGCATTCTAAATCTATGGTTTAGTTGTATTATTAAAGGAATTTTTTAACTTAAGTATTTTTTATATATTTAGTTACTATCAAGGGGAAGTGAGGCCTTAATATATATGTATAAGGCATTGACTACTTAATGCCTATGCGAAGCGAATAAAGATCTCTTTAAATATAGGCAAATCAGTCTTATATAAAGTATGTACAAAAAATACATACATTATCAAACTTATTTACTTTTAAAATAAATATCTATATCCATCCTAAAACTTTACTCAACCCAATAATATAGTGGATTTGTTCTAATAAGAATTTTATAATATTAGGTTGTTAAGGTAAAAACAATTAATTTTGACATGATAAAGAAACATGATAAATTCGAGAAAAGCCTGTCTCCTTGAAATTCATTTTGTCCGGTCGAAAGAATCGAAAGTGATTTACTGTATAATAATAATAGGTGCATCCTTTATATATCTCTTGAAAAAGGTACCTACATTGTATAGAAATTACACACCACAATTTTCTCGAGACTGATGTTTGTAATAGGCTTTCACCTGTATTACAGATCGCCAGGCTCCCACTTATTTTACATTGGTATAAACAACACGAGAATCGGAAATTTAATATCAATTCAGTTGTAACATGTTCATATGATTATATACTATTGTTATTAAAAATGATACGTTTGTGTTTCTCTCTCTCTCTGTGTGTGTTTGTGTGTGAATCTTCGGAATAAAGAACACTTTGTAGGTTCCTAAAATCAAACAACAGTTTTCTAATTTTCGATCAGATTCTCGATTAGAGAAAAAATAAAAAAAACTCATTTAATATTCTTCAATAGTCTACCTGACGTACTAACAAACAAAAATCAGTCATCGTCCCTATTCTGCCAAGGAGAAGCAAATTCTAATTTTATGAGATAGCGAAAATCTTATATACCGTGATATAGTAGTCATCTTTATATGTGATATTTGGTAAATAATAATTTTGAAAGTTTGTATCCCAGACAGATGTTCGTCCTGCGCAACTCTACGTTGTCTATTATTCGCTTCCTTTCTTTTGAATGTCAAGTGAATTAAAAATCGTTGATATCAATTAATTTTGTATACATCAAGTAAAACATGACATAAATTGTATCGGATTAATATTGGGATGAGATAAATAAAAGTTCATCTATAATATTATCATCGTGAGAGTTTTATCAAGAAATTATGGTTTTTAGGTTAGGTCATATCATAAACGTTAAAAATATTAATATAAAGTTCTCATGAAAAAAATATTGTGTGTTGAGTGAGTGGTTACATACGGAGTAAGCATGGATTTTGTGAAACGGGAAGATCAAAACATCGATGAAGAGAATTATAAAATATATATGGAGACAGTAAGTGTCCCTTTGTAGAATAATTTAATATTTATTCTGACTATTAACTATTTTTAAATACCAAACGCAGAACTCAGTTTGGTTCTGCGTTTTGTATTTGTATTCATACCAGATTGTTAAAACATCCTACTGTCTGTGGCTGTCACTTTTTGTTGATTCTAAATATTAGACTGCATTTTTAATATACGTTTTGCTTTTTATCATTATTAGTATAGAATATAACCCCTTAAATGTGTACTCTCGTTTGTTTACAATTTGAAATAACATACTCTTTTAATACATATTCTAATTTTTATTATTTTTACTTGAATTTTATTAAACCACGCTAAGTAAATCTCCATCAACCAGATATTTATTATACTGTTTTTCAGTTCAACTAAAGATATTATTATTATTTTTCAGTTGCAAAAATCACATCAAATGGAGGTACAAGATTATCAACATACTCCAATATCAATGGAACAACTCCACCAAGCAATGCAAACATCTCTAAATGGAACCATAATGCATAACTTCCAGTTACCATTGTCACCACGACAGATGTCAACACTCATGTTGAAGACGAACCATCTGAGTCGTAACCTTAACTTCAATGAAATTCCTGCACACTTACAGCGTAATTTAGAATTAGATCTAGTTCATAATTTAGTTGATATGCCACAGAATTTACGGCATGATGATTTGTTAAGTAGAAATCTTGATTTGAACTTGGCGAGGAGCTTAAATAATGACTTAGAGTTGCAAAGTAGTTTAACACAGTCTTTGGTGCAGAATCTAAATGAGAATATGATTTTATCAGATGGGATAGCTCAGAATATTCGAAATGATATGCATGATATAAATCAAGAAATTGACCTATCCCATCATTTAAATAGAAATATAGAACATCAGGAAATTTTGAATCATGAAAGGAGGACACCGGTGCAGTGTGTTCAGGATGCCCATCTTTTAGAGCAAAGTCTAGGACAAAGGATGGATCCAACTTTACATCAAAGGTTAGAGCAATCATTGGGGCAAAGATTGGATCAAACTTTGGGTCAGAGATTGGAACATAGTTTAGGTCAGAGATTGGAACAAAGTTTAGGTCAGAGATTGGACCAAAGATTGGTGACGCAGAATTTGCATGTGCATAGTGATCAGCGGTTAGATAGTGAACATTTGTTGCCGATGCCATTCCATATAAAATCTGAACAGGAGGATGATAGTTATTTTTATGAAAATATTAACCAGCCTTTACCAAATGTCAGCAGTATTAATGGTAAGTTTATTCTATATTAATTATTCACAAGTTTAGACAAATTAAAAGGTACTTGTTCGATTTAACATGACACCTGGCTCAGAACTTAATACCTCCCGTGTTTCCCAGCATGACAACCCTGCCATCGTCTTTCAGTTAGCGACAGTATAACAATTAGTGTTTTATATGCATCTTTGCACTATTAAATTTTCAACAGAATTATATTTTGTGGGTATTAATTACTGAAATTTCTCTTGCTGCTATTGTTATGGATCGTTAGTTAATTGTATATTATTGCATATGACCAAACGTTTGAGCAAGGTGTGAATGTGAAACTACATTGTATTTTTCATTCAAAATGTGCTGAATTTGCTGTAGTGTTACAATATGTTTGCGGTGTGAACAAAACAGTATATGTTCACACTACATACAACCACTTTGCAGGCAATTACTCTTCATACCTAGCCACCGCCAAGTGTCACAGTCTATGTAACACGTAATATTAATAGTCGGTTGTAAAAAGTTGTTTTGTCAGTGTAGTGTTCACAAATAGTTGATTAAGTATGACAATATAATCACTTCTCTCGCTCATAATCGGCGTATGTCTATATGTTGTTGTGTAAAAATAGGAACCCAAATTCGAATTGAGTCATGTGGTGAATTCACGTTACTTAGTGAAGAAATTCTATTGATTCCATTTATTGTATAAAAATACAAAACAAAATTGATTGAATATATGTGTCTCAGATATTCTATTGCTATGTCATTTTGAAACTTGAGAGAGATTCGAGATTGAGCGGATGCCGCTTTTTTAAGTGAATTCGGAAACCTGAGTGAATTCGAATCCGGGTTTGGATTTTTATAGAATCGCAGAACAGATACATCAGTGAGTCACATTGTTGTAATATTCTAAGCAAAAGTAACAGACCAAGATGTTACAATACTTAATTAGCTAATATAGCTAATTAAGTATTGTGAAATAGCATTTATCAAAAACTATTCTTATCTATAATCTTATCTGATTATCATAAACTTTATCTATTTTAAACTATTATAATGGGTTTTTTTATTTATCAAGAGGAGAATGAAAAAAAAAATCCAACGAACTTTACACATTAAAGGTGCTTTTTAATAGTTTAAAATTGATGAAAAACTTATTCTTAGTATAAAAAGTAGACCGAACTGTTCACTTTCTGTGAAAATTAGCCCCGAGAAAGAGTTTAGTTATTTGAAAGTTAATTTATCTCAAAATTATTAAACACTAGCTTTCGCCAGCGGCTTCGCCCGCGTGGACCCTAGGGAAATGTTAAGTGGGATAACAAGTATCCTATTATCTAGGTCAGCTAATACCTTATCTTTATACCAAATTTCATCAAAATCCGTTCAGTAGTTTTGGCGTGATTGACCGACAAACATCCAAACAAAGAAACTTTCACATTTATAATATTAACAGGATATTCAGCAATCACTAGAAGTTTGTTGTCATCCCGCCGCCATTAGGTAAACCAGCGCCTGCCCTACGATTCTATAAAAATCCAAACCCGAACTCGAATTCACTCAGGTTTCCGAATTCACTTAAAAAAGCGGCAACCGCTCAATGTTGAATCTCTCTCAAGTTTCGAAATGACATAGCAATAGAATATCTGAAAAACAGATCAATAAATTTTATTTTATATTAAAAAAAGAAATGGAATATGTATATAGTTTTTTTACACTAAATGTCGTGAATTCGGCCACATGAATGAATTCTTATTTGGATCTGGATTTTTAGCGAATCGCAGGGCAGTACGCCAACATACTAAAATAACAAGCTTTAGATAACTGTTGTACATTATTGCAACTTGCTCTTCGTCTGATATAATAATGCTGCAACAGCGCTGTGTTCGACGCTTTAGTTTTTATAGAGTACCAAAATGTTACTTATGAACATGGTTCTACCGTTGTATTGGTCTTTTCTAACATGATGATGATGAATCGATCAATGGACTCTGCGTAAGCTTTGACCTATTAATAGATCCCAGTTAGCCGGTATTTGCCCTGACTATCATTGTATTATATCTTAAAATGATTTGTAGGACTTGGAAGTTTTGGATTTTGATTATCACAAATTGATGTATACCGCGATTGTATGGTTTGACTACTATTTATTTTGTTTTGGCATAAAAAAAGACACCGTCATCGCCCCAAAAAGATAAAAATCTTGTATACTAACTAGTATCAAGATCACTCGTACGACCTCGAATGTCTGCTAAATTTTTTTGTCACTAATAATGTTTTACTGGAATAACTAGACATCTTTTTAATGCTAATTAGATTTTAATTTACTTTTAATCATGATCAAAGTTATGTTTTATGTTATAAATAAGTAACTACCTTCCCGATAGTGGGACCGCCAGTGTGCTGCCTGTATTATACATATAACCTTCCTCTTGAATTGTAGTTTATGAGATCTCAGAATACAGACAGCGGAAGGTGACTTTGATTTATACACTATGTATAGTTAAAATTAAAAAAATATATTATATAGGATGAGTGATAAAAAAAAGATTATTTCTAGCTCCTCTGTGTTTGGGGAGGCACTTAAAGCTGTCGGACCCTTCTGCGTCTGCTGTCGTTAACATCCACTAATCCACACTGGCCCCGCGTGGTGTGGTCACTCCCTATTTCGATTTGATTCCTTTATAGGGACGGCCTGTACCTCAGCTCAGACATGCCGGTGAGGATAATGACTTAACTATAATAAAAAGTAAATTGTCAAAAATAAGTAGTTAGAGCACATGCGTCTCCACATGCAGCATCAGTTCACGAGCATGACGCCCTAGCGATCCATCGTTTTACCTCTGGTATGATTATTTATAATGTTTCATCCGACGCTTTGCAAACGTTGGATTCCATTGGATATTCAATTCACTTATTGAACCAGTTTAGTGAATCGTTAGCGATTTTTTTGACGGCGCGACCATTTTTTGTGTTAATATTAATAATTGCAAAAACCCGTTCCATTTGAAAGGTCAGATAGTTTTTAGAACACAAAAAGATTTAAGATTCACTTTCTTTAAAAAAAATGTATAAGATCTTTATGTCATAGTTCATGGCAATGATGATATTTTCGTCACTATTTGATGACACGTTATCCTATGTTATTTAATTGAAAAATAATTATTAAACGCTGTTTCCCACCGGACTTTGCCTGTGTATAGTCTATATCGTCCGCATAGGTGAAGGATTTATTTAAATCGGCGCAGTAGTTTCGGAGCCTTTTTAGTGCAAACATAACATTTTACTCTTTAGAATATGAAGTATAGATTAATTCGCATACGGAGTCTGAAATTAATGTGAACTTTCATTAGTCGATAAAACGACAGCCAATAACTGACCAATGAATACGAGACACATAAAGAGACCGCACTCCGCATGCAAACCTAACACCGTAATTATTTGCATGCCATGCTCTGCGAAAACTTTTAAAATATTTTCTGCGTAAAATGTATCATCGTGAGCTCTTGATAATTATAACATTTTTTTTGTTTCAGGTCACATACCCCAAGATCACAGCCAGACAACCCAAGCTAACATAAATCCAGACCAAATGTATGTATACACAAATCAAATTAATGTACCAATTAACACAGCAGAACATTACTCGCGACAAAACTACCCCCAAAACTACGCAACCGCCAGAGATAATCCTCAAAACCTAGTCGTGCACAGACAATACGAAAACTCTAGCCCATACGATGAAACGAAGAAGGACCATAGGCACAACAAAGATTCCAAATTAGAAGAGCCCAAAGAGAACATGAAGCCGAACGATCAAAACAAAATGTATTACCAAGATTACCAACAAGAGAAGAGTGAGATGCAGAAGAGCGAAGAGGTTTCTTTGGATATCAAAGGTGAATACGGTTGTTACAAGTGCAATTCTGTGTTTCCATCGAAGAGATTGCTGAAACAGCACACGAAGACTTGTAGTGAGCCGGACAGTGAGAATAGTGAGAAATCAGGCAAGTTCAGTTGTAGCCAGTGTTCGTACAGATGTCAAGCGCCTGCCACGTTGAAGATACACGAGCGTACGCATACAGGAGAGAAGCCTTTTTCTTGCACTTTCTGCGATTACAAGTCTGGCCAAAAGAATAATGTGGCGAAGCATATTCTGGTCCACATGAAGGAGAAACCTTTCAGATGTCAGTACTGCGATTACCGTTGCGCTCAGAAGAACAATTTGGTCGTCCACGAACGTACGCACACCGGTTATAAACCTTTTGCGTGCCCCTACTGTGATTACAGAACAGTGCAGAAGCCTAATTTAGTTAAGCACATGTATCTCCACACAGATCAGAAACCTTTCAGCTGCGATGTGTGTAATTATAGGTGTGTCCAAAAGACTAACCTAACTAAGCACAAGCAGCGGCATATGAACGAGAAGGACAGTGAAAAAATAGAATTGAAAGGCCAAATTAAACCTTATAGACCTAGACAGAAGTCTGTTAAATGCCCGCACTGCCCGTACAGGTGCGTACAAAAAGCTAGTCTTGAGAAACATATAGTTTTCAAACACAACGAGTTCAATGAGCAAGGTTTAAATTTAATGAAGAGTGGAAACGAAGAGGAATCCATACAAAATTTGAGTGTGAAAAGAGACGAACACGTGTTCGAGTGTATACCCCAGGATGTGAAAGAGTCGCTCCAAGTACAGTCATAGTTTTAAGAGATTCATGTCCATTTTGTTTTGAATTGCGTGATATTTTTTTTTTTTGTAAATAGTGTTTTTTATCATTTTGATATATAAGTATTTTTTTTGTAATTGCTTTTGGTTTTTTCGGATTCATGCAAATCAAAATTGAATGACACATTGGGTTTAAAAGCCTGTTTTATTTAAATATATTTGCTTGCAAATACATTAAGGATAATCTTACAACATGTCATGTTTAACTAAGGAATAGAGATGGCGAATAATTTTTATTTGTTTGTCCTTAGAGGAATATTAAATACGTGTATTTTAATTTTTTGCGGAATCAATAGATTACGGTCACATTTTCTACAAAACTGTGACGTAGCGAGCCCCCACTCCTCAACTTTAATGCATATTATCTAAGCCATTTCTTGTTTAAATTGAAACAAAAAATACGTATCTTATATTTTCCTATTATCTGACTGACAGACTAAATAAAATTCTTTTTTTTTTTACCCAGTAGTCATCCATATTTTACATTGGAATTCCTGCAAAATGGACTCGCATGAAAGGTTTCTATACCAAAGAACAATGTTTATTGTTATAATCAAGACCAAAGACAAAAACTGTCAATTCAAAAAGAATCAATTAAAAAGAGAAGAGAGATCGCGTTCGTCAAGTAGTAGCAGACACACCAACAATGAAATTCGTGTATATTTAAAAATATATTTAAACCAAATATACAGCACTAATAAGTTTAAAATTCATCGCTAGCATCCATGAACATGATGACATTATCTCAAATATTTTTGACATGTAATTCGAACTAATACGCATCGTATATCTTGTGTGCCTGCCAGCTAAACGGCTAACTAGCAGGTACACTAAGATATTACTTTATCGTTTTATTTTGATTGTGTCATGTATCATTTGTCATTTTTTTTATCAGAGGATCCTCAAGTTTCACACAGAGAGATCGGGTATTTATGAATAAAATTACATGTAACAATACACAAATTATACATATTTGCATTCGTATACCGGTTTTACGGTAGGTCACGAGTCAAATTTCCCATTCTCTAAATTTATTGTTAGCCAATGAATACTATAAATAAATATTAGATAACCACACTTGCGGACAAGTGGCGTTGTCGCGAATCAGCCATAGAAGTTAAAGCTTAATTAGATAAGACATGGCGTAAGCTAAAATATCACTCGGTTAGAAAGAGAGAGATTGTGCTTTCTGTTCTCTCTCTCCAATAATATTTTACTTTCAGCCAGAACAAATGTTCATGAAAATTGACATTAGTTTAAAGCGACATTACCTAAATAAAGGTGACATTCATTAGAGCTTAAAGTCAACATTAAAGCTTAATGGACGTTTGTGGAACTGACCGCTTATAGTGTAAAATTTATAGACGGAACGATGTTAAAAACTTGGGAAAACATTGTTTGTTAATGTGTTTGCAAGCAAATTGTATTTTAGGTAACCTAATTATATTGTGATAATTATATATATAATGATAATATAAAATAAATAGTTGTAAAGATTTTTGTGCTCTCTTGAGTTCCTGTGAATGTTCTACTTATGTTGCAACGATTTTATCAAATATTTTAAGTGAGCCTTAAAATGCTAGACAATTTTACCAATAAAAAATAACTGGTTTCTAATCCGGTTGTCTATGGAATGCAGATTTTATGAATTTCCATTTTATAATCCTGATTTTAGCGACACAACGAGTTGCATAGGATACAGTGTTTTTAAAACGATTTTTCAGTTGATATTATTTGATATATTCAAATGGTTGTATTATAGTTTTTTAACTGAACACTAGAGGATGCTGTTCATAATTTTATATTAAAATTTCTTCAATAATATTCTAAAGCTCGCGTATAATTGATCTCTGATTTTATTATGTATACGACAGTATATAAGCGAATTTTTTACAATACGTTTTCATAGTTTTTTTTTTCATTGAATTCTAATTTTATAATTCTTTTGTCCTTATTTCAAAACTTTATTGTGATAAAGATTTAAACATAATTTGGAAGACCTCGCTGGACTGAGACGTAGTTTTATATTTTTATAAGCATTATAATTGGCCACCAACAGATGTCGCTATATTTAATTAAAATAAATTACTAATATTTCTTATCTTTTTAACTATTGATGATTACTTTAATATTTCTTATTCAGAATTCACATGATAATAGTGCACGATTATATTCAGTAAAAAATTGGGAAATTGGGAACTCAATTTTTTTGTTGAAAGAAAAATAAAAACAGCAGCTTAAGATTTATATACTGTTTTCATAGCAAACGAATCTATTTTTATTCAGCCATGATAAGCAATCTTAACCGGATAAAGCGATTTTATATTTCAATGAAATTTTTTTTCTAAAATTGTGATATGAAAAAAAAGTAATTTTAAAATTATTATTATTTTATTTATTAAGTCAAGCCAGCCTGGATGGCACTGATGAGATATAGTTTACGGTGGCACGAGCTTGCCCAGATGAAAAACGATTAACTTTTGCTCTGTTATTATTACCTTATTCCTGTCTCGTTAGTTGTCCTGTTCAAATAAATACATAGCTAAATAGTGTATTCAGCTTTCCAAGAGCAGAGTAATGGCGATTGTATCGGTCCGCCATTTCTTCAATGTCACGATAGTGAAACATATTGGGATAATTGTAGAACACCAACAATCTCGCAAGACTAGATAGCTAGCATCATAAACGACAACTTTTGATCTACGAATTTTTATAATTCGTTACATTTTAATATCGTACATAAATAAAAATTGATTTACTGCTCGAATGTTGATAATTTTACGCGCAACACCAATATTATATGTATGTACATCACAAACCGTCCGACTAGTGTCGTTACGAATAAAACATGAGACCTGTAAATGTAACGAGAGTACGATAAACATTTTAAAAACTATTTTTTATTCTAAATATGGTTATGTTAAGATCAAACGTCAAGGACGTAACCTTGTTTCTATATAGGGCGAATTGAGTTTTACTGTGAAGATTATCAAAATGCTTTGGTGTCATTAAAGGTATTTCCTTAAATATAGTAATTTTGTGTAAGTTGGAAATCCCCAGAATTATTCAGAAAAAAAAAGTTTGCATAAAAATATGTTTCACAAAAGGGTTAAGCCGGAAAAAAGCTTTAAAAGGTTTTAAATTGATACAATATGTTTTTTTTAAAAGGAAATTTAAGTATTGATAGCATAGCCAGATTCTACACTGAATTAGTTTTACTATAGATTATTATTTTTCCCGGTTTTATTACAATGTTATAAGGTGGGTGCACAAGTAGCAACCGATTTAGCAACATTATAAAATTAATTTTGCACATGACATGTCTCAATTTATACTCAACTCAATTATTGCAACAACCATTGCGAAAATTATGCTCTTTATTTGCCATACAATCATGTAGCTTTTTGAAACCCTAATTGTTATTAAGTTTATTTTTATAAAAACAAAATAAATCTGGCCATTATCAAAACGTGCCTAAGATGCGCGACCGCATAATATAAAAACAAAATAAATCTGGCCATTATCAAAACGTGCCTAAGATGCGCGACCGCATAACTCTAGCAACATAATAATAAAATGGTTTATTGCCTCAGATTACAAAAACTATACGTTACATTAAAAATACTACAGAGACAAACAAATGTTGAGCAAGAGCGTGCACCTGCCTAACGTTGATTTTCAGTTTGATTTTCTTTCCCAGAAAGTCTGAATGTGGGAAATGAAGGTCAGCTACGATTACTATTTTTACGAGATATTTTACTGAATACCTATTAAACATATTGGCAAAATATTTATGACGGTAGTTAGTTTTATTTTTCGAATTTCACTTGTATTTTGTTGAAATTTGAGATAAGTTAGTAAGCTGGAAACACTGATTTATATCCATATTATCATAATTTATCATTCATTCGTCGTTATTAAAGTAGTAAAATGAAATAGTGCAATAACACTGCTACGATGTCGTATTCTTTAGCTAGAGGAGTTAGGCGATCGCTCTGCATGTTGCAGGTGGCATCATATCGCTTCTAGTTATGATTACATGGTTGGTGGAACTAGAGCAACGCTAACATACTTAAAGAGCAAAAAACCTTAATATTTAGGTTTTAAAATTGAAATGGTGTATTACTGGTCCTGGTGTGAGACAGGCGCACCCACCCTACCTATTAATATTAGAATTTAAAACAAAGCGGTACAATGGTTTACCACAGTATGTAAAATATCTGCTATCGATTATGAAACTAATATTCAGAAGCTTTAGGTTTAATTTGGATTACAGTAATTGTAATGTGCTGCTGATTATTTTTCAAGACAAATCTCTGTTCAATCTAGATATAGCGGCATCTGTTAAATCACAAAATAATCAATCTGTACATTATCTCACAATAAATTAAGTTACCAAGAGATTTCATATGTACCTTGTATCATGAGGACATCACCCATTTGTAATTTTACTGTGTTAGTAATGATTATTATTTTTAAGGCTTTTTGTAATTGTTCTCTTTTTTTGTAATTAAACGCCGCTTACCAAAGTGTTTAATTTGTTTTATTGTTTTAAGTTATTTATAAGTTGTGTATAAGCTAAAGAAGAAGTTTCTCTTTTTTTTTAATTGAAAGTTACTAAATATCTGGGAATTATTTTATATAATAAGACTAGCTTTTAATCACCCTGTCTATTAAAAAACCGCATCAAAATCCGTTGTGTAGTTTTAAAGATCTAAGCATACATTAGGACAGACAGACGGTATGTTATACTAAGCTAGAACAATTGATTTATGGAAATATGAAATAACGAAGGTACCACAACACCAAGACCCTACATAATATAGAAAATGCCACATTGACCCGAATGAATCCGGGACCTCAGGTGGTCACGCGATGGACCACTTGAAATGTGTGTACGAGCCACTTGGCCCCGTACTACAACTTCGTGACAATTAAGACTAGCGCCATACAGTATCATGGAATTTACAATACAG